TATTGAAAAAAGTAAATTTCCCTATTCTTTTCTCTCTCTCTCTCTCTCTCTCTCTCTGTTTTTCCCTCTCTTTTTCTTTCTTTTTACCGTCCGAATTAAACGCTTCGACGAACCGAAAGAATAATTATTCCCATAGAAGCGTTCCTTTTTTGGCCGAATTAACGCTCTAATCCAAGTCTTTTTGCAAAATTACACAGATGGGACTCAATTCAATTGTAAAAGGCAAACAATAAACAACATATTAAAATTTTAAATGAAGGCATAAACAATAAATAAAAACTGGTATAGTTTTTATGTAAGCTATTAAAATATACAAGTATTAACTACATACATCCATTCAGTTTATACTGTTTATAAAGATTGTTTACCGGGTTATCAAATTGTATAAGTTTTATAGTGATGCCTCTTTCCAGAGAGAGTCTATAGGCTACATCTTGCTCTTGTTTCGTTTCGCATATAGTATATTCTTCCTCGCTCTTCCACTCTCTTATTAACCCATTTGTTCTTTCTGCTTTTCTACTAATCCATTTTAATATTTCTCTAATTTATATATACAGTATATAGGTAGAAATTTACAATATTCTTTGATTGTTAACGACTGACTATGACCTACTAAATGGACTTTGTTTTTTTATTTCTTTTTTCTTTTTAACTTATATACAGCGTGTTTTTCAATAGAAGACTGCTGTATATGCCACTTATGTTGCTGTTTTGTGCTTGTTTATGACTTATTGCGTTTGATTGCAAACTGCTACACGGCGCCAGCGTTCATTGTTTGACGAATGCGGAAAACGAGACAGAAAGAGAGAGGATAGAAGAGTTTTTTTGTGTTTAATTATAAAATTATCATTATATGTCTACCATTGATCGATATTAGTCGAGCGTTCGGGGTAGAGAGAGGGGGAGGGGAGCGAGGGAAAGAGAGAGAGAGAGAGAGAGAAAATGGAACAAATAGACAGATAGAGGAAGAGGAAAGGGAAAGAGGAAAGATGAGAGGAAGAGGAAGAGGAGAAGGATAGGTATAGCGTGAAAGAAAATAGGAAGAATAGAACAGACGGAGAAGTAGATAAATACAGAGAGAGAGAGAGAGAATCTCTCCTTCTCCATCGTAAGTAAACGGAAAATATTATATTTTTGAATGATCGATGAAAATCTTGAAAATCGACTAGTTATCCGTGGCGGAACGGAAAATTCATTTTAAGACTAATGAGGATAATATCGATAATGTTTACCAACATGAATAGTCAATTTATTGTTTGTACGTTCAATGCTTCTAAATGGATTTCGGAGCAGGATTTTGTTTACTCTACTTTAATTCCAAACCCCTCCGAGCTTATATTAAATCTGGCAATTTATTGAGTTTGTCGTCAAAGGCTTAATTAGCAACTTAAATAATTCATTTCTTATATTATTTTTATAAGAAGAAAAAACTTACATACTTTGGTTATTCCATTACAAAGTTTTTTCCTTTCTTCTTCCTTTTCTTTCTCTTTTTATTATTTCCTTACTTTCTTCTTCTTCTTCTTCTTCTTCTACTTTTATTCCTTTCTTTCTCCCCTTCTTCTTCTTCTTCTTCTTCTTCTTCTTCTTCTTCTTCTTCACTTTTTACCTATCTATAATTTTGTTTCTCCTTACTTTTCCACTCTTTCACAGACGGAACGTTAACTTTACTTTTTTTGTAGCGTCACTTACGAAGAACGGTGAGTTTGTGAAGCCGTCAGCGCCTATCGTGCGGTTCCCTACCGATCGCCGTTTGCCGCGCTCGCCCATGCGATCAAAGACTCGGGTGCCACGCGTTTTTGCAGTTGGTACGTTGCAGTCGGCTGGATTTGTCACGGTAACGCCGATCGCATTGTTAACGTAGGCTGTCGTATAGATTGGACGACACCTGAAAATTGTAGATAACCCTAACAGACAATCTCAATAATTATTTTCACATTTAGACACACAATGAAATAAACAATAACAAAACTAGTGAAAAAAGTTGATTTTGAAAGCGTTTGAGCGATAAAGTGGATAGATGATTATGATGAAAGTGATAGTGATAGTGTGAAAAGAGAGAGAGAGAGAGAGAGGGAGGGAGAGCGCGAGGGAGAGATGAAAAATTTTTTTTTTCTCTATTTATAGTAACAGTTTATGAAAATCCCTGGTTTGTTGGCGGAATTCGTTAATCCAATAAACAAAAAACGGAAACCGTCTCCAGTTATAAATTTTTGTTTATTTGTCTTTTTATTTCTGTATGTGACGCATATATTCACTATACTAATTACTTGTCACCGTTCATTTGCGACGCTTTCGCGACCTTTATACCGTACATCACGCTAATGTGTAGAAGTTTCATGCAAAAATCTCTAGTGTAAGTAAACAAGACGTATAAAAAAAATAATACGTAGGCCTATTATATAGTTTGTATGTACCATTGGGGTATAACAATAGTATAAAAGTATACTATATTCCCTTCTCTATCTGGCAAATACAACTTATATATCCATATTTCAGTATGTATGTATGTAATAGTGTATCATTTACATATTTTGAATAGTCTTCTAATAACACCTCCTTTCTCTCTTTCTCTCTCTCTCTCTCTCTCGCTCTTTTTTCTCTTTTTTCTCCTCCCACCCGTATCCATGAATATACTTATTAATGCATGTATAGATATATGTACAGGCTGAATATAAGTGCATAAGCTATCATTAATACGTTGTACAAAGCTGCATGCTCATGAGGAGAAGGTAACCTTTTTTTGTTTTGTTATTGTTCATTAATGAAGTAAAACCCGTGACATTTTTCCGCTAAATACCTTTAATTTATTATGGATAACCTGACATGCGTCTTTCCCAGTGTAACACTGCTAACTAGAAATAATATTTCTCCTTTTTATTCATCTTTTTCGTTATCTTCCCTCTTCTATATTCCCTATTCCCTTCGCTCTATCTTCCTTTCTCACTTTTAACCCCTACTCGTATAATTAACAAATGAAATATTTCTTTTTCGACTGGTTACGGGTTTATCCTTTTTTTGTCATTTCATTTTTAATTTCGCCAACATTACCCAGCTTTTTCAATTTTGTTTGCAGTAGATCCTTCTATTGCTGTAGATTGCGGTACGCCACACCGCTTACCTTAATAAGAGTTATGGAGAGGTAGTGAGGTGGAGAAGGGTAAAGAGGGGTTAGGGGAGGGAGAGAGAGAGAAAGAGAGAGAGAGAGAGAGAGAGAGAGAGAGAGTAGGAAAAGAGGGGGCAGGAGGGAAGGGAGTAAATTCATTAAATTTTCCTAATAATTTAAATATTGATAAAGGACGCTTTTGTATTAGAAAAACTCATTGGAAATTACTCTTAAATTTATCTTCGCAACAAGCCACGTTTTCTTAAGAAGCAATGATACCTTTATCGGTCTCGTGGTGATAGAGTTATTTGGTTCTCTAACAGCAAATTAGTCATGTTTTATAAACGTTTTTACGTGCTAAACAAGAAGAGCTGAGAGGAAAAGAGTGGCGGCGACTGTAGTGGATAGCTGTTAGATGGGGTGTAAGGGTTAAAGATAGCTAGGTCGAAGGAGGGCGATGGGTCGTGTTAAACTATGAAAGAATGTATCTCGCACACGGGTTTTATTGTTGATGATTTTTCAAGCTGTTGGCTCGTTTCTTTCGAATTTGCCGACCTTCGTTCTACAAATATATAAGCCGAGCTCCCTTCGTCGAGTTGTTCTCTCCTCGTACGGGATAATTTATTATGTATAGTATATTAGGAAGAGAAAAAGTGAACGTGCAGACAGTAATCGATTAAGTTAGCAACTTGCTTCTTTGCTACAAATTAAATTAATGTAAACATTAATGGACATTACCTAATTACCGTTGGCCCCCATTTTATCATTATAACGCCCTTTATCTAAGCAGGCAAAAGTTCATTCCTTCGCTTCATTAAGGCGGGTAAATAAGCCTATATAACGTAGACGCTCGTAAAGCGTCTCTAGGTGACGCGTAGCACGTGTCGTATAATAGGACGTTCCGGAAAAGCTAATATTTCATCCCTTTTAGTACATAGAATTGCTCTTTTTTCAAGGACGAAACGATATTGAGTCAAGACTAGGAATTAATTAAGGGACAGAAGCGTTACGCCGATCATGTAAAAATTAACTCATTTTACAATATGCAATCAATCCGAGTATAGGCTTACTCGGATTCTACCACGTAGGCGTCACTAATCCGTTAAGGCGGAAAAGTTACAACCATCGCCTCGGTAGTGTTTTTCCCCTTTTTCTTTGGCTGCTCTTTCGTCTATTGTAGACGCCTCTGAAGTATTCTATAAAAACTATTCTAGCTTACTAGTGGCGTTTTTTTTCTCCTACGTTAAGTGGAATTGCCGTCTCTACCGACGTCATTCCGAGTGACGATCGAATCTTTGTCGTAATCCTATTCATTACGAAGCAGAGACAATGAAGAGAAGCCAAACGTGAGTTAGGGGACAGGAAATTTGCGGAAGACAGTCTCTTTTTTTAATTTTTTTGCTTTTTTTTTAGCAGATTCAAAGTCGTTAGAGTCAAAGTGGAAAAAGGATAAGAAGAATAAGATGAAGAAGAGGAAGAAGAGGAAGAAGAAGGAAAAGGAAAATAATAGAGAAAAAAATCTTCAAACAGATGGTGAGAAATTGTCTACAAAGGAAATAAAAAGGGGAAAAAGTTTTTGCGTCACTATGCGTCAATTTGAAGCGTTTAACTCGTAAACGTCGTGCGGAGAAGACATCTGTTCGTTTAGGCACATAGCTCTATAATGGGTTATCGAAACATAATACTTTATACAAATAATAGAAAAAAAAACGCCGAACAAGCAGCAACACGCGAAATCGTGTAATTTGTCCTCTCTTTCTTTCATTCTCCCCCTTCTCGTCTGCCCCCCCACTCCCTTGTGTTTTTTGACTCCTAGTCACGATACCGCATTATTGCTGTGGCGCGATGATTTATCGTTCCCGTGACCTTCTGAACTGTATACATAATTATATTTCTTGGCGCCAATCGATGACAATTAATGGGCTAGCCTTAATTTTCTATAATTTTCAACTGGCTGACGATTGTGTACGATAAAGTCGTTTTCCGCTCACATTCTACTCATTACAACCGCAAATGTTCCGTAGCTCATCAGGCACTCAACGAAATGCGATAAGCATAAGCCGACTGACGTCTAAATTCGCTAACGTTTTAGTATCAAAAGAAAAAAATAGTTGTCCAACTATTTTCTTCTTTTCCTCACTATTTCTCTCCTCTGGAGTGTCTGTATCCTATCTATCTTCTCTCTCTGTCTGCCTGTCCGTCTCCGTCTCTATACTGATGTCTGTGTTTGACCGACGGCCCGACAACTGTCTCAAAGAATGTGCATAGTTTAATTTACATTATTTCTTTTTTACTTGTCCTACTATCGTTCCCTCTCTTCCAACTTCCGTCGGGTTACGAATTCGCTCTTGTCACGAGTTGTTCTTTTATTACATTTGACATATGATAACGTCTATTATTATTATATTTACATTGTTTCTCCTCTACTTAGTTTTCTCCCAGCCTCCCCCCTATCTTTGTTGCTCTCTCTTTCTCTCTCTCTCTCTCTCTCTCTTATTCCAAGTATTGTCAACGTTTCGTCCATGCGATAAAGCATAAAATTATACGATTTAATTTATTGCTTTTGTTGGCAAGCAATCTATTGGCTTAATTGAGAAGAAATTGGTTTTCTTTTTCTTAAAGATTATTAAAGAAAAGGCGCGTCTTTCCCGCGCTTCAATTAAAAGCAAAGGCAAGGAGAAGACGAAAAGAATTGGCCAATAAAATATATCATATAGAGGTCGCTAGTGTCAATGAGAAACAATTAAAAGTAGAATATAGAAATGAGCAGGCAGGGAGATGAGAGGACAGAGGGAAAGATTAAAATTGATATTTGCATACGATTGTATATATATTAGTATATATATTTAAATGCGTATATATCACTTTTACGTAGAGGGGATGCGGAGAAAAAGAGTAAGGTTAAGTGTCATCTGTATTCTATGTGGTGAGACTAGAACGGTATTACATACCACTAAACCATGCTATTCAGGCAACATCCGTCTGCTTATATCCTGTAACGTGTTTGATTTATACGATAAATTATAAATAAAGGAATTATAACAAAAGGACGAAATGACATAATTTTAATTGGAATTTATCAACATTAAATATATACACTTGACTATTCTATTGAATAAAATAATGACTTCCGCAACGACTCAAACGAAAGGGGAAGGCTCAAAGAGCCCAATAAGAATTATGGCTAATATTTTTATATCTTTTATCGGTGCTGGTGTCCTGGGTCTTCCCTACGCGTTCAAAGAAGTTAGTAGACAAAGTTGGGTTGTAGAGGGATATAAAATTAATATCGATTACAGTAATTAATGTACAAAATGTATATATGTATATATATTAATTTGTCTTTTAGGCTGGTATTGTTGAAGGGATCCTATTAATGACTTTTGTTGGTTTGCTAAGTATTAAGGCGATGATGCTAATAATCGATTGTAAATACCGACTTATGCAAAAAGAAATGCCCAGAGATATCGGCTTAAAAACGCTTGTAAAGGAAGTTGTTAATATAAAAGAAGACGAAGAAAGATTAATTGATAATCAAAGTCATTCCAGCAATAATGGTTCATCATCTCTATCAGCCAGCGATTATAAACCACAGGTTTATCAATCTTCTTGTCATTTTCATTCTTTATTTCTAATCCAACTAACTATCGTTTAATTACCCGCAAGGCTCCTGGAAAAGAATTATCCTACGGCGACGTTGGTGAGTAATAGCTAATATCGGCGTTACATTATATTTTTTAATTACTTGTTACGTAATAGGTTATTACGCCATTGGTAAGTTGGGCAGGTGGCTAGTTGAACTCTGTATAATCGTTTCTCAAATTGGTAAGTTTTTCCATTTCTTTTATCTTAACCAATTTGTTGTTTAATCGATGTTTTCTCATTGGTATTTTCCAGGTTTCTGCTGCGCTTATTTAATTTTTATGTCCGAAAATCTATCGCATTATCTAAAAGGCGTCAAATTGTTAGTATAGAAAAGCGTCTAATTTCGTTTGTTAATATTTTCCCTCCGAAATCGTAGATGGATTTGGCTGTTAGTGCTACTTCCACCTTTAGGGTTATTGTCCCTTCTTCGACATTTAAACAGTCTTGCCATATCAAGGTTAGTAGCCGTTTTGTTAGTCTGTCGTCTCCGTCCTCTGTTATATCATTCTCCTATTTGTTTGTTTATTTTGCAGTTTATTCGCTCAAATATCAAACTTATTGGCCTTTACAGTAGTATTTTGGTTCGATTTTGATCATATTCATCTCGTCAGGTATTTAAAGTTGATATAAAAGAAAAGAAGATACTAATGATTGTTCTTTTCAATTACCAATCTCTCTTCTGCAAATGTTTGTAAAACAGTATCCATCCGAAGAAAATGTCGCTAAGAGGTTTTCCATTCTTTCTAGCTATCTCAATCTACTGCTACGAAGGTAAGCTACATTTCTAATTGATGATTTTAATTAGGGTAATAGAGTAAGGAGTATTTTTTTTGTTTTTCTCTTTTATTTACATCTCGTCGTTCTCGTTGTTGATTACAGGAGCCGGAATGATACTCTCTCTGGAATCTTCCGTTGCTAAAAGCTTTCGAGACTACTTTAGATTGTAAGAATTTATTAAACAATCAGTTGTTTTCTTGTTATTGTTGTTGTTGTTGTATGTTATTTATATTGTAAAGAAGAAGAAGAATCGATTAACCAGATGTTAATTGATTGATTTTATTTTGGCAGCTATTTTAAAGTAACTATGATTTTTGTCACCCTTCTTTACGTGACTTTCGGAGCATGCGGATATTTAGTAAGTTTATCAAAACTATAAAGTCTATATAAGGGTCTTAACGATCTTTATCTCTATTCTATTAAATTCTAATTCGTATTTACAGTCTTTCGGCGCTGAGACTCGAGAGATTATAACCCTAAACTTGCCTAAAGGAGATGGAATGGATTTTGCAATATTAGTAATAACTTGTCTATGCGTTGCCCTATTTTTTACATATCCAGGTTAGTAGTATTATTTTAATATTTCCCTCGTTTCGTATAAAATTAATGAGAAGGAAAAACGAGACTTTAAAATGTAAATAATTTTTCAGTGATGATGTTTCCTGTCGTTAAAATAGTCGAGGGAAAAATTTACGGCGATGATACACCGCCAGTTTGGAAAGGGGTAATTAATTTTATCTTTACTGTTTGGCTTTTCCTCTTTTCTCTCTCTCTCTCTCTCTCACTATATTTAATATTAAATCACTAACTAACAATCATCAATTGCACTAATCAACTAATTTGACTTGAATTTCTTTTCTGTCAATTATCTCGTTTGTTTTTCCTATTTTATGTTTTTCCCCCATCCAGAATTTACTACGAACAATATTCGTAATTTTAACTGGCATCATAGTTTTAATCATACCAAACTTTGCCGATTTACTTGCTCTTGTTGGTTCAACATTTTGTATTTTGCTAGCATTTATTCTACCGGCGATATTTCACTTGAAAATATTTAAAGGGTAATAGAAAAACTTTCATATACTCTTACTGTATAATACTGTGTATACAGTATTATTTGTTAATAAGTGATTTATATAGAAATGCATGTTTTTATCTCTATTAGGTCGGCAACAAAATGCGCAATATTTATCGATGTGTTTCTCATCCTTTTTGGAATAATCGGGTAAAAACTATATTATATTATATTATATTATATTATATATTGTATACTGTAGAGTATTATTATAAAAAAGAAATCAGCTTATTGCATAATTTATCATGTAATATCTCTTTTTTTTTTCATTTGTTTCTCTCCTACTTAGTGGTATTGTTGGAACTTGCGACGCCATCTCGCGAATGATACATCCTCATCATATAGAAACTATGGATAATGTTAAATTAACGACTGTTGGGAAGGTCATCAACTCGACAACTCAATTTTTAACAACAAATTCTCAAACGGACAAAATTACTCAAATACCAAAAATTCTTCGGAAACTTAATAAGACCATTGTAGGAAATTAATTCGCCTGCAGACCTGCAAAATATAATACTGCTGACTTTTTCTCTTCTTAATTCTATTCATCAGTTGTCTTATTTCTTTCATATTTTACGCATCCTTCTTTTGATTCCTTTATTATCATTCTATTATCTAATGTATTTATTCTCTTTCTCTCTTTCTCTACATCCAGCCCCAACTCTCCGTTCTCACTGGTTTCTCTCAACATCAAAATGTCTACTATTATGCTACTATTATGTGCTCTACTCTATCTCAGGTTCGTGGATAAAAGGAAAACAATTAAAGGTTGAAGGGGAAAAGACTTAATTATATTATTTTGTGTTTATATCTACAAAAATCCCGGGAGATTTTTTATGGGAAGCGGAAATAAGGGAAAAATTGTTTTGACTCTATTTATTTTACTCAAAAAAAATTTACAAAAAGCAATAAAAAGAGGAGAAAAAAAAGGAAAGAGTTGATATTGAAGGTTTTATCATTTCTTTTTCTCGAAATGATTAAATACTATAGGTGAGCGTCTACCGACCAATATAAAGATATCAAGATATAAAGATACATAGATACATAGATATGTTGGTTAGAAACTGTTTCTTAAAAGAAAAAATCCTCGTCGTCAACGCTGTCACTGTTTAAGAAGGAAAAAAATCATTAAATAATCAGATTATATAAATAGTATTGCTTACGGTTTATCACTAGCGATCGATATGTGATTTTCGCTCTCGCTGTCGTTTTTCGTATACCACTTGAAACTTCCTACTTGCTTTGAATCGGTTGCCGTTGTAGTGGCAGCCCCAGCCGCCTCTTCTCCAGACTTTTCTTTATTTTCCTTCTCCGTTTCTTTTCTCTGTTTGATTAACTTCATATACTTGAGCATTTCGGGATCGATACCGGCTTCGTCGTCCTTCTCTTCGGTCTTAGCCTCCTCCTCCGCCTTTTTCTCTTCAATATCTTTAGGCGAATCGACTACATCGGCACTCTTTTCCTCCTGTTGTTCTTTTTCTACGTAGAAGGGGAGGAATTAAAAATAATTCGCTTAAAAATCCAATAATAACAAAAACTCTATACAGAAATATATATTAATCTTTTAATTGCTTTCTAACTGAAAAGAAAAAGGTGCCGACCACCCGCCACCCTCCCCACCTATCCTCTACCTTTTACATTCTATCTCTTCTTCTCGCTATCCAAAGGCATGCCTTATATATATATAATATAACAAACACAGATTCAAACCGTCAACACTCGTTCCACCTTCTAAGTAAACAGCCCTCTCTTATATTTTAAGATATTCAATTGAAAAGAAGTGAGAATTAAAGAAAGCGTATCGACTCAGTCGGCCTTTGACTAATTGAGGTTTACAGCCTTAATGCTATTTGCACACAAACAATTTTCTTTTATACAGTCGCAAGCCATTCGACGGTCAACTTGCCTTCAGAAAAAAAGAGAGAAATCGATTACCAGACAACCGATAAAATCGTTGGAAAAGTAGTTTAAAGATTAGCATAAATCAATGTTTTGCCGAAAAAATTCAATTGATTAAGTAAAGTAGAAGTGAAAGGCAATACTAAGCAAACCAGAGTTTTCTCCTTAACCGTTGAGATTGCAACAAAAACAGTTCGATAGCCTACTCAAAAAGTTATGTATTACATTAACTAGACATATAAAAAAACGCTTGATTAGTTATTGCGGTAGCTAGTATTTATTAACACTCGGAAAACAACTCTATTCAATATTAACGTCAATAAGACTGTCAATAATCAACAACCGCCAGTAAAGAAACGAGAACAAAGGACACTGAATAGGGCGCTAGTGCTTTTCTTTTTTTTTCTTTCATTCTTTCTGTTTTATTCGCATCGCAGTTAACGTCAAGGTGTTTAACGAAACACTTCTCAAACATCGTGTGAACTCTTACAGACAGACGTTAATAATATCTCTGCTTCTACGAACTTTTGGAATACTGTAGACCGACAGTTCTCTTTTGTGATTTTAAACAATTTGGATTTTTTACTTTCCGTTCTCTTTTTTGATTATTCAACTCTCTTTTTATCCTACATCTTTTCTATTGTCTAATGCATTCTTTCAATTTGTGTTCTTATTATTATTTCTACCATTCCTCTTCATCTTCTTCTCCTCTATCTTTTTCTTCTTTAACTTCTTCCCTTTTTGCTCTTGCTTCCTCTTATTCGTATAACTCTCCTACTCCCTACCTTCTTCATGACTATGTCTCATTTTCGACCTATTAAGGGATGTGTTCGTTGCGGCCAACCGAATCCATCGTTTGTTCTAGCACAAATACCGGTTAGATTCGTGCCAAATATCGACGAATCGGAACTCTTCAAGAGAGGAATAGAAGAGAGAAGAGAAGTAGGAGATTCGGCTTTAAGGAGTCGAAGAATAGATCATTGGCTAAATAGTTCGGCCAATCGAGAAAAAAATCCTACAAATTTACCTAGTCCGTTCGAGTCGTCGAATGAAGGAGAAACTAATTTACCTAAACCGAACGTTCCCATTCAGAGTAGACGATACGGAAGTAGTTCAATTAATTTTACGTCCAAGTCTTTACCTAGCATTTACGAAAAGGACTCTTCTCATTTCGAATCGAATCAACATCGTACATTCGATTCATCCGAAAATCGAAATTTGGAAAGAACCCATTACCCAACACCAACGTCTAATATGAAATGTCACGAAGAGTTAGATGCCCTACAACCCCGAAAAGATTTTATACCGCGAAGTTATACGAGGAAAAAGGATAAGGAAGTTCGATTTTGGCAGTTGTACAAGACCCTTCCAATAGAAGGAGTGGAAGGAGGTATAGGCGGATCGAAACCTTATACTTTCGCTCGAACAGATACATTTACAAAATCACTCAAACAATCCGAAACTGTTCAGAATATGCTTAGAAACTCTGGACCTATTGCCCGACCCCATTCGCCTTCCTACGCTTTAGCCACAATGCAAAAATCTAGATACGGAGATTTGGCTCTAAGAGGTCAAAAACTTGCCCGGATCAAAGAGGTTGATAGACAAAGAATGAGAACTTATGACCTTCAAAACGACTTACGAAAAGCTTTAAACGAATAGAACGTAATAAATAGAATAGCTTAGAATATATTATAAATACCTGTCCTAGTCTTCCATGCGTCGTCTAAAGAAACTGGTTGAATTGGTGGTTCGTTGCGACTAGAGGATGGAAGTTCGTTTCCTCTTTCAGCACCAGTAAAAGACTTAGTTGACGATGCTCTCTCCGAATCTGTTGATATATATATATATATACAGTATATGTATATTTTGTGCTTGTACAATTGTTCGACTAATTTAATACTAATACAAATAAATACTGTTGTTGTAATCCGCTCTAACCCTGACAATTTATTATAGTATCTTACCTTTCGATTTAGAGCTATGAGCTGACGATTCTAATATCATAAGCGGGGGAGAACCAGGTCGCGCTTCCAAATCATCCACACGTAAATCACCTTTTCTCGATACAGACCTATCGATTTGTTTAAAGAAAGACATTGATATTAAGGAAATTTGTATAAATATACATATTTCTATTTATATATTGTATACATATAGTATAAATTTATATATATATATATATATATTTATATATAGATATATTTATAGATATATACAGATAACTATACAATTTATCGACTTTTACAAAATAGACAAACCTATCCTCCGAGTTTCTAGGCGTTATCCTTAGTGGTGAACTAGACGGATCCAATTGTGGATGTTCTTCTTCGCTATAAAGTCGTGAACTCCTAGAAGCCTTTTCGGGAGTTGACGATGAGAGTGGTTTCTCTCGGGAATAAGCAAAATTCTCCTGAACGGCTTCTGTTGAATTTAATTTTTGTCGTATATTAGTCAATTATCATTAATAATTAATATAGAAAAAAAAGCTAGTTACCCCTGGAATTGTTCCTATATTTTGCAGATGATGACGTTTTTTTTCGTGTAGTTGGTATTTCTCGGCTTTCGTTAGGTGGCGCCTTCAACCGATAGTAGAAATCGTCGTAGGTTTGCTTCAATTTCTGTTTATTTCAAAATAGCATGAATAATTATTGTTAATACTCCGTTTACGTTCTACTTTCATTTAATAGAGCGCAGTGTATAAAGCAAAACAATGCTCAAAAACGTTCACTGCACTCACAATCCTATAGGCCTGTCGCTAACAAACGAGTTGAGCGTCTATTCAGTTCAACAACTTTGTTGATAATTGGAAAGTACTAAAGAACTCACGGCATAACTCTATATAATGGACCTTGAACAGTTAACAATCACCATTAGTTCACGGACTATCGAAGAGGATGGACCTACTGAAATTAGCAATGCAATCGGTAGGATACTTTAATAACGAATCAATTCATCAGCCTATATATCTTTGTTCTCTATGTAAAATAAATATTTTTTCTGCTGTTCTAGTCGGGAATCGACCACACCGAGGCGGACGATGACGTTCAAGTGGAAGAGATTATTACATCTACGAAAAACACAGAAAGTTGGGATACATCGTGCAATTCTATTTCGGATTCTTCTGGATATGCAACGGAATCTCCTGAGGTTTGCCGAAATGACATATGCCGTCCTAGAACGCCCCCTCCGTCCCTAGCGCCAGAAGCAATTCCTCCTCCTTGGTCTCCACCGCCCATTCTACCTTTAAACGATTTAAAATCAACTCCCGAAACTGATTCATCAACGATGAATGTTTTAAGAGAAACACTCGCCGAAGAATTAAATAAAATACGATACGACACGATTTCGTGTGGTGCCCTCAACACTCTACTGGGAACTTGCAATCAGCCTATAATTAGCGAAAGGAAAGACGAGACTGACCCACTCTATAGTCGTTTCCAAGAGTTTCAATATACAAAATACCAACCAGCAGCCGACGAATTATGGAGAGTTTATCAAGCATCCAAAGCTGAACTCGACGAACAGTTCAAAAACCGGCCCGAAAGAATTGACGAGTACGTTCAAAGGCGGTACGAAAGAGAAAGAAATCGCTTGAAATCTCGTATTGAATGTTCTTTGAAAAATTTACATAAAGCGCAATATAAAAGTGAAGGATGTAAATGTGTCCAGCCGAATCACAACAATTGGCATAGGACCGCAATCGAAAGGCAAATTGCTCAAGAATTTGGTAAAGGAATTGCACCAGTAGAAGACCACTTCCATTACGATTATCACGCGTTATTTACAGCTGTCGATCTACACAATTTAACAAGCGAGCCTTTTAACGATTATTCCTTGGGTGTTCATTATTCCCAGCCTCCCATTAGTTCAGCCTTACCACCGCAACAACCATCGCCGTCGCCGCCTCTACCTTACCATCCGATTAATGATTCGCCCCCTACAGTCGGTTCAGTGCAAGGATATCAAATACCGAATGAGATTAAAACGCCTCCTATGTATCACAATCACTACTCGGAAAATCCTTCATCACCCGAAGAATGCGAAGTTGTTAATTATATACCAACGACAAAATCGAAAACGCCGCCTTACGATTCAAGGACACTAAGAATTTTAGAAAGATGGTACAACAATAATGTGCAGCACCCGTACGCCGATAAGCAAACGTTGGCAAATCTCTCACTACAAACGGGTTTAAATCAGGAACAAATAAGAAAATGGTTAGCAAATAGACGAAATAGGTGTCGAAACGTTAAAAGACCAGCTGAAATAGCTAATTGGAGAAGGCAAACTTCAAGAAAGGGTTCTAATAATTAGATAGATAACAGAGATTATATATATAATATCTATGTAAATAATACTTGTTTTTTGTTATAGTGTTGTTTTTGGTTACGTATAGTGCGCTCAAAAAACTTAACTGTTGAAATAAAAAATCAGATATTCAATGTACTTACTTCGGCTTCTGCGTCTAAACTTTTTAGTCTTCTCTTTGTTTCGGCTACTAAATCGGTAGAAGAACTGGAATTGTGACTTTCGGGGGAATGTAGATCTCTGGACCTAAATGAAATGAAAACAATAAATGTCAAGGCAGAGAGAGCGTGTGTGTGTGTGAAAGAAGAGAGGAAGCAACACTCCAAAAAAAATAAAATAGTGAATTGATCGATTCTTGTGAATAGAAAATCGAATAAAAAGGAGCTGACTCGATAAAATAATAAATAAGTGACCGCATTCCGTGTAATCAAACCATTAAGATAAGATAGTACCGTCGTCGACTTTTATTTCGATGTATCATATGACTAACTGAGGCCTGAGCCAGATTTTTGTATAATCTAGGTAGATAGTTCGTACGATCGATATAAAAACGTTCCGGTTTGTATAATCTCATCTTATCTACCCTAAAGAGAGTGGTATAATATTTATTTAACACTTTCTTATTTGTCTAATTAACTTAAACTAGTAAAATAAGTCTAAAGAATTCGGTTAATCAACTTATTCCTTACCATGTTTGCCATTTTTCCGGATAAATTCGTCTGCTATTAGACACACCGGGTATCCTCCAAAAAGTGAAGAAACAAGTAAAGAAGGAAAATTAAAATAAAAGAAGAAAACAAAGAGTTAAGGATTTAGAATGAATTAAAAAAAGCTATAGGAAGGGAGGCAGAGGAGGAGGGAGGGAAACTACAAGGGAGAAACTTACCTCGTTGGAACTTCTTCTTCCCGAAGTATCCTTCCAGATGTATATCTATCAATACTTATATCGTGCTTTGAATCATTAGAAACTTCGGCAAATGGTTTTCGATAAATTTCATTTGTAAGTGCTAGGTTTTTATCAATAAGATAAAGAATTAGGAAAATGATTGAACGAATTGAGAAAGAGAAACCTTTTGTTGTCATTCCTAATTGCTGCCTTAGATCCATTAATTCCCTATTCATCTCTTTCATTTGCATCGATTGTTCTTCGTATTTTTGTAATAGTTGACGTTTACTTTCACGCTATAAAATATTTATTATATTGTCTCAGGTTTTCATTAAATATAAGATAAAATATATTAATCCTTTTACCTCATCTTGAAGATTTTTTTCAGATAAATTCCTATGATGATTGCCTAGAATTTCTTGCTGTTTCGATTGTTCTCTGGCTTTATCCAATTCTCGTTGAATAAGAATAACCTCGGGTGAAGGTCTTTCGGCTCTTTCCGTCATTTCCCTATACAAACTTTCCTGTTCTACAATGAGAGGGGGGAGGGAGAGGGAGTAGGAGAATAGAAAATAAACAATTATTAAAATAAATAGGGCAAGGGGGATAACAAATTTTAATTACTTTTTCTCTCAACCATAGCTTCTTTAGACGCTTGGGCGTATTGGCTAAATAGGAGAGGAGATGGAAAAATAAAGGTTGAATTAGAATCCTTCTTTCATAGATTTTGCGAATGGAATGAATTTTGTTTTTTTAAAAAAAAAGTATTTACTCTTTTATAACTTCTAGATCTTTTTTCAATAAAAAATTCTCTTTCTTCAAAGTCTCATAATCGACCATCTAAAAGATAAGGATATAATAATTAAATAGGTAAAAGAAGAAAAGTGGAGAGATAAGAACAGAAATAAGAAATAAAAAGGATAGAAAGAAAAGAATAATGAATAAATGAAGAGTTTAAGCACCTCTCTTATTTTATCCGCTTGTAATTCTGATTTCTTTTCAAATACGATTAATTGTTGTCTGCTGCTGTTTAGTTCAGCCTCCAGTTGGCAAACTCTACTGGCTTTTTCCCTTAACTCTTGTTTTACATTATAAATATCACGTAATTCGTCATCTAGACGCCGTTGATCATCTAAAAAGAAAGAGTTAAATTAATCATTAATATTATTATTCTTGCAGTTGCCCTTGTTTATTGGCCTATCTTTTATACTATTCTATCGCTGGAAGGCTGTATATACTGCATATATATATACGTTTATAGTTAGACTAATAGGCTTATGATAACGTTATAAAATTAATTAGGACTCTAACCTCGAACTTTTAATTCGCGAAATTCCAAATCTTTTGATCTTTGCATGTAATTAGCCTCCTGCTCCAACTTGAATCTAATTAAAAAAGAATAGAATTATTATACAGGAAACTAATTAATAATACATCTGCTTTTTGGAATAAATAACTAACTTGCTCATCTGATCATGCAGCTCTTTGGCCAGCTCTATTTCCTTTTTACGAGCATTTTCCTCCCTTTTTGATGTTAGTTCTTCCCTAGTTTTCATTCTCTCTTCTTGAATCATTTGCTCTCTAATCAGGGAAAAGCATGCGACAGAAATAAATATAGAGTAATCTCAATTTGTCAATCCTTGTTAATTATTTATCTTCATTACCTTCTCATCAATTCAGCGTCTCTTCTCACTTGCGCTTCCTTCTTTCTAACGGCTTCTATCTCATCCAAAAGACTTTGTCTTTGGCTATAGACCTCTCTCTCTTGAATCTATTAGCGCAAAAAAGTACATGTTAATATATTGTATATACTGTATACTGTATATGTTTTTTCTAAATACAAACACTTTGCTGTTGTTGAACTCTTTCTACAGCGTGCCTCTCACGTTGAAGTAACGCTTCAGCTTTCACGTGGTAAGTCCTCTCCAACTACACAAAATAAGAAGTATGTTAGGTCCGATATAGTCGGAAGCCGAGTATATATATTTTAAGGATATTCTCTTAATACTTCTCTTCTGGTAGCATCTAGTTGTTCACGTAATTTTTCTCTTTCTTCTATTCGAATACGACTAATTTCTGTCTCTTTGAAACGTATGATCTACAATATATTAAAGGAAGGATGGATGTAAAAGTAAACAAGCGAGCTATAAAGTATAATATGTAATATATACTGTATATATACATCATATGTAAATTATTAAAAATATGGAATAGAAAAACGCTTACCTCAGCTTCAAAATCGGCTCGGGAGCGTTTATCTATCTCTTTTTTATAAGCCGTAATTCTATTTTCGAATTCTACTGATCTATGTTCCCTAGAGGCATCCGTAAAACTGTTGTCTATCATTTGCATTTTATTTTCTGTGAAATAAAAAAAAGGATGAAATTAAGCTACAAACCAAAGTATTACAAGTATTTTTCAACCATAAATTTTAGAGTTGAACTGTTACTTAAAAGGCTAAAGACTATGTAATTTGTTCTCTTTAATTATACTATATAAATTTTATATACAGTATATAAACTTTGTATTATATCATTGTCATTGTTAGCTAGTTCTATATTCTATATTTTGCTTCTCTTCTAGAATATCTCTCTAGACCTATGTTTTGCTTTTTAATGTCGAATTTTTCACCTAATTACAAGGAAACGCCTCAATTAGAGAAATTGAATAAATAAAAATAGAAGGAAAGTATTTTATTAAAGGAAAATTTAGCCATCTATTCCCTTAGCTCCAATTCCCGGAAAACCTCATTATCAAAGATGATAAGCGTTAAAATCCAGATTGATAAAAGCAGGATCGACATTCCCTTGATTACAATCAAACGCTTCGCTGAATGTCCAATATATATACTTTTTATATTTCCATTATTTCTCTTCGCCTCCAGGTCAATCCGTCAGTTAGAGATGTTCTTTTTTTTATTAATACGAGATAGAACGAAGAGTAGAATAGGATTTGTTGAAGAGGATAAACAGAAATGTTAAGGTTAAATACTACTGATTTTTCTTTTCTTTGTTATTCTTATATTAGACGAGCAAGATGTTGTTCTACTTCTATTCAAGGTATATATTGAGGTTAGAACAATAGTCATTTAACAGTTAAATTAAGCTGTATTTAGATTCTCGGCAAGGAATGATAGGCAAGATAATTAATTAAAAAAAAAGCAGGGAGGGAAGGAAGGAGGAAAGCGCCAAGTAATAAGATAAAAATAATAACAACAATAATAATAGAAACTCCTACAAAGTATACAATATAAATATCTAATTCTATATTTTCTATCTTTCTTCCCCACTCCGCTCACTCTCTCTCTCTCTTTCTCTTTTCTCTAATTCGCTCTTATTCTCTTATTTATATACTTTTATTTAATTACAGTTGTTTTCATGTTGATTTCGTGATAGTTTTGATAAAGTAGAAGAGAATTAAAAGAAAAAAGTCTATATTAGAATGAATAATTTATATTCATCGACAATTTCTTTTAGTTAATTAACATTCTTTCTCTTTTCTCTTTAACTTTGATTTGTAATTACTTACCTAAAGATGAATGGTGAGGTTGAATATAAGTATCAGTTTGGCATGCTGAAGCGATTTTATTCAAACCATGCTCCTCGGAAATTCTCTTGAGCAATTTTGATAGAAAACCTATTATTAAGAGTATATTATTGAATACTATAAAACATATAAAGTATATATATATATATATATATATAACCTTCTTCACTCTTCACTGAAGAATCTTCCATTAAATATTTGTATAAATCGGATTCAGGACTGATACGTAGAATTTGTAGCAATTCACTTGTATTGAAAACCTTGAATTGAACAGATAGAAATCATATACAATTAATCTAAATAATTAATTATTACGTACCATATTATTTTCAGTATTACTTTCCGGTAAGAACATACTCAGTGTATATTCCATTTTACATTTTTCCAAATGATCTATTATTATACTATTTGCCGCCTTTATTGATAAACTTTGCTCTTGTTCGGTTCCCTTAGACTTTAATTTTTCAGCTTGTAGTCCTTTAGTCTTTAAATCGGCCAGTAATTTGTTCCTTAACTGGCACTGATAGGACGAGAGACGAAGAAGAAAAAAGAATATGCAATTACACTTACAGTTTTTCTTGATAAAAAAGTATTAAACCTTCAAATTGGATAGATATCCTTTATCTTTCATATTTTTATAAAGATGAGTACGAAGTTCTTTAATACTCGATTCGTCTGAACTCATTGTTATTATTATTTTCTTTACCGTTTTACACTTTTTTGAGTTGATATTTAGAGGCGAATTCGTGTTGAAACACGTCGGAATGCTTACGATGAGAGAGCAGGCGAGAAAAACTATTTTAAGAATAATCCAAAACTTGCAACATTAATAGATCAAATATATAACGTTGTCAAATGTTTGATAAAGAGAAAACAAAGTAATATATATTCAAAAACAATATCCCGCTTTGTTTATGAATGGCGCATTGTAAGGGTGAAGGACAAATTTATGAGCAAGGAATCCAACTCCCCGCCCTAAATACGTGCCGTAAGAATGTGGCTGGAATATCAATCCGTTTAATTTTAACGCTGTAAGTGCTGACGTCTGTTTTGCTTATACTATTTTAACACTAAAAGTACTCGACTGTGGCGTAGCGTTGTCGAAAACCCCATATTTTGTGGGTATTTTTTACAAATTGGCTTTTAGCTGAAATCTTCTGGTGATTTTTTAACATCGCCTGCCGTTTGTCAGTTATGACTTTGGATGAAGACTCTACGCTATTATGCATGGAAAAGGTATGTTTAACAGTTAATAATAAAAGGAGATGTCCGCCATTATTTGTTTCCCCCGGAGGGAGGGGGTTCCAATGTAGATTACTAGGCAACAATTTTCTTATCATCAGGTTTCCGAATTATCTCACGTTTTAAAGAAAAGAGCGACTGATGAAGATGTGTTAGAAGCAGTCGATCAAGTAGTAAACACAATTGTTAATAAAATATATACGAATAAGTAAGTTGTATTTTTGTTTTTGTTATTGTTTGTTATTGTTTTATTACTTTATTGTTTTTCTTCTTTATTGATATATTTTAATATTAAAGTAAAATCTATGTTGAAAATTCTATTTATCTCCTTTTTTTTACCTTTATTTCTTTAGACTTCAATTAAAAAGTTTATGTTTGGAAAATTCAGAAAATCATGAGCTTGTAAATGTTACAAAATTATCTCAAATACCGCGAAAGTTCTTCAAGAAACGAAAAATCATCTCAAATTCCCAATCGGATAGCTGTAGCGTTAACGATCCCAATGGCAATGAAGGCGAAACGAAAAGAGCGGAAGGAAGTCGCGACGACGGTGGTTTCGAAGAGGGGGAGGAAGAGGAAGAAGAAGACGACGACGAAGAAGACGACGACGACGAGGAAGAAGGCGACAACGATCAAGACCACGCTAGTATTGGATCAAATGTTGACGATACCTCACCAACCCCCAAGAGACGACGGTCGAGTCGAATTGTAAAAAGTATTAGTCCAAATATCAATTACGACGTTCTAGAAGACATCGACAGTGTTAACGAAACTAAGGATCCAGAAGATAAAGATGCCATGATAGAGTTGAAAGTAGAAGAAGTTCAAAAGAGAGGTACGAAACGAAAAAGAAAAAAGAAATGTACTAGAAGGGCTAAAGTCACCTCTTCACCAAAAGCCAAAACTATATTTTGCTTTCTATGCGACGGGGCCGACAACGACGAGAAAGTCTGCTATTCTTCGTGGTTAGCTCTAGTAGAACATTTTAAAAAACTCCACTTTGTTAGAGAGCCGAACACTAGCTATCTATCGGTTACTTGTCCCCAGTGTCCCAAAAAATATATGCTCCAAGGCCAATCCGGAACTTGCGGTAGAAAATCATTACAAAAGCTTCTTCACCATATGCATCATTTGCACAGTCTGCCTTGGCCTGAATACGTTAATTTAATGAAATGCAATTATTGTGAATTCCAGACGTCTTTTCCACGTTTCTTAGAGAGTCATGAAATGAAGCATACAAATAAGAAAGAAAAGTGTGAATATTGTAACGCTCTCTATTTGCCAACTATGAAGAATTTACATAAAAAGAAATGTCCTAGATGGCCCACAACTGAGGCAATGGACGAAGGTGACGGCGAGAAAAGAACTAGGGGACGTCCGAGAGTGAACGTATGCGAATTAGATCCTCAAGCTAAGAAGGAGGCCGGAAAAAAGTTATGTACAACCTGCGGTGAATTCTGTTCGAATAATACCCAATTAATGCATCACGCATTCATTAAGCACAAGGTGAATATGTTCAATAAACCAGTGGAAAAGTGTCCTGAATGCGGCGTTGAACTATTGGCTGGAAGTCTATTCCGGAAACATATGCAACAACACGATAGAGTAGAACACTGCTGTGATATTTGCGGCAAAGTTTTTAAGAATAGATGTAAGTTTTATTTCATTTTTTTGTTTTCTTCTTCTCCTTCTTCCTTTTATTTTTCTCCTCTTTAGTTCTTTATTCTTCGCCCTTTGATCATAGTTTTTTTTTTTTATTTAAATCTCTTCCCCTCTATAAATAAATATAAAGCGTAAGTGTATCAACATAGACGGTATAGATATAGACTATATCTACTGGTACGTACATATACGGTATATATACTGTACATACAGCATGTACTTTATATATGAATATAACTACGTTAAACTTCAATTATCTTTATTATTAAATTAATTTTTCTCCTTTTAATTAATTAATTACAATCGTATTTTAGCTATTAAATTAATATAGGAAAATACATTTTTTTTAGTGTCCGTTATTCGACATCGAAGTAATAATCATACGGCAAAGAAAAGGTTTCCCTGTCCTTATTGCGACTATGCTCCGAGAAAGAAGTCGGCTATCGACCGACACATTCGACTTCATCTGAAAACGGGAAAAGCTGAAGTAGGGCATCCGGAGAGACGACGACACGTTAAAGATGGCACAGAAGGCCCTATAGTCGACATTATACCTCTTTCACACGTACCAGTTTCTCAAGAGGATAATCACGCTCAAAAGGATATTTTAGAGCAGGCAGTTTCAGCTGTTATTGGAAATTCTAAAGATCCAATAAATACTTCATCCATACTGGTACCAACCTCTTTTACTCCTAATACCGTATCTGCTGCACCTCACCAACTTAGTCACACTCATCATTCTAATCAAGCCGCCGTCGCAGTAGCTCAACAGCAAGCTATTTTAAATGAAACTATGCAAAAGAATCTTCCTCCACTACTCCAACCCATAAATCAAATGGGCCCAAACGTTGGCATATCGCAATTTTTTATGCCAGCAGTTACCGGTCAAATGGACGTCCGAAATACAATACCAAGTTTTCCAATAGATGTACATAACAGAATGTATGATCCAGGACAAACAGACACGACAACCTTTCATGTTGGAGGAAATATAACCTTTCAACACAATGTATAGCAGATAAAATAGCAAAAGCAATATTAATTACTACAATAATGAATTGACTGTAAGAAATTTAGATACTATATAGTTCTTAAATATCTTGCTTACGTATTGCAGTATATGTTGAAAGAGGAAAATAACAAAATTATCAATGAATATATATATATACAGTATCTACAGTATATATGATATACATATACAAAGACGTGTAGATGATATAGATATGCTGTAAAAATAATGAAAACAAAGAAAATTGTCTGCATATATATGTGCTTTATAAATAACTTTTACATTTAACTAAAAACGAAAGAAATTCATGAAAAAGAAGCAAAAAAACATTTTTCTTTCAATATTAGCTTTATTTGTTTATTTGTTTTTTTTATTACTTGTTTTTTTTTTCTTTTTTTTTTTACTTCGTCTTCTTCGTCTTCTTCTTTTTCCTTTTCTCTTGTTCCTTTCTGGGATGGTTAAAGACTGAAAAAGTATACATTTTGGCTTCATTGATCGCCGAAAATGATGAATGAATGTTTCTTGTTAAAAGTTATAGATATGAATAATAAAACGATCTGTAAGAGAAACAACTGACTAAAAGGAAAATCTCTTTCTTGTTTTTCTTTTCTCATTTAAGGCACAAACCTCTATATTAATTTTTAAAGTAATAACAGCCATTGTAACTATTTTTAATCAAAACACTCAAGAGCAAAACGTTTAACGATAAAAGACAAATATCTAGTTTTCTAGTTATAGTTGTTGTACATAACAGATATACAGTATATATATATACAGTATACTATATATAGTCTTTATACGTATATTTATATACTTGTATATGAAATACTTTCAACTACAAACAAATGTTCAGTCTTTTTTTGTCTTCTTGATTAAATTCTGTAAAATTTTAATAGAAACACATTAAAAATTCAAACAGTCAAATTGACAAAGATACAATAATCAACATTTTTCATTATCAAGTGAAATTTTCAAATTATTTTAACCGTACAGGTTTTCAATTGGTTATAGATATAGGGTTGGGAGAAAAAATGAGAGGAAAGATAATACAACATCTTTAAAACAACGGCTCTTCGGCGTAAGCGGTATAGCTACGGACTTGAGAAAAGATTAACGGTGGATAGGTTGCTGGCTTAAGCTCAAACTCCATCAAATCTTCCTCGTTATCTAGCCTATAACAAAGAAATTAATTTAGTATAATTCTTAGTTGAAAAATAAATTTTTTTTCAATTTCTTACTGATTTAGGGCTAAAACCGCGTATCTATTCCAGACTAGCTGAGCTCCTGCTCGTTTTCCGACGTTTCGAACAGTAAACTCCTGCAAAGTAATTGATGAATAATAGATTAAACTTTCCACGAAAAAATAACGAAAAACAATATATCCTATCTGCTAATACAATACACCGTATATGATTTATACGAAATGTAAGTATAGTACTATATAATATAACAGCTAATCGTGTTCATTTATTACGTACAGCCTGAAACTTTTGCTTTTCCACCAAAGCTTCTCCGTTCTTATTGCGTCTCGACTTATAACGCTGATAAGTACTCTTTTCGGCAATTCTCCTCTTTAGAATCACGGTAACATTGTCTCCAGCCATTTTATAGTATCCATATTGCAGACCTTGTAGGCGACAATTCCATTTTAATACGCCAACAACGGATCGGGGGTGCTCAGGTGAAGTTAGGTGGACAACGCGGCCGTCGGAATAAAAGCGAACATATCGATAATATTCCACAATATGAAAGGGATTGTATAATCCGTCTAAGCTAACTTCTCCTTGTCTAAGATAGCTCATTTTACTAATGTAGACACCTGTGAACAAATTTCATTTACTACTTATTATCTTAAGAGAAATATGAGAAAGATGAGAAAGGGAAGAACTAAGCGAAATTTTTTCTAAATCTACCGTTGTATCTTAAATGAGGTCTATGTATATACATATTCCTCCAGCATCCGTACTTTTTAACAGAACTGCAATTTATTCCCCAAATTCTGTTAAAAATTAACAACAAGCTCTAATTAGTAATCATTGTTTTGCATGCATCAACTTTTACTAACTGTTGACAAATTCCTCTCCAGATTTTCTCGTCTCTCGAACTTACAAATAAGCCTCGGCAAACCATACCGAGATTTTCCAATGATTCAACATCTAGATGCTTACCAACAACCCACTTAATTATATGAGCTATTATCTCTGGTGGTAAATTGGAAAAATGAGTTCTATTTGTAGATAATTCCATCTGACAAACAATGCCTTCTTGAGCCTATTAAACCAAAAACAGGAAAAAGTAATAGAGATGGAACATAAGAGAAGGGATTAATTTATTTTTTCAACTTTTCTAATTAAGAACTAGTTAATTACATTTTGCTAAGAAGAGAAAAGAGAACGGACAGAAGCGAGACAGAGAGAGAAAAGTATGTGTGAGACAAATTAAGAGTGAGTAGAATGTACCTGTAAAATGAATAATCGTTCAAGGACATCTTCAATATTCTCAATTTCTTCTGAGAGTCCATCCGAAAGAATAGAGCTTTCGCTATCCAAACGATCTGAGAGATTAGAAAGAAGCGTATAAAAATCCATAAGATGTAAAATAAAAGGCTAATCAATTATTTTTTTTTATTCCCTACTTCGTTTATTATCTGCTCTAGAAATATCATCTTCAGTTATTCTGAATTCAATATCTGGCACAAGTTGAACGGCTTTTCGATAGTATTTTATAGCTGTTTGTTTATCGAATATATTATATAGCAATTAAAATACTTGTAAAAAATTATATCAATATTATATCAATTACCTTCAGGTAAGCAGTGGCTTCTTTCAGCTTCTATTCCTTGTAGGAAAAGATACTTTGCCTGTGATATTAACTTATCTTCATTAATAGGCATAATTTGTTTTTTCGGTTTAATTCTACTAAACACCTTTTCGATTTTACCACTACGAAGAGAAGTACAATACGATCGTCCTAATAATAATACATATAAAGACCTTATGGTGTTTTTATTGCACAACAGTATGAAATGAAAAAAATGCTAGTATAGCATATGTCATCTGTAATGTCAAAAAAAAGACTAACGGGCTCCCTCTATTGTTATTAATAGGTTTGTCCTATAACCATAGACCCGAGTCCATCATACAATTTTAACAAACTGAGTATGTACTAGAATTTGGAAAGACGAAAGCAAAACAAAAACAACGCTTCATTTACCTCTTCTTCTTCAGTTGGCTGACAGATATTCAAATCGAGATTTTGACCGCTCTTGTTGCTTCGTAGTTCAGATTGCCATTGCTCTCTAAACTTTGCCAATTGATCTTCAATTGATAGAAACGATTCGGAAGATTCATCAGATTCTTCGATTATTAATGGGCCAAATCCTTCCTAAAAGTAGAGCTGTCATTAGCTTCTAACGTGAAACCTTTTACTTGTTTTAAAAAGAAGGAAGGCAATGTATTGTTTTTAAATGAAAATCTGCCTATTTCAGAAGAACAAATAGAATGAAAATGCTATAAATTAACAACCATTGTCGAGAACTTTCGAAGGATTTATCTCACGTTTATAGATCACGCCAAGAATAACAGATAACCGAATTTACGAATATTTTTGCATTTTTTGTGGCAGCCATCTTGTTAAGGATAGGCAAAATGTACAGGAAGTCGAATAGAGCAATATAGACGGATAGAGAGAACGAAACGAAAAACGAATAATTTGGTCACGTGACAAAAGGGAGTCTCGTTTTCGTCTGGAAACAAACAAAATGGACGATCACTAGAGATCGCATATCCCGTAAGAAAAGCAAAAACCAGCGCTATCTCTGATATTTATTTTTAAATTTTGGTAAGTTTTAAATATATTATCAATCGATTATTAAAGAAGGATTTCTTATAAGAGAGTAGTTAAATAGTTAATCAACGAATCCTGATCACGGAACAATACCGCCTTCGCCTTTAGTTTATTGTTGTTTTCCTTATGAACAAAAAACTATTTTTTTCATACGTTTACTTAGGAATCAGTTGTTGATATAATTTATAAACTAAGAATTATTAATTCGTTAACTATAACCAGAAATACACTTGCACCAAGACGATCCTTATATCATTTTATCAGATATGGTTAATCTCAATGATTCATGGGAATTATCAGCAAAGGTTAATGCGAGTTAAGAGTTCGTAAGTTTAAGTATAAATGCTTGTTGGTCCAAAAGTCGTATACTTTGCCTACTTCTATAATATTAAACTTAGCTCTCTTGAAGTTCAGTATTGTATTTCATCGAGTGGTTTCAGCCGACAAAGAGAGGTCGTACTACAATCAGCCTTCCATTCTTCTGTATATATCTGTAATAACATTATGTACATATATATATATATATATATATACAGTATATATATATATATATGTATAAATCTCTCACAATTTGATTTCATCAAAGAAGGCTAAAACTTTACAAGACTAGTTTCTACTCAGTTTATTCTCTCCATTCTTTTTTTTCTAATACGACGTAAAGGTATTATGACCTTATTTAGAATTTCCCTAAGATTTTCGCTATATTTGTTTGTATTTAGACATCAATAAGTTAAATCTCTGGCATCATTTTTATTTATGTCTGTTTTTCAGTGTACGTAAGTACGATTCTTTTTAAGAAATAGTTCAGTTAGTGTAAAATGTAAAATGTTCTCTTTTAAGAACATTTCAGTTAAGTCTTTCGTATCAAACGAGTTTATATTTTTTTACTTTTGTCAGGGTGTATATTCTTCTCTTATACATAATACATATGCAGTATATATGTGTGAGTATTACTAATATATATATATATATATATTTATATATTCTTTCGTGTATGAACGGTTATGAATAGAGCTTTTCTGAATGATTCAGAAGCCGGAATTGAGAACGTTTAAAAAAAAAGGATATTCCACAACGTAGTTAGTATGTCTACGTTAAAAAAATCTGAATAAAGTTGTGCTCTTAGCTATTTGTTGAAGGTGTATGACGTCATGAATTTCCGTGGTGCCCTATAAATAATTGTTTAGAAATGTTGGTTTTTTTTTGATATTACAAAGTAGTTTAGTTTAGTCTAAAGTAAAGAACTCTACAATTTGATGAAGGATACATTTCAAAAATAATAATTGGACTACGCGATCAATTCTTTTTTTATAACTTGATGTTCAATTAACGAAAACGCCTTATCATTGATTCTGATATGTAAGTAAAGAAATTGTTACAGTTAATAATCAACGCAAAAAAAAAAAAAGAACCTTGAAACCTTTGATTTTTATATGCATGTGCTTTATATTTATTTTTATATACACATAGAAATCTATACTTTTTAGTTTTTCTTTTTTTTAATTAATGATATAGATATATTTATTGTATGTTTCTGTTTATTTTGACGAAATATGTCTTATAAAGGATTAAATAATTATCGGAAAGAGTACTAATACTAATTGGAAAACCTCAACCGCTAATAACAATAATAATTGCTTCTCAGTAGGAAGTTGACAGTATTTCAGTCTACAAGTCGCCCCCGCCTTTTTTTTTTTAAATCTATTAGATAAATATTTCAAACTTCATCCTCTGTAGTAAATTGATTTTTATGAGGATAGTTCCGCTTCTATGTTTGTTGCAGATGTTTTTATATAATCGATTACGATAAGTGGTATGTTTTTTAAGACATCTATAGAAAACTCCTCAAACCTAAAAAGTTGGATAAGTAGCAAACAGACAGAAAATTATCACGTAAGGCGTAGGTGAAATATAAGTATTTCTAATATAAGTATATTTATATATATGAATAAGTAAATATGTACGTATATATATTTGTCTTTAAAAATAGTCAATTTTTTCAGATTGGCTGATTAGTTTAGATGACGAGTTAATCTATATATAAAAAAAAGTTATTAACCTTTAGCCGTCACTTGAGAATTACTGATTTGTGTCATTTTTTTTTTTTTGGCTAAATTTTTTCTTTCTCGTTCTACAACAAGTTAATAACCTAATTAGAAAGTTTATAAGTAAAAGTAAGAGAAATAGATAAAGCCAAATATAAGAATGGAGAGAATTGTTATAAAATGAAAAAAAAATATAAAATAAAATAGAGCTGTAAATATTTTACGTTATATTAGGCCAATATAAATTGCGGTGTTTTTCTCACGTACATACACACTTAATATACATGTATATATTATTCGATAGTTTTCACTCTATATATGTTTAATGCATGATGTTATTTATTATTTTACAGATAAAAGCATCTATTATAACGTTAGAAAAAGGATAAGTAGTTTTTTTTTTTTTTCAATGGGATATTTCTAAATAAAAGAAGCAACAACAAAAGGAAAACGGCGATAGGAAGTTGAAAAGAGAAGAAACAGATTAGATAAATGACCATGGACGAAACAGCCGAGCATTTTGCCGGCGTAGGTTTGCCCCCGCGAAATTCATTCACAAGATTATCAGCATCTAGGTCAAGTTCACAATTGGCCGGTGGAAGTTTAACGTCGATTGATGAAGTCGGGGTACATTCTACTTTCGAAAACGGAAAAAACGACGATAAACGTAATCATTCGAACTGTGATCGAACTCATTCGTCAGATTCTGGTATTGATTCAGATTCGTCTCCCCTCGAGTTTCACTGCAACGACGCACGGACAGATGGATCGCCGACGCTGAGTGGAAGTGAGAATACCGTCAACGCTACTAAAACCACCACCAATGTTAATGCTCATTGTTCAAATAACGACGACGGTGACTCTAGGTTAAAGAATAAGAAGAACACCAATCAACAAAATGAAACTATGCAGCAACAGTCTTGGCTTCTTCGCTTATTTGAGAGTAAACTCTTCGATATGTCCATTGCCATCACATATCTATTCAATTCCAAAGAACCGGGCGTTCAGTGTTATCTGGGCAACCGGATGTTTTCTTTTGACAATAAGGACGTTGATAGATACTTACCTCAATTAATTAACATGTATATAAATATGCACGATGTTGCTGAAGTCATTCATCCGTATTTAGTGCACAGGTAGTTATAATTACACATTTATTCTTTTTAAGAGAAAAAATATTCAACAAACTGACGCTTTGTTTAACTTATGACCTTTTTTACTCCGACTTTAGATGCAAGCAGAGTGTTGAATTTAGTGTATGGGCGGCCTGGTTTCTGGGTGCCTATTCTGCGAATGTGTTAAAACCTTCTTGGAAAAACTCTCAAGGCATTAAATTGAAGGATATGATATTAAATGAAGAACTCAGGTTTGCGTTGGCGCCGCGTTTAATGTTTGGTATGCGAGTGATATATACTAAGCTATAAGTAGAATGCGTGTTCTATTTTTTCCGCCTCCGGAATCCTAATGAAATAGGTTATTCTATAAAAATCGACCTGTGTAGACGAAATTTTACGTTTTTTCAATTATCTACCATAGACATAGACTGTGTTATTCTGTTTCTTTTTTATAATTTAAAAACGAAATATCTGATTTTGATAGCGGAAGATCTCAAATAAAAACTAATTATTATATATTTTTTTATTATGCACCGTTTCCCCTATTGCATTTTCTGATAGTTTAAGCTATTTCCTTAAGCATACACAGAAAAAAAAATAGTGATGTAGAAAGAGAAATTGTCAATATTAAAATATTATGCTAAAATTTCAAAGGAAAGTTCAAGTCGTCAAAATATTGAGATAAAGATTGCCATAACAGATTAAAATATTGAATTGGTGAATAATCGATTAACCGCAAAGACTTTTTTAAGTACTATATATCCTATACATTTATTAAAATTGTATTGGTTAGTTGAGGGTGTGGTAAAAAACAATTAGCATGTGATTTTTATTTGATCCATTTGTTTTTAAAACTATTTCAATTCTGACCCTTATTTCAGACAAACGTATATTTCTAAATCACCTGTAAATACACCTAATGGAACACCAGTATTGCCTTTTGGTAGGACAAGCGCGTCCTCCAAGAAGCACAAACGCTCGGCCAGTGATGTTACCGCCTGTACAACAGACACGCCTTGTGGTTTGAAAAAGAGCTTCTCGACAACGAGTGCCGCTTTAGCAGCTGCTGCAGCAGCCGCATCTTCTGATTTAACTTCGGGACACGCTTTCGACTCTGGTTGTATATGTCTGGAAAGTTCTGAGGGGGTTAAGAACGCCTTGCAAGGGAAAGAGACTTTCTGTCACTGTGGAGCCCCCCGCCTTAGACCTCAAGTTCATCTAGTCAAAGCACTACAAGCAATCGGACAAAAATTATCTAAAGTGATGACAAAAGAACAACGTACGACTAGGCTGCAAGCTGAACTCTCTCAAATCAACTTGAACTTACCCGCTCGAATCTGGCTACCAACTTCCGAACCAACTCACCATATAGTTCGTATTCCTCCAGTAGCAGCTGTCGTTTTAAACTCTAAAGATAAAGCACCTTTCTTACTATGTGTGGAGGTGCTGGATTGCCACGATACAATCACTTCACCACTACCTTGCAAGCAATTGGACAATACACTACGTTACACGAGATCGGAAGAAGATTTATGTACAGCTCCAAATCATAGCGGTGATAAGACTTCACCAGTTTTATCGCCACCGTCATATAATTCTAGTCCACCACCAGTATACGAAGATGACAACGAAGCTTGGTTATACGATGACGTCCTAGTAATGGCGGCTAAAAATAGAAATATCGATACATTGAGTTTGGATACAACTTCGCTGGATAGTATAACGTCGACGTCTATTCAAGCAGTCGATATAAGGAAACGTCTAGCGGATAATGTAAGTCTGGGATCGGGAAAAACAAAATTCGAAAGGGATCCAGACGACCCATCGGCAGCAGCTCTAAAAGAGCCTTGGGTAGATAAGATAGAACGCATTCGAGAATCATCCCCTTACGGGCATTTACCAAATTGGAGATTGCTCTCGGTTATTGTTAAATGTGGTGACGATTTGAGACAGGAACTATTGGCCTATCAGGTATTGACCGAACTGCAAACAATTTGGAAGACAGAGCGTGTTCCTATTTGGGTTCGACCTTATAAAATAGTTGTAACGTCTAACGATTCCGGAATGATTGAGCCAGTTACGGACACTGTTTCATTGCATCAAATCAAAAAGAACTACAACGGTTCATTACTCGATTATTTTACAGCCGAATTTGGTGATGTTAATTCGGAAGAATTTCTTGAAGCCCGAAGAAACTTTGTACAATCATGTGCAGGTTATAGTATTGTATGCTACTTACTTCAAGTGAAAGATCGTCACAATGGGAATATTCTTTTGGATTCTGAGGGACATATTATACATATCGATTTCGGCTTTATACTTAGCTCTAGTCCTGGTAAAAACTTTGGATTTGAAACTTCTGCGTTCAAATTAACTCACGAAATAGTTGAAGTAATGGGAGGTCTAGGACATGATATGTTTGAATATTATAAAATTCTCATGCTTCAAGGATTAGTAGCCGCTAGAAAACATCAGGATCGTATTGTACCACTCGTTGAAATTATGCAGACAGGTAAAGTAATTTTCTTGCTCATTCATTTCCTTTTCTTTGAAACACGGAATATAGGCTTAAACTTTTTTCTTTTAATAATATCCATGAAAAAACTATTTAAGATATTTTTTTCTCCTCTTTCCTTATTTCTTTCTTTTATATTACTTCATTTCTTAAATTATCACATTATCCATTGTTAAATCTATATTCATGTATACATATACAATATATAAAGTGTATATAACTATATATGTATATATATATATATATATATATATATATGTATTTCTTTTTCAGGATCTCAATTGCCTTGCTTTAACAAGGGACCTTTAACAATCAAGAATTTAAAAGAAAGATTCCATATGAGTATGACTGAAACACAACTGCAGTTACACGTGGACTCGTTAGTCGACGCATCTATGAACTCAATAACGACAAAACTATACGATAGTTTTCAGTATATGACAAATGGTATTAGATGAACAACGTATCAGATATTTATAATAATTTACCATGCATGTAAAGCTATACGTAACAATAATATTAAAAAAAGTGTTTGTTTTGTCTGAAAACTAAAAAAGACTGCAAACTAGTCATATTTGTCGATTTTCTCTTCATGGAGTACGAGGAGATAAATTAAGAATGGTCACATTTGCCTTGTCACAATACACCTCTGCTCCTTGTAATTATTTTTGTGTTGGTTAATCGACATGATTTATATATGCTGATGTGTAAGTAGATGCTTTGTATGAACCGCCAATTGACTTTTAAATTATTTCAATTATAAGAGAGAATATATGTTGATACGTATATAGGTATGGTATATATGTGTGTTATATGTACCATTATATACTATATATATACTTATACATATATAATTACAGTATACATATATGCTTGTATACCAATTCGTTTAATTAAACTTTTTACTTATAAATATACTTGGAATATGTCGAAGAGTGGAGGCATATTTTATATATAGAGTATATATATATATATATATATATATATATATTCTATATATGCTGTGTATGTTTAATATACAGTATCTATATTAATAAGTATGAGATATACGTGTATATAAATTGTCAGTGAGAAAATGTCTATAAAAAAATCTCTTTCTCTCTTTCCACCTTTTTTTTTTCATTTGTTTTATACGTGAAATGTACTTTGAAATTATTATATACACGTATACGTTATACATTGATCACATTCGGTATACAGACGTAGATAAACGTCAAGATTTTTGTATAATACATCTGCGAAACTGATCGTATCTTTGTACTCATCTGCTAGCGTAAATTATGGAGAGAAAGAGTTAAAACGGGCCGGGGGGGAAGAGGGAGGAATTTTGCCAGTGTGCTGACGAAGGAAACTGGAAAGAGAAATTTGTAAATTGGATTTAACAAAAGTTTTTAAAAGAGAAGAGGTACAGTGTAGGGAGGGATTAGAAATGAGACAGAGAGACAGAGATAAGGTGATAGACAGAGAAAATCGAGGACCAAAGTTTTATTGCATTTATATTCGTCGTATTTCTTTTACAATAAACAAAACAAAAAGCTGTAAAGATTATAATCTGGAATGGTTACAGTATAATAATTTATTGAATACAACCATTGTAACAATAATGTAGGCGAATCTTTGCAACTTTGAGACATTAAGCGCCGTCTATCGGTCAGCGAACGTCATTCGACGCTATGGCGTTAGCAGATTTCAGCGGTCTAATCAGTGATTTGTTTACGGACAATGATTTTCCTCCAGAACAATCTTCCCTTACGTATGTGTATAGTGGAGACGATAAATACGAAAGAATGGAGTTTATTCGAGCCAAGAACCAATGCCCTAACCCAAAATTTGTTGGGGTAGGCGGTTACTTAAAGATCCACTTAGAAAAGAAGTTCTGGCATGATAGACGATGGCTGAGATTTCCTTTAGCCGTTATTAGCCTGAACACACGTCTTATGGAAAGGATCATACCGGGCCTCAAAGACTTTATACGCAACTTTACTAATAATTATACAGGTATCACGACAAAACGTACGGTAAACCATAGAGTTTGTCAATGATGACAAATCTTCTTATTGTTTGTACTGTCTTTATAAACGAGGCACACGTGTGCATATTAAACAGACTGACGGTCCCGTAGATTGGCAAAAGATATTATGAATTTGCATTCGGCTTGTTATGCACATAGTCTTTCGATGTAATCTCTTCTAAACTCTATATAAATGTTTCATACTGTACATTACAATTATTTATATATTCTTTCGTAGACAACTCGGCCTGTATAAGCATGCATTTATCTTTGTTCGTCGTTAAGTAAAAGGCAGAGTGAGAATGACTCGTGTACGTTAGAGGAGAAAGGTAGAAAAGAGGTAGGCAGAAAGATGAGAGGGAAACGAGAGATGTTGAAATGGAGAACCGAGAGGGAAAGATAAAGAATGAATCAAAAGAAATAAGAAAGAAGATTGAGTGAGTGAGTAAGTTGATGAATGAATGAGCGAGTAAGTATATGAATGGATGAACGAATGAATGAATGAGTGAATGAATGAATGAATGAATGAATGAATGAGTGAATGAATAGATATATGAATGAATGAGAAAGAAGAAATACAGGGAGAGAGAGAGAGAGAGAGAGAGAGAATGTGTGTGTGTGCGTCAGTGTGTGTGGGTGTGCGTCTATGTGTAAAACAATAAGAGGAATGAAGATAACAAGTAAATCAGTTACAGAACAGAGCAAGGTGCAGTTAAAGAGAGAGAGAGAAGAGTGAGAGGGTGTGTATGTGTAAGAGAGGGGAAAGAAAACGAAACGAGGTAGAGTGAAATAAAGAAATAATGAAAGAAAAAAAAAAGAAAGAAAGAATGAGGGAACGAGAAAGTGAGAAAAGAAAAAGAGTCAATGATTTGTTTTTTCCTTTCTTTTCCTCTTATTTAACTATTGACGAACAAAAAATCGCAGGGGCTTTCGAGTTTAAGATGTGGCGATTCGGAGAATGGAAAACCGTCGTTATCGACGATTATTTACCGACGCTCGAAGGCTCTTTAGCCTATACGCCCGCATTTGATGATGAATACTGGACAGCGTTACTGGAAAAGGCCTATGCTAAGTGAGTTTTTATTTCTAGCTAAACGGCCACGGCGTAAATGTCGAATCAATTAACGCAGGTGTCATAAGGCTTACGAAGCAATCGAAATCGGCAAACCTATAAACGCCTTGACGGATTTCACGGGTAAACTGATATTATTCTACTCAAACTCCTTTATCGGTCAACGCTTTTCTCTTGTTTTCTCTCTGAATAAATTGGTTTTTTTTTTCGTTCACTTTGGTTTAAACAGGTGCGATCTGCGAAGATTTTTGTTTGGACGACCAACAGCAGACTCCCAACGACAATTTATTCCACATTCTATACGTATCTTATATTAGTAGGTCAATGATGGTTTGCTGGAGAAAGGCAAAGTGCAATCAGTTGGGCGGTTTCACCAATGCAGACGTCAACGATTGCAAACTTTTTTACGTAAGCGCAGTTGCGAAGGTAAATTGCACAAACAGTTTTCAAAGTGGTTTCATATTCTAGATTAATATAATGTACGACGTTGCATGCAGTCGTGATCCAATAGTAGGCCTATCACATTTTCTTTTTCCCCTCCTAGTTCTCACTGCAGAATGGAAGTAATAAGGAAATGGTTCGACTCAAATACACAAGCGAGCCGGATGCCGTATGGCTGGGAGATTTCTCATTAAAGTCAGTATTTTTCAACAAAAGATTTATTAATCGCCTCTCTTTTACTTATTCTTGTCTATTTTCCTCTCTGCTTTTCTTCCATTCTATCCATCTATTATCGCTATAATGATTATTGTGATAATTATTCATTCAGTTTTTTTCAACAAAACGACCTCTACAACTTCTCTTTTCCACTTTATCTTATTCATTTTGATACTTTCTATCTTTATCTTATACCATCCACCCACTCATCTACCTATCCGGCCGTCCATTCATCCGCCCATTTAACCTCTCACTACCTAATTGTCGCTGCTAGTTTAGGCCTAATAACGTCGTACATATTTAACAATGTAAATATACAAATGGTAAATATGCGGTACATTTTTATACTTATAACAGTGACGAAGCAAACTGGAGTCTAGTCTCTCCTACTTTTAAAGAAGCCCGAAAACCTTTGGAATGCCTAGAGAATCCAAGAGAGTTTTGGATGACGTGGGTGGATTTCTTAAAGTACTTCGCTCACATCATCGTAATTAGCAGCACGGAACCGTTTCATTCGATTAGTACGGATTCGGAGAGAATTTACTCGAAAAAAGTAGATCCTCCTACCGATACGGCGTTCGAGGATCATACGTCTATTTCGTCATTTAAACAAGCCGAAGAGCCTTTATTCATACGACGTACCCACTCGGCTAGGGAAAGGAATAGAAAAAATGGTACAATAACTGCTAATAGCTCTAAAACTATTAAGAATCGTATAGAATTAACTAAAGCTGGAACCGGTGGTGGTAGTGGTGGTGGTGGTGGTTCGACAACTTGCCAATTCTTACTCCGAACCTCTCAACTACGCTCAGAAAATCAGCTATGTGATTGTGTAGGTGGACTTTCGAATATGTCGACAACGTCGTCAGTTTCGAACGTTTCTTGCGCCTCGGAGTGCGCTTCCGATTACAGCTATTCCGACGTTCCTCGCTGTAGGAAGCATAGTAATAATAGGCGTATAGGTGAAGAAATTAATCGATTAAAAACCCCTGCCATTCACCGATCTCAATCGCTCAATTCTTTCGCTAGTCAATTAAGTATTTTCGAGACAAACTATGATAGTTTTAGGCCTACTGGACAATGGAAGCAGCTCGACTCTTTCTATGGTAAATGGACACGTAAGCATTGAAAGATTTTCGTATTAATCAACTAAAATCCGTCAGTTACGCCATTATTTTATGCACAATAACAGTGTCGTGTTCGGGAGGACCGAGAACGAATATGAGACAGCACTCGAGAAATCCTAGATTCCTCTTTGCCGTTAATAAGAGGGACCACGAGAACTTCTTATCACCCTCTTCTTCGTTTACAGGAAAGAGTCATGTGATCATTTCTCTAATGCAAGATTATAGACAAGGTTCTAAGGGATCTCTACTATTTAACATTGGGTTCGCCTTGTATAAAGTAAGTGAGAAAGATGGATAGAGGAGGGGTGCAGCGAAAGGGAGAAAAAAGTGTTAATTAACGCCTAAAAACGAACTTGCGAATTAATTGGCATCGGTAGTGGGATTTTTGCGGTAAGGGAATATTATAACAGTTGAGAGAGAGAGAGAGAGAAAAAGAAAAAAAGAGAGAGACAGAAAGAGAGAGAGAAAGGGAGAAATCAAAATAGAAAGAAAAGGAATTAGAAAAAAAATAACAACATAGAACAGCAGCCAGAGAGAGAGAGAAAGAGAAAAGCAGGCTTGTTCTCCTTTTTCGACCAACTGCACTTTAAGTGTATACGAAGTGTATAGATGACATTTGTCTACGTACATATTATATATAAAATCTTATTTGTTTAATTGCGAAACAAAAGGGCAAGACGACGGACAAGGAAAAAAGAAATCTTGGCAAACTGCCTTTAGTCGCCGATTGCTGTAGCAAGCATGAATCGTACGAAATTATTGGAAGATTTGATTTGGAACCTGGCTATTATTTACTCGTTCCTTATCCTTGCGAATCAGGCAAAGAAACAGAATTTTTCGTCCGTATTCTAATTGAAAAAGAAGTCGATGCAACAAAAAATGCTTGGTATAAAACAAATCTATAATTCTTTTTTTTTTAAAAAAACAATATTTTTCATATTAATATTTTTTTTCTCTCTCTTTTGCAGTTCTATTTCTTAAAATTTGCCTAATTTACTACCTATATAGCCACACTAATATATGCACGAAGGTTAGGCCTATTATGATTGCTGCTATTTAATTGACAGTGAACCTTTCTCAATTGTACAAAATGAGCAGAAAAAGCTACTTCTTTGTATGTTTTCTTTAAGGATAAAGTATATATATATATATATCATAAAGTATATTATATACTTAATTATTCTAATAACTGAAGCTAACAATATCATTATCTTTATTATTAATTTCATCATCGTCATTATTATCATCATCATCTTCCGAAAATCTTGTTTTTTAATACAGACAATATACCTTGAAAAATCCAGTATATGCCTATATATACAAGTATTTATATGAATGCAGTATATATAAACAATCGTTTTATGTCAAATACTCTATGGATTATTAAGATTAATTGATAAAACGTAGGAGACAACATGGATAAAATATATTCATTAGAGAGATGGAATGAAACATTTTCTTCCTTTTCTTCTCTTTCACTCTCTCTCTCTCTTCCTTTCTTTCTTTCTCTCTTTCTCTCTTTTTTCACTGGTCTTTTAAAGGTAATCCTTTACTCTCTTTTCTTACTGTCTACCTCCACTTTATAGCTAGTATTTTTATTTGTTTATATACCAACTATATAAAGTATGTAAACGGCCTATAAAATCATTAGCGTGCCTTATTTGTCTGCGTTTTCCCCTCTTTTACCCTCCTTCTAACTCTATTATTTATACAAATGACAGCGTGGACTTTTCCTATCTTTCTTTCTTTCTTTCTTTCTCTCTTTCTCTCTATCTCTCTATCTCTTTCTTCTCTCTTTTGCCTCATCTTCTCTCTCTCTCTCTCGCCTACGTGAATATTAATTTACTGCCAATAAAGAGGATAACATAAGACTATCTCCTCCCTTCCGTAGTAGACATTTATACATTTCCGTCACCCTCCATGAGTGATATATAACGCCCTCTAGATGATTTAAGCAATACTAGACTTTTTATTAGGGGGAGAGGTGGAGGGGGACAATGGGGAAATTTTCGACCGATAGGTGGCGTAAAACGTCCAGTTGAGTGCGAGAGAATTTCGACCATATAGAGCGCGCAATGCGAAAACCGTTGAGCGTCAAATGATGAGAAAAAGAATGAAAAATGACATCGATCGAAGTCGACTCGAACCCAGCTTCCTCGGATATAGCTGGTCGTCCGGAAAAAGTGCAAAAATCTTCCGGATTCACCAGATCAAAGAACTTTATGAAAAAGATAGTTCGAATATTAGAAGACGACAGATTAGAGGATGTCGAGCAGGAGCTAAACGACCAAAATTCCAGTCAAATTGGAGAGCATTTATGTCTCAAGAAAGTTCTCAACATAACCTTCATAACCACTGGAATTGTTCTCTTCGTGTCTGTTGTAATAGTTATAATCTATACGGCTGTCGGTAAATATGCAAATTACCCTTGTAAGGCTTTAATACGCATGAATTGTTTCGTAGAGCGTCTAATTTCCTATATATGTAATCAATTAGCCTATAATCAATATGAGCGTAATTAGCATATCTGAACGCGATAAAGATTGATACGGATATTGGCAGAGTGGACGACTCGCGATAGCAAGAGTTTTTTTGTTTCAAGTATCTAGAACAAAAGGGAGAACGAGTATGAATGACTAGTATAAGAGACCGGAAAGTAGAACTACGACTATGGGCGTGTGTCGAAGTAGGAATAGGAGGCGGTGTAGGAGGGAGAGGAAAGAAGCTAAGAAGGGGAGTGGCAAGCTAAAGAGAGAGAGAGACAGAGAGAGAGAGACAGAGAGAGAGGGGGGGGAGGGGGGAGGGGACGGGCGATATTCCGATGGCAGATGTGAATGAAAACAATAGTTTTGAACACAATAAGTTGAAATGAGTTAGAAAGCGAACAAGCTGTAGAATAGACGCACGTGTTGCAGTTAACAATTCGATGTTAACTCGGGGTTGCTTTATTATTTTTTATTTTTTTTTTTTCATTTTTTTTTCTCTCTCTCTCTCTCTCTCTGTCTCTTTCTCTCCTTTTATTTCATTTTTCATATTCTTTACCGAGTTAAAAAAAAGCGTCTAACGCAACAAAGACAGATATCAAGCGACCTAATGAGAAATCGCCGTCGAGAATTCGAAATGAGCAAAAGGCCGAAATTAAGCGAACGAGTATGCAAATGTGGCTAAAGCCTCGACTGTCGCATTTGTATAAATATTGAGAGGCAGATTAATTGGTGAAGGGCATATACACATCTGAAATCCGAAGGGATATAATCTAGAACGTTTCATAATGTCTATATATAAAAAATATATGGATATAGGCGGCTGTTTATATAATTGTATTTATATTTATATAATTGTAAAACGTTGTTATGTAACATTATAGACGCCGTTTAATTCTTTAGCAGAACCGTCTATATAAGAGATTAGTCAGCAAAAGTAATGAGATTAAGGCTGACGGCAAAAAAATAAAAAAAAAAAGCGGACAAGTGCATTGCTGCAGTAAAGTTTGCTGTTGCCGTTGACAGTTATCTGCTGTCCCGCTTTTATATTCAATCGAGTTGCCCGCTATAATTTCAATTGCGCTATATAATTTTGTCCACAATTTTTACGCTTTTCTCCTCTTTTAAGCCTATAATAAAAAATGGATATTTCCATTTAATTACCAGCTGTAGGGATAAAGAGAGAGAAAGAGAGAGGGATAAGGCAAGGGTGGAAGTCGGTGTGAGTAAGAGCGATATACGTAGGAATAAGGCATGGAAAAGTGCAATTAAAGAAAAAAACGAAGAAAATATGGACGTTTATCCAAAGTTGACCAGTTTTTTATATTTCCCCAGTTGCGCATAGTCCTTCCTTAAATTAGAAGTAGGCGATGGGCGGTCCGCCTCCCCATTTTCCCGCAAGAGGTTGTATTAATAAATTATAAAGCGACCTATAAGTGATAGTTGTATCGTTCTTAAAATGCATTAGCCATTTGCAATGGGTCATCGAATGCAACTTGATGGAATTATTTAAACATGTAATATCTTATTAGATAGAGTGAGTTAGGCTTTATAAGTAAATGATATTTGTATTTAAAACAATACGCATATTGGAGGAGGAGGAGGAGGAGGAGGAGGAGGAGGACGAGGGTTGGTGGTAGTTTAACCGACCAATCTTTCAATAGTTGAACAGACACAAGCAAAAAGAATAAATGTATATTGTATATATCTTTACAGACTATATATATTGTATAGTATATATTTATTAAGCTGGTTATGTACATAAGTATTTCAACTCACGCTACTGCAATAAATTTGCGGCTGACATGAATAGTCCATATTTTTTGCGTTTATTCGTCGTCCGTAAAAAGTAATTCTTTACAAGTTAATTACGCTTGTATGGTGTATATATATATATATATATATAAATATATAGTTCTTTCTCTCTCTCTTTCTCTCTCTCCCTCTTTTAACATAGATATTGTCTTAGAGGGCATGATTCTATTTACCCTTTTTCAGTATAAAAGAAAGAATCAAACTAGTTTGGTCCAATAAACACTTTCGGTGAGCCTCTTTTATCTTAAAATAAACAAACATAAATCTTTCTTTCCAAGTGTTTCTCTTTTTCATATTTCTTGCATTTTGTTTGTCTCCTTCTTATGTTTGTTTGTTTATTTGTTTGTTTTTTTTTTAAAAAAAACAAGGAGACAAACAAAATAATGAACAGGGAAACAAACTAAACAAATAAGTAAATAAAAAAACAATTTGAAAGAAAGACTATTCGAAATCCTTTTATTTAAATTCCTCGGTGAGTTGTGGCTGGTTTTCTACTAAATTTAATTTGTGTATAAATACTATATATCTGTATTCAGGGAAGCCCGGATTGGGAACCGCAGATTTCGTGATACAAACAGGTAAATGCGCCATCTATCGTTTATTATTACCAATATTATATTGTTATGCTATAATTTCTGGTAGCCGATAGTCAATCAATGGAGCCAACAGCGCAATTAAACGCCATTCAAACGACTACTGCTGATGATGAAACTACGCCTATGTATACTTTTAGTTTATCGCACGAGGAGGAGAAATTCGATAAGAATTATCCTGCCATCTCTTTTGAGGTACAACCAATCGCTTTCCATCTCAGATCATCTATAAGAAAATTACGTCATCATTTTAAATCTCATCCGAACCATCGAAGGCAAAGGTTCTTTCCAATTTTTTAAAAGATTAAACGCCATCACATTTTCTCTCCCGATATCTTTCCCTATCTCTATATCTTTCTTATATACTGTGTACTGTATCCAGGGTGTATATATATATATATATATCTTTATATCTTAAGTACCTTATTTATTATCTATTATAATATACACTATACACTGTACACTATGCAGTATATACAATATATATATATATATATATATATATTTACACTATAAGACTATATGCAAACAATGATAATACGCTGTTATATACACAAATAACAGTCGTATAAGCTTTTATTTCCCTTCTATACAGTATACTGTAATAGGAATATGTTTATGTTTATTTATTTGTTTTTTCTCCTCTCTGTTCTTCACTTTATCATTTCTTTATCTCTCTATCTCTATCTCTCTCGCTCTCTTCCTCTTCCTCTTTCTCTCTTCTCTTCTTTTTCTCTCACTCATCTCGCTTTCTCTCTCTTTCCATCTTCCACGCGAAAGAGAAGACACAGAAATGCAATTGGAACAAAACCACGAAGAGGAGGAGCAGAAAGAAAAGGAAGAGGAAAGGGAAGGGAAGAAAGAGAAACTTAACGGCTGTTTTGTTTTGAACTTTCTTCTCTAATTCCTTAAACTTTTTCCCTCCAAGTCTTTGCATGAAAACGCTGTGCCTTTTTGAATTTTATGCATTAATTTTACTGTGCTGTCTCTTTCAAAATATAATATTTTACACCTTTTTGCTTCTGATAACCACCATCATTGAGTAATCACAATAGCAGTAGCAAATATACTCTATATCTATAATAGTGTTACAAATTTCAGTAGTCCCATTACTGTTGTAACAACTGTTACAACTTGTTAGTTGTATCCTCTACTCTTGTTACCTATTATATAGCGCAACTAATTGTCATATATAGCCAAATCTGGAGAGGGTGTAGAGGTGGTTTAAGGATTTTCCGGTATCACTCTTCCAATATGCTTCTTAAAGTGTGCCATCTGGAAATGTCAATTTAAAGCATTTACACCTTTTTTCCCCCCAACTGCAATGGCTCTTTAACTCACAGATTTCTAATGTAGATAATGGCGATGATGACGATAAAGGTACTTGACTGATTTATTGCTACTTTTAAAGAGAGAAACAAACATTTAATCAGCTGGAACAATTAGAGTATTTTGTCTATTTGAGTAGGAAAGTTTTGAGAGAACATGCGATTTGTTGATCAGATTTCTTCAATACATACTCTCACATAAGAATGTATGCTATATACTCCAATGAACATGTATATATTTGTTCCACTCGACCTTTCTATACAATACTATTGAAAATTTATTTATATATATATATATGCTATATATATATTATTTACAGTTAGTATACACTCTTCCATATGCAATACTTTACAACTGCTAACTCATTTATAAGTGTATACTATCAATACTAGAACATATAAAGTCAATAAAGCCTGCGAAATCATACAATATATCTATTAGGACATATGTAGTTATTCAGGAATACTTTTACAGCTCTCTCTCTCTCTCTTTCTCTTCCCTGCTATTAGAGAAAGAATGAGAAGGAAAGATATAGATAAAAACTTTTTCTCTTTTCCAACAAAAAGTTTATTAGTTTTTTTTGTGTTGAAAATAAAAAACAAAGTCAAAATGTATAGCGTAATAGACATTTAACAAACTGATTATATTAGTATACAGTTTATATACACTGTATATATAACTATAAAATACATTCGGGTCTTTTTTGGGTCATTTCAACGTTATTGTCAATAGCATCTATATAGTTAAACTTTGTACAATTAATCAGTCCATCTCTCCTTCTATCCGTCCATCCATATTCTCATCCATCCCTTCCAGTCGTCTAACGTAATAAGAGGAAAATAAATAAACAAACAAACAAACAAACTAACAAACAAAAGAACATAAAGGATAAACATCTTTAAAGGCAGAAAAAGAAATATTTGTTCAAGAATTTTAAAATTCAAGTATAGAAAGATAAAGAGAAATGATTATTGAACATTATGAATAATGCTAAGGAAGAGAGAAGGATCGAGCATGTAGATTGCCGGTTATTTGCCGCTTGGGATTTATTTTTTCTATTTCTTCTCGTATTCTTCATTACTTCTAAAAGAAGATATAGAATTTTAGAGAAAATATTTATTATCAAGAAAACTCCTCCTTACTTCCGCCCTTTGTCTTATTCCCTTTGTACTTTGTCGGTGGTCTCTTTGTAGTCGTAGTTGTAGTCCTAATGTACTGGTTTTTATTTAATAGAAATTTATACTTGATCCATACGGGATTACTATTGGATATTTGACCACTGGGATGTTCGTAGGTTAGATAGGGATGTTTTGATTTGGGTATCCATGGTTTCGGCTGAACGAATTTGAAACTTTTTCGTCCGTGCTTTCGCTAAGATAGATAGAAAGAATGAAAGAACGAATAGATAAGGTTAATTAAGGGAATTAGGATTTATTACCGACTGAAATGGAGGACAAGCTGAGATATTTTTAATGGGTTTTGGAGATTCGTCGTAAAAGAGAATACGATCAACGCAATTCCTAAATGAATCATAAATAGAGGATAATATTATATTAAAAGCATTAATAACTCTCATCTTACAAAGGTCAACAAACCTTCGACCTGGCACTCGCTTCACTTGGATGCTAACGTTGTAGTGAGAGGGAACCTCAAATTCGTATTTACATCTTGTGTCCTTGGCAATGTAATAATCTGGAATGTGAACACCAAAGTAGAAATCGTCGTGTTCCGATTCCGAAAATTTATCCAAATCTTCGTCATAGTCGGGTCTAAATTTCCAATTACAAGTTCCACTCTCCCTTACGCCTCTTTCGCTAGAGACTAAACAAGAAAGAGAAGATTATCCACCTATCGTTCGTTTATATAACAAAAATACAACTTACTTCCAAATCTGGGCATTACTTTGCCCTTAAATCCTTGATAATGCCAAGGTGAACTACCGGATCCAGAACGAAAGACTAGAAAGAGTATCGAACCGGAAGAAATGATTTTCTCGCCGTCATGACCGCAAAATCTTCCTATTCTAGGTGAATTAGACGTTGGTCCGTCGTAAATCTCCAAGTAGTCTTCCTCGCAATTTCTCCTATTGAAAATAAACAAAGGAATGAAGGGGCTATTTCACACTAGTCAGCGCTCACGATTTATGAATGTCCAACTTGAGTCTTTCACCGGGAAGGGCGTGAGGACTAAAATTGAATTCGAGTCTGGAGGATGTTGAATCTTTATTGATGGCTTCGAGAGTATAATGGCAAGTTGTATTTGGAGGATAGATCCCGGGCCAACCCGGAGATGTTAGGAAAAACTGTTGCGTTTTACTTCCATCAAATTCCACGAACCAATTACATTCTATTACGGACAAAGTAGACATTATTAATTGATTGAATTACGTAAAAAAGAAAAGAGAAGAGAAAACCTCCATTGATCGACTTACTGAAATCCTTAAGAGACCAACTGGATCTAAGTAAAGATCCGACAGGATACTGTTCGTCCGGTTGTGTTTTATCGACGAAGCTAATCTTTAACTTGTAGTGGGTATGGCTACGTCCGTGATCCACTTGAAACTCGATAAGCCCATTTAACCGAATTTGTCTCTTGACAGTTCCCGTTTCTTTTTAACCCATTAAATATTTAAATAAATACTTAAATATATATATTTATATAGTTTCTATTCCAGACAACTTTACCGTTATTTCCTATTGAACCGCAAAGTTCCGTTGGTGGTAAGATGCTGTTGTCGTATAACCGATCGTATTTTTCTTTAATCCTTAAGAAACCTCCGTTGCAGCTGCGTTTTGAGCACAAAGAATTTAAAGCATTACCCTTTTTTTCCCTTCTTATTAATATGAATAGTAGAAAGACGGAGGAGGGAGAGGGAGGAAGAAAAGATGCTCTTTCTTCTTTTTCTTTCTTAATTAATCTTATTAGTTTTAAATATTACTGGTCCTTCTCCTCTCTCTCTCTCTCTCTCTTATTCTTTCTATTCTTCTCCTTCCTTACCTGCTCTGTCTCTTATTAAAACTGCCTGTATTCAACGATAAAACCTCTACTGTTACAACGCTCTCCTCTCTCACTTTAAAGTCGTAGTCGTCAATTTTAATATAACAGAAATTAGGTCTAAAACCCGAAAAAGATCCTTTCGGGGATTCGATGATGATACTCTTGTCGACAATCATGTCTCGCGTAAGTGTAAAATTGCAGTAGTCTGCAAAAGATAATAGAAAAATAAGTAGGTGTTTTGAAGAATTTGAAATTATACGAGGAGTGGATTATGAGAAGGGGCGGAGTGGGTGTATATACTGTATAAAGCGAAACGACGGCAGGAAGTGATAAGAAGACAAAGCCTTTATCTTCGCATTAAGAGTATTCATAAAACAAGATGCTATCTGTCAGTGCTCTCTACCAAACACTAGACAAAAAGGTAATGTCGACTTAGCACAATGACATTAATAAGAATGATAGTAGTAAAATTTGCGTAACTATGCTTTAGGGGCGAGATATAAGAGGTTCAGTTGCTGGCGGCGGTTGAAGACGAATGAATAGAAGGCAAAAATTATTAATCGTCTCTAATTGACGACGTTGCATAGTTTGCGTGCATAATGATTATAAAGCCAACAGAAAATAATTTAGTATAAAAACCAGTACAAACAAGAAGCGGCAGGATAAAAGCTATAGAAATGCAAATGCCACCAATATCTGCCTCATTGCGCCCTAACAATGAATCATTTTTTTGTGTTTGGCAGGGATACCTTTTATTAAAGCGGTTTTTCCTGCTCTATTGATAAAGTAACAGGATAATTTGTTGCCATTTCTCACTTTACTCTTTCAGCCTATAAGCTTGTTTGACATTTCCGTCTTATACATTTTGATTAAGAATTTATAAAGATACCTAATTCAGGAGGTAAGCCTAGTTTTCCTCTTCTCCCGGATTCCGACTTGAATTCTGTAGAAATGCAAAAGAGAAACATGATTAATTATTGGTAAACAATCAATAACGGAGTTTGAACAGAAGCTCTTTTTAAATGTCAAACAGGGGACATTTTTATTCTACGAAAGAAAGTGTTGAGAGAGAGAGAGAGAGAGAGAAAGAGAGAGGAATGTTGGAAAGGCATCAATTTAACTATATAGTAGGGCGATTTGCAATTGGTCCATAGAGAATTGATTAGCTTGTGAATTGTTAAACAAATATTCTTACAGTTAACATGACTCTACATAAAAACCTTTTAGACTAATTAGCATATACATCGTATTTCAATTAGAATAGAATAGAGAGGACACGTGTTGTTTATTAGCTAATATAATTAGTTTTATACGCGAGTGAGACGACACCGACAAATTCTAATAGTAGTACTAGCAATAAAAAGTTTGTGGTAATGGTGTTAGAAGGTTGTCCTCAATAATAGAGAGAAAGAGAGAGAAAGAGAGAGAGAGAGAGAGAAAGGAAGAGAGAAAAGAAATAAAAGATAATTCTTAATTGTGAATTATCTGTAATTTTCCTTCTACAATTTTCTCTTTTCACTCATTCCCCCTTTCTTATCGTTAGCCAACCAATCAAGATTTTGGTCCTAATAGAAAAAAACGACGTAAAAACCCATACAACCAACATAATTTGCCAAGTTACCGTGGGAGTTAAATCCGATAAATAATATAAATGCATCTCACCCTTTTACGAACAACAGCTTAAATTATTTATTATAAGTATTCCTAGTAAAAGAAAACATACTATATATATATTTAAACGTGTATAGGTGTAGATATATACATGTCTATATTTCTCATCAATTCACACCTTTCCTTTCATTTAACTATTCTTCATTTTCATTTTCTATTCTTTCTTTCTTTCTTCTTATTCTTCTTCTCTATCTCTTTTATATCGTTATAAACTTTATAACTCTTCTTTTAAATCTATCCAGTCCCGCTTAAATCAACAGGTAGCTTTGGGAGCGCCCCCTAACGAATGCTTGCTACAGTTAGCTCTCGTCTTTGAAGAGGCTATTGAGCAGTCATTACGTAAATATAGTTACGCTTAGCAAATGAAGAAAGAGTAATGTTCTTAACGTCATCAAGCAGATACTTAAAAGCGAAGTCAATCGGCTGAGAACCCCATGAAGAAAGTCAGAGGTGGGGAGGGGGAAGGAGGAGCACAGATAGAGAGAATGAGAGAAGAACGAAGGAGGAGGGAGGTAAACGAGGAATTTAGGACGATGGATAATAGATATATTTATGCATAAAATATATAAAGAGACTAGATCACATTGCCTCTTTTGCATCTCAATAGGCCTTTTGCCCTTCGGAGATTTCTTCTTGTTTACAGCGACTCTTTTAAACTTGACCGTACTCATTAAGTAAATTATAGATTTAATTTATTAAGTAATAATAATCTATCGATTCGATTAATAATTTTCAATCATTTTGTAAGCTGCACTCGGTGTTAAAATTTGTACTAATACATAAATAACGGTCTACAGAGAGTGGAAGAGAGATTAACAGTTTTGCTAGAAGTTGGGAGAGAGAGAGAGGGGGGGAAGAGGGGGAATAAAGATAGGGAAGGGACAGAGACAGAGAGAGGGTGTTTAGGGAGAAGCGAAAGGAAAAAAACATAAATAATGAATTACCAATAGAAAACAAAACAAAAAATAACAAGGTATACTGCGACAAACAAGATAATACATAACTAGCGATACTTAGTACTGTTTAATAAAAAAAGAGAGGTTTGTTAATGTAACTTTGACACTGAGTAGACTGGTTTTTCACTTGTTCCGTAACAATTTTAAGTGGCTTTTGCCTACTTTCGTAAGGGCTAAAGCAATTTCACGAGTTTGTACAGACTGTAAATTGAGCGAGACAGCTAGTCAAATTTTGATGAGGTAGCTTTTACAATGTTCTAGGCCTAAATGAAATCAATTTCCACTCAATTGTTTTAAATGCCTAAAGCATACATTTATCATTAATATGACAATCGATCAAATTCATTTGAATTCCTTCTTTGAAGAGGATAATAAACCTCTTTCAAAAGTTACAAATCACAAATTTATAATCTTTCAGTAATCTTTTAATACTTGTTTGTATATATATTATATACTGTATATCTCTTCCGGACAGTCTAGATTGATAGATTCAAAACTAGTTGAATATATTCATTGGAGTTTGTTCGTAAATTCCCTTTCTTTTGAACATTCCATCTCTTTATTACTACTCTTCTCACTTTGGGTCTTTTTTCATGCATTGGTTACAAAGACCACCTAGCCAGCAGGCTATTCAATTCACGATCGTATCTTATTAGATTAACATTAAAAAGACAGAGAAAGGAGACGCCATAGGTTTGAAAATCGACGTCAGTCCATTAAAGGAAAGGAGGAATACTAATAAATAAACTTTTTATAATAGAGTTAATAAAGAAATAGGGAAAGAGTAAGAGAATTGACTACTCTTTTTTTTCTTTTATCTTATTATTGTCGTTATTTCTTTATTTCTTATCTCTTCAATTGAAAAAGTCGGAAATGGTTTGTCAGCCGTTTTCTTATTCCCTAAGAAACTCAAGTATTACAAGATTCTTCTTAATAAAAAGACTATACAACTTGACACGCCATATTCTCATTCTCTTAAAATCTATATACTCTATATACGACGATCACCAGCTTAATCATATCTCATCGACGTCTGTTTCTTTCTTTTCTTCCTTTTTTCCTATTCCCCCCTCCCTCTCTCTCTGTCTACGTATACTCTGAGTTTCTCTTTCTTTTTCTACCCTCCTCCTCCTCCTTCTCTCTTCAAGTTTGTTGAGTTAGTTCCTTCTTCCCTTTGTAAGATAATTGATAAGTTTACTATAGACTTTTACGACCGCAACTAGGCAATAATTTTTTCCCTTATTCTTTTATAGTTGTATAACACAAATTCGATAGAACAAAACCTAATAAACTCTTTTACTTTCTCTCTTTCTCTCTTTCTCCCTCTTTCCAAAAATTAGTTACAATTGAGTTTACGCCTTTGCGTTCAAGATAGATTTTAAGCGAAAGGAAAACAAAGAAAGAACAAGAAAAGAATAAAGATTAAGAAGAATAATACCCATAATAGGTCACTTACCTCCGAACTGAATTAGAGATAACACGACCAAAGTTTTTACTAGGCAATACATTTTCCTTCTGTAGTGCTAGGGGAGGAATGAGCGTTCCGTCCGCAGTCGGTGCGCTTATGATGAGCTAAACTCATACATAATAGATTAGACGCTACACAGAAGTGACGCACTATGCGCAATGATCAGCCAATAACGACAAGAGACCGCTCTTTTTTAATATATAAAGACGTATATTTCACGTGGTTTTGATACAATGCAACCTATCCGTTTTTAATCTTTACATTGTCGGTCCCTATTCACCAATTTTGGTTGTCTCCGCCTTTCCACCCATCTCTATCTCTATCCCTTTCTATTGCAATATTTATTAGTTATTTTGCCTTATGAAGAAATCTTTCTATTTCTTTTCGCAGCTCATTTCACTAATTAATGTTTACTTTACTCGTCTCTTTTTTTGCGGTAACGGCGTTTGATTCTTTTATATACATTGCGTAAACGTTCATTAAATAAAGCGCAGCGTTCCGTCGTTAAAGGCCTATACAATGAGAGGCGGCGATTTCATGTCAGAGTCGAACGAAAGCGTTTGACACTATCAATTGAAGAAAATGGTAAACGAAGCACGATTTAAACGCTTTTGAGTACGATTTGACAGGTTTAAAACAAGATGAACAGTTTACAATTATCACATTCAATCTCGGAATCTTATCGAGTATGGAACGACCTTCTACATTACACTATAAACCTCCGAGTATGGAAGAAAATCGTCAAGACCTGCAATATTTTCCCAATACGGCTGTATCTTCGACAACGTCGTCGTCTTATTACCGATATTCGCCGCCTTATTCTCCTAAAGCGATAACGCCACCTCAGCAAGAATCTCCTGCTAATTTTTCATCGACGCTCAACTCGGTCGGCTACGGAACGGATAGTTACGCGTCGGCCAATGGAAGTTCGAACGCTATCGATCTAAGTGCCTTTGCCCTTCAAGCTCACAACGAAGCGAACGAGGAAGAGAACCACCATCTTCATCATCATCACCACCATCACCTTCATCACGACGATCTTAACGACGATTCCCACCATCAGCCTCATCATCATCACTTTCATAATAAGAGTAAGGACAATTCATCAAGTGGTATATCTAGTACGAGCGGAGAAGAAAAGAGATTACAAGTCGATCAGGGAGCTTCTTCGAGAGAAGAAGTAAGTAATAGGTCAACTGAAAAACCGCCCCACAGCTACCTAAGATTAATAGCCGAAGCCCTATTAGACGCCCCAGAGCAAAAGTTAATACTATATGATATATACAACTACATTCAAACCAAGTACGAATATTATAATAACGAAGAGAAGGGTTGGAGAAACTCTATAAGGCATAACTTGTCTATAAATACGTGCTTTGTAAAGCAGAATAAGCATAGGACTGGTAAAGGACACTATTGGGCGTTGCATCCATCTTGTATTGAGGATTTTAAGAACGGCGACTTTTCAAAAAGTTATACGGCTAAACGTGTTAGAAGACGGAAACCGGCAGCTCCATTAACATCTACACCCCGTAACCGATACGAATCAATGCCAATGAATTACGGAAGGTTTTCACCCTACGCAGTTCCACCTCCAAACTTTCCAAATCTACCGCCAACATTACCTCCGTCATTACCCAATCCATTCTATCCAACACACGATACTAATAATGCAACATGGGCGTTGGCCACCCGATTTCCACCTCAATATTTTGATTATTCAACACCAATTGGGGACGCCGCCTCGGCCGCACACGCCAATTATCAATCGTATACGTGATATTTAAAGTCAAAAAGAGGACTATAATTTGCATATATATGTATATCTGTACATGTTTTTATCGAGTAGTATAAATTGCATATGTATTTTTTATATTAATAATTTGTTAACTATTTTTATTGTTGAGAAAATAAAACTCTCTTAAAAATCAATTCTTCTTCTCTTCTTATCATCATCATCATTAGAGAGAGAGATATTAGTTAATTAATTATTTAATCAAAGAATAATTTCAATTTTTATGAGTTGCAAGTAAATTTATAGATGAATATAATAATTATTTCATTTTGTGTTCACATTTAGGGAAGAGAGGTGAGAATTTAGAGACGAGAAAGAAGGGGAACAAAGGCAAAAACTATATATATATATATATATATATAATGATAAAATAAACGTTTATATGTCAATTCTTTTGTAAAGTTCATCTATGCCTGGGTTTCTGCTGGTAGGTCCTTATCAGAAAATTCATCAACCTTAAAGCTGTTAGCGATTAGGTCGAACTTATCGGCTCTATGGTCAACGCGGACTCCTTCTGCTGTACGAAGATCGTCCAATTTACCATCGCAATCGCCGCATAATCCTACCATCTTGTCCTTGTATCTTGGAGGAACATCGATGACAGCAACTGATCTCAATCCTTCTCCATCAAAGCCTACTCTAAGTCCGCAGTCGGTATCGACAATTACGTAGTTTCTGTACTTGTAAATTCTGAGACCGGGATGTAGTACGTTGTTGCTAGGCAATTGGATTTGTGTACCAGAACTACCTCCAATGTAAGCTCTACCGTGTTGGTCGAGGTGAATAACGATACTGTAGACCATAACTTCTAAGAATCTTGGGTAAGTTGTGCCCAAAATGTGTTTAGGATGTCCGGCTTTAACTTCGACGTTGAAGCTACACTCGTCTCTCGGGTCGATATGCTTGGTCATTTGATATTTGTTTGTACCGGACAAGATGATGTAATTTCCGTCGTAAGATCTAAGTATAGGATCGCCTCTGAGACGGCAGGTGCAGGCCTCTGAAAACGAATAGATCTTTTATTACTTCTGATAATATACTTTTCTTTAATAAATAATATTTTTAAAAAAGGATCAAACGTCAAAATGTCTATTAAAAATGAAAGAAACGAACCTTTACAAATTACTCCATCTCCGAAGAATCCGTGATTACACATGCAAGTTCCATTATGACAAACTGCGTTATCTCCACAATCGTCTTCCTTGGAGCAAGTAGCAGCTAATATATAATATTGAGCAATTAGACAATCGATTCTACCGAAAGGGGGGGGGGGAGGGGATGGGAGGGGTAAGGGGAACAAGAATGGAGTAGGTTTGGGAATATAATACAGTAAGTAAAGGTGTCATGCACAAAATGTGATGATAAATGATGATAATTTTGATGATGAATTATAAACATTAAAAGCGCAGTGAATAGACAATAATCGCGTCTCTAATTCATAATAACGTTTTTTTGTGTGGGTATTAACAATTAAAATATTATTTGTAGTAAGTATTTAAGTATCAAAACTTGCAATATAAAATGTAACATCTTACCTTAAAACTTGTATAAAGAGAGTCAAGAGACGTAAGATATTGACGATACAGCTGAGGAAGAAGAAGAAGAAGAAGAAGATGATGATGATGATGGTGATATTGGGGAAGAGGAAGAGATTGTATACATATATATCCCAACATTTCTTCATTTTTTAACCGTATTTTATATATATAATATATATATTTTTTATATTTTTGTATTCACAAAACATTGAATTATTATGTATATTGCGTATTCCATAATGGAAATATACAATAAACGCGTTTGCCAATCATCAACTATTCATCAATAAGAGAATCATCGCACTCTACAAAAACCCTCTCTTTTTTTCTCTCTCTTTCTTTTCCTCTCTATCTCACTCACTTACTCACTAACCTACTCTCTCTCCCACTCTCTCTCTCTTCTTCCCAGGCTAGCTAGCTGATTGTGTCTTTATCTCTCTCTCTCTACATAGTTTCAGTGAGAAGAGATAAACATTAATGTCGTTCATCTACATAAATTGTATATGAATATTTAGGAGTAGTTGCAGTTTTATTGTTTTTTTTTGATAAAGGAAGTTGAACCAAAATACCATAGTATACCGAGATTTTCACTGACGGAGAAGATATGGAAGAGAGTGGAAATACCGCTATTCTTGATTATGCTGTTGAAGATGACTGCGAAACCAGTGCCGACGACGATCGAAGAAGAAAGAAGAAAACCAAAAAAGATATTATTCCAGGAATATTCCTAGAAAGAAGAAGAAGAAAAAGAAGAAGATGAAGATGATGATGAAGAATGTGGAGCTGCGACAGCGGAACGTAGATAATCAATTATGTGATATGTTAATAAAATATTTGGCCTTTATATAGATATTCGCATAAAATATATAAAATATGTTACACCGTCATGTGGCTTTTTGAATAAAAAAGCCGAAATTTTATTCCTTTCAGTGAATATTTTCAAGTTAGAGAAAAATCAGTAAAAATGCAAGATGTTTAACTTTAAAGTAAAAAAAAACAACAACATATTTACTATTGATTTTTATCTATAGAAGCTTTTTCAACGAGTACATATATGTATATGTTTTTAGGCCTATCTTGTACATTTTTACTCTTCTCTCCATTTCATTAAAGGTATACTTTAATTTTTATAAAGAGTATCTCAATGTATTTTATTTCAAGTTTTATCAGGTGAGCGCCACTATCCGATTCGAAACGAAACAGACTTTATCAATTATTAAAGGTAACGACCGGTCGCGCGAATGCAGTGAAAGAGGATGAAGAGAGAGAAAGAGAGAGAAAGAGAGAGAGAGAATATAATACTGTATATATAATATTTAACAAAAATTTTGTATTTCTCTATCTCTATCTCTCTTTTGTTTCTTCAATTCTTTGGCCAAACAGTAAAATTGAAAAAATATTATATATTATACTGTAGAATTAATCAACCAATAACTTCGCTTTCTCTCTCTCTCTCTCTCTCGTAACCATTTTCCATTTTCCACCCAACCTTTCCCTCCCTTTCCTCTCCTCTAACTTCACACATTATCTAATTATTAATACCTTTATGTCAGCTATTTTAATAGAATCGATGATGATACTAATAATAGTAATAATACCCTAAAGAGTTGCAATAATAATTATTTAACGGGATAGATTGAGGGAAAGAGAGAGAGAGAGAAGGGAGGCTGGGGAGGGGGGAGAGAGATACAGAGAAGCAGAGTTTAGGATTATCAAAGTATTACTCTAAGTCTATAGAAAAAGACGATCAAGCTTTAGTGGGCATTTTAGGGGTCAAACCCTGCTATATAATTGCTTTTTTTTAAACTTAGTTGCTTTCGAGTATACTATACCTATATAAATATGAGCATATATTATAGACAGATAGAAGGAAAGAGAGAAAGGAAGAGAGAGAGAGAGAGAGGAAAAAAGAAAAAAAAAAGCATTTGCGCAGCAAAAATCTTCCACGTTCTGTTAATTTAATCATTCAGAAAACAAATTTCATATCACTTCTCAGTGGAGGAACGCCTTTAACTTAATTTAATGCTGCTTTTTATTATTTTCGTCGATCTCCCCCCTCTCCCCTCCCCCCATCCCCTTTCTCTCACTCTTACTTTCTTTCCTACAAAAGTAACCAATAGGGATTTATATTGTTGTATTGTATGTTATTGAATAACTCTAACGTGTTATTTAATATGTAATTTTTTTTATTTAATAACTCTAATAAGAAAAATTCTTTCTATTTCATTCTTTCTTTCTCCCTCCCTCTCTTCATCTCTCTCTCTCTCTCTCTCTTTCTTTCTTTCTTTCTTTCTATCAAAGAAATGTTAAATACTATGAGTATAATAGTTTTAATTACACTAAAACTATAATATATAAACTGGTATAAACATTTCTTCTTCTTCCTCGTTTTTCTAATCTTTTAAAAGGTTTTTTTTTTAATTTTCCTCTCTTTTTCGCATTAAGAAGAAAAGAAAAATGAATGATTTAATAGTAAGATAAAAGTAGACTAATCAATTTTTGTATAATCCTTACAATCTAAGAATTCAAATGAAATATCTAAAGAATAAGAAGAAGAGGGAGAAGAGAGAAGTTTCAAGATGGCGCAATCCATCTATTCCTTTTCTATTGATAAGTAAAAGAAAATTGATTTAGTTTGATTGGTTTTTAATAAAAGTTAAAAAGGAAGAATTTAATAAAAAAAAAGTTATTAGTGTGATGCTCTATTTAATTTTCTTAATTATTCATTCATTCATTCAATCATTCATCCATCTTTCCTCACTGTATCTTGCTCCTTTCTTCACTTTTCTTCTTGAATAAAGTTCTTCGGTCTTAGTAAAACGACTTTAAATTGCGCAAACAAGCATACCTAATTAACATTTCCGGTGACAAACATAAAATTTACATCAGTGAATAGTTTGGTTGCATTAATAAGATATTACTCAATCGTCAGCGGACCGTTGCCGTAATAGGAATTAAGAAATTGATTCATAATAATCATTCTTAGGCCTACGTAAAAAAATAATTACAGAAATAACAAAAGAAAAGGTAAGAAGAGCGCAATCTTTTTTAAGATGGAAGATAAGAAAAAGATACCAATATATACTATATATATAAAAGTTATACTATCCTATAAATATAGGATTAAAGGTTGAATAGAGTTATATTAAACCTGGTTATTTAACATTTGTCATCTTCCTTAAATCCCTTACTTATTTAACAATTCTTGGTGACAAATTGCGGATATTGCAAACTTTGTATTGTGGACAAAGAAACGCAGAAAGAAAGAAAGAAGGAGAGAGAGAGAAAGATAGATACAAATAAAGAAATGGAAATAATGAAAAACTATCCAGTACTTAATGTATTCCCTGCCTCACTTTCTCTCTATATATGAGTGTATATTTTTAAATTTAGTTGGAAACCAAACTATCCTAACCCTGACTGGCTTGATTAATAATTCATAGAGAATTTTCACTTTAGAATACATTCGATTTCTACTCTGGTGCTCCTTTATTTCTTTTTCTTTTCTTTCTTTCTGCGTTTCTTTTTCTGCTCTCCCTCTCTCTCCATCCATCCGTCGTCGTTTCATTTTCTCTCTCTCTCTCTCTCTCTCTCTCTACCCCTATATCTGCCCTAGGTATGAAAATGAATTAAAAAGCTTCCGTCTTCAGACTATACATTGTTTCCGCATAGGAAATAAATTCAACTGCCTACAATGAATCTTAAATACGCTGAGGACAAGAAGATACTTCTTTGCGGTCTATGAAACAATAATCTCCTATTAAGTAATAGTTGTGTAATATTAGATACAGATTACAATAGATCGTCTGGGGAAGAGGGACATCATCGATCTAGATTTCTCTAGAGGTCGGATACCGGGAGTGGGAAAACTGATCTTGTCGTCCCGTCACGACTAGGTAATTTTAGAGAGATTGTTAACCAATATGTTCGTAAATATGTATATACTGTATATATATATATATATATATATATATACTGTATATAAGTAATATTGAATATACACTGTAGGCACATATACACTTGAGCACGTAGGATGAGTACACGCTGCTGAGGATGTGAACCTAGACGATAAATCAATAATTAGTCCTGCTGTTTAAATCGAATACTTAACATGTGGTTTTAAGTACTACTTGCTTCCTGTTTATAGGTCTAATTAAATAAGAAGAGTGTAAATAGCGTATGAATTGCACAATGAATAACATAGGTTTATGGAGGAAAATGAGGTGTCGTAGGAGATCGTTTATTGATGATTTTAGTTGCCATTGTAATAGTTTTGATTTTAAGAAATGAATATATCGTTTTTAAACGTATTAAGGGCAGCGGAAGGAAAAGGTTAAGGAACCATAAATCCCCAAAAACCTCTATAATTCTTCTGTAGGGTGATTGTGGTCCTTGCGTTGTCGGGTAATGATTAAATATCTGAAAAGCTCTTCTATTATACATAATTGCCGAACAATGAATAATCACATATGTTATTGCGTAAATCATTTGACACAATGATATTACTAAAGATATATTATTGATAAGAAAGATACGACTGGGAAAACCAGTTTTCAGGTATTCTATCAAGGCCAAAGGGAGAAAGTACCATGATAATTCGTACTGCTTTAAATAGCCTTCTTGTACAATTGCGGCAAAGATCAATAGGAGGTTGAGAAAGGATAACTGCGTAAGGTAGATATAGTAAAGAGTGACGTTACGTTGATTATCCGCATTAACACAACTTCCCAACTGCCAGTTATGGTAATCCAATCGATCTATGCAACAATCGCAAAATTTACAATGTTCACTTGTCGTTGGTGAGACGAAAGAATTGCAGTATTTGCAGAATTTATAATTATCGTTCAAAAGATAATTATTCAATAATAAAGATTTCTTTTCGTAATTCTTAAAAGATTTACTATTCTTGTCTCTTATTGAAATTAGGAAATACAAAATTAAATTATTAACTATTAATAAGCAAAGGGCCGCTTTCAACCAACTAACCAAGCTCGATTCAACCGCAAAGGGAATTGATCTTAACCCAATTGTCCATATAAATAAAAATGATATTAAAATATAATATCTTCCATATTTTCTGTTTATATTATTATAATATTGCATTATTTTTCAATCTATCAGTCTGCTGATTACTCTGTTTTTCCTTTTTTTGTCTATGTGTATATATACACATATATCTCTTTCTCTTTCTTTTACTTGTATCAATCCCTCCCTCCTATTCAAACTTTAACTTTTATCTCATTAGTCTCCAAGTGTAGTATTTGTTTTCCCTTCAAAGATGTAGACCAACGCCATCTAGCGTACCTAAACAACGATAGAAATGAGAAATGAAAGTCACCTGTCTCTCTCTCTCTCTGTCCCTTGAATTTTTTATTATATGGCTCTATCTCAATTACAAAAGTATAAAATCTAAAGCAATTTTCACCCTTAATTTCTTTATAATCCTTTTTTACTTTACCTCTTATCAACTATTCAATTGTTTTTGTCTATTCAAGCCAAAAACTAGCGTTAGAATGACGACAACCTCAATTCAAAACTTTCACTTTTAATTATTCTATTGTTTTGTTTTTTTTTAAACGTTCAAAGTAGCGTTTTATTTTTTTTTCTGTAGTTTAAATTATCTTCAATAGGTGGCGTCACCAAATTGAAGTCAAAAAAAGAAAATAAAAAGAGCTAGATCTCTTTGAATGATTAAGTAAGCATAAGACCACGTGATAAAACGTTTATCTGCATGTATTTTATTCAAATTTAAAAATAGCTGAGTTAAAAAAAGAAAACTGCAACAGCTTTGCTTCATTACGTAAACCAAGTAAATAAACTCATTTAAGTAAAATAGGTAGATTGTGGCTGAGAAATATATATACTGTATACATAGAAGAGACAATGGGAAAAAATGGTAGTGTGTAGCATAGTTGTAAACCTATTTCATTTAAGTGATAAACCATTCTAATTAGAATATTTTGTCCATCTTTTTTCTAACTAATCTTCATCCACTTTTCCTGTCTCTTCTTGCTATATTATTACTATTTGTATATTGGCAAACGAAAAACCACACTAAAAATATTTTTTTTATACAGTCAATCAAACACGAATCATATTTTTTGGTTACTTTTTTTGTTTCGTTTATCAGCTTGGACGAGTTTTTTTAGATGACAGAAACAGACGATTATATAAAAACAAGAATTTGTTAAAAATGATAATACAGCGTACATATATATATGTATATACATATGCCATGTATGTGTAAATTTAATTTTAATAATGCTAAACAAGATTGGCATCTTTAGCCATACTATAAAACACACTATTCTTGTTCTTGAGTAGACTATTCGGTGAATTGAACTCAATTATTTGTCCTTTATCCATCACGACAACCCTGTTGTTGTTGTTGTTTGAAATAAAACAAAACATTTAGTAATAAAAAAAGAATATAAATAAAAATTATATAGTTTAGAAAACGTATACTGACTATATACAATTTAATACGTACACTCTTTAGTATACTGTATTACAGTATATGTACGATATGCATTGTATACAGACGAATTGATTGTCATTTAAATGTACGTATAAAATTCTTAAACTTTTTGTCGTTTGTTTAAACTTACTTGTCGTAGTCCATTATTGTGTTTAATCTGTGAGCGATAGTTAAGATTGTGCAGCTAGCGAACTCTGATCGAATTGTTTTCTGAATAAGTTCATCAGTTTCCAAATCAACAGCGGCAGTGGCTTCGTCCAGCACCAATATTTTGGTTTTTCTTAGCAATGACCTCGCTAAACAAACAAGTTGCCTTTGCCCGACACTGATTGAAACAATTTATTACAATTCATTATTCCCATTATTATTTATCAATTATGATTAATAAACTAATATTAGCTACTATTATTTCTATATTTACCTTAAATTTTGACCGCCTTCCCCGCATTCGTAGTCCAACCCTAGCGCTAAACCATTAACGAAATCTTTCAAATGAGCGTGCTCCAAAGCGTGCCACACTTGTTCATCAGTATATTTACTGAATGGATCTAAATTCATTCGCAAACTTCCCGAGAATAAAACCGGATCTTGGGGTAGAATAGTTAATCTTGATCTTAGCTGATGTAAGCCAAGAGAATCTACTTCAACATCGTCAATAACTATTTTTCCTCCAGCAGCTTCTAGTATGCGAAAGAGGCACAGAGTCAGCGACGACTTTCCAGCTCCCGTTCTTCCAACAATACCAATCTTCTCTCCGCCGTTTATTTGACAGCTTATTCCCCGAAGAACCAAATCAAGGCCCGGTCTGTATCTTACGGAATAATTGTCAAAGGATACTCGACCACTTTGCGGCCATTCCCTCGGTGGTCTTGTTCTATCTATATTCCACTCAGCCTAAATGACGTATAAGCATTTTATTAACTATCTTTACTTAATAATGAACAAATTTCTTCTATACCTCGGCCGGTGTTTCAGAATATTCTTTTACTCTTTCCACAGAGACGATATTCGTTTCGATATCACTATTCATTCTTACCATCCAATTGAGAGATTGCGTAATCTTTACGATAGAAAAATAAATTTAATTTTACTTTATTCAAAATCTTAATTGAACGAAAAAAATTGTTTTGTACCTGAAGAGCGTATGATATAGATAATCCGACAATACCACCAGCGATATGGTCTTTTTTACCAATAACTGCAAATAACGCAGCCGAAAATACTATGCAAGCTCCAACGAATTCAAGTCGATAGCCGAGCCACCTTAAAGATTTTAATATTTTTAATAATAATCATTATAATTATGCAAATAAATAAGAATATATAGGTACCTGTTTGAAGCTATAGATGAAAAGTAGAATTTTAGATTATGATCCACTTTATCGTCGTTCTCTTTAATGAATGACGACTGCACGCCATAAGCTCTTATAGTACTCGCTCCAGTTATTGTTTCACTGAAATGCACATAAATAGGCGATCTTGTTGTTGATTCAATTCTCTTCAATTGACGTGATGTTGGAATGTAAAATCTCTGTTTTAAAAGATAAAGAAAAAGTTAATGTTGGATAAACTACAAATGAAACAGAAAATTCATTTACCTGGATAAAATAATAAAGGAGTCCTAACGGTAGGACAACTGATAAGAAAATAGGTGTACTATATGATATTACAATTACGGTAGATATAACTGTAAACATAGTATTCATCCAAGATCGGATAATACCCGGTAGTATATTGTCAATAGTCTCAATGTCTCTAGAGAATCTATTTAAAATTCTTCCAATTGGTGTAGTGTCAAAAAACGACATAGGCGATCTTAGAACGTTAAATAACATTCCTTCGTGTAAGACGGTAGATGCGTTGACCACACTTATTGCAGTAATAATGGCATAAATTAAGACAAAAAATGCTTGGCCACCACCAAGGGCGCCATATATTCCCAGATAGTATTCTTCTAGCGCCACAATATCTGTACCATTTGTAGAGTTTGTATTGTTCGTTGGACCAGCTAGTCGTTCATCATCGGTCCACCAACTTAGCCAAATATTGGCAAAAACAGAGGCTAATTGATAAAGACAAAAGAAGAAAAACAATCCAAAGGAGCAGGCAGCTCCCATAGATTTTAAGTAAGCTATGAATACTGACAGTTTCACCTAGAAATAAATAACAGACATGTACGAAACTTATTAAAAAGAAATATGTACACCAAATTTTCACCTTTCCAACTTCCGATTTCTCTTCCTGGATAAGTTTTTCTGCTTCTTTTTCTTTCATTTTTTTTTTCATTTCTTCTTCTAATTGTTCCTTTTCCTCGACACTAGATACTCGAGAAAATTTTCGAACCAATTTCTTTGGATTTACTCCGTCAGTGCCTGAAGTTTGCCTTTGATAAGATCTGAAAGAAAGAACAAAAGAAAACATGGATATAATACCCAAGGAGAATAGTAATAGGAATATACAGTATAAATATATTTTACTTACCCAACATGAGTCGAATCGTTGCTACTACCTACGGAACCAACAGTTGCAATTTTATCATCAGATACCGATTCCAAACGAGCCTTAATTTCTTGAACTAGAAATAAGAATGAAATAATCGTTTAATAAAGTGTTTATCTTTTAGAAAACAAACAAAATTACATCATAAGGGTATTGTATATATAACTAAAACTAAGAATATCTGCGCGTAAAAAGATAGTCATGCAAAAAGAAAAGACAAGAGAAAAAAAAATAAAGTACAGATAAAAAAAATATATAAAACAAATCGTATTGAAATTTCCACTTGTTTTTTTTTTCTGGTTTTTTCTTTTGGGCAAGCAGATCCAGTAAAAAAAAAATAGAAAGAATAATATTGAAAAAACAAAAACAAAAAGAAGAAAAGCACGCAACAACTTGTGATAATTGAAGTATTTCTTACCAACAGGTGCTTGAGATGCAACTATATTATTTAAATAATAAGAAAAATAGCAAAAGTTTTGTAAATAATTCTCGAAATTCTCATTTTATGAGATAAATAGTTAAACAATAAAAACACGCATTTTTAATGAAATAATATCAAATATATATATATATAATAATTCTATCAAGGTGAACTTACGTTCAGGTACTTCTTCTTCGTCTTCATCCGTTTCTTGTTGTAGGTACGTTTTTAGGAATTGTGCAAAAGCTCCATCGTGAGACAAAAGTTCTTCATAGCTACCCATTTCGCTAATTACTCCATTAAGTAACACAACAATTTTATCAACGTATGGTAACCATTGGACTCCGTGAGTTACAAGTACCCTGGTCTATAGAATTCGTAATGTTAATATAAAAATAAATATACAGTACATTTTAATAAAACTGACTTTCGTTTTAAGAAGGCCTTCAGGTCCTATAACTTGTTCGAAAATATGCTTTCCAACGTGTGAATCGACAGCGGATAATGGATCGTCGAATAGGTAAACATCGGCGTCATTATAGACGGCTCGTGCTAAACTGACTCTTTGCTTTTGACCTCCCGATAAATTTATTCCCTTTTCACCAATTTCTGTTTGATCACCACCTGGCAATATATCTAAATCAGGTCTAAGAGCGCAAGCATCAATGATCCTATCGTATCGCAAATCGTTGCATTGTTTCCCGAATAAAATATTATCCTTTAACGATTTGTTTTGAATCCAAGCCTGCTGCGCTACATAAGCCAAATTGCCCCGAACATTTACTTTTCCTTCTAATTTAATCATCTCTCCTAATACAGCAGATATCAGAGAAGATTTTCCACTACCAACTTGTCCAACAACTGCTATCAGTTTTCCATCGTCAACTTTCAAATTGATACTATGGAATATAGAAAATAAAATTATTCATTATAAAAGCTAATAAAAAGATCGATTTATTACTTTTTAAGAATTGGATGATCATTTTCATCGGTTCCCCATGCAAATGTTCCATTCGATATTTGAATTGGATGTGCTATTGTTTTATTGTTTTATTAAATTATAGTATTAAGTTATTTTTCAATAATTTTTTTTTATGTGACATTAATGAACTTACGAGCAGCTGGATCGTGTTGTACATTAGTTTCATCTAAATCAGAAGATTTAAGGAATGTTCCCAATCGTTTTAAAGATACACTAGCCTATTTTTATAATATTAAAAATATATAAAATATAATTAGTCGTAAATAACTTCTCAATATATATATATATAATTGTATATTTAGAGTATATGTTACATACCGTAACTATATAAGTAACCATCATTGGTAGAAGATTAATGGGAAATCTTAAAATGTTGAAAAGTGACAAAGATACAAAAGCTTTTTCAGATGTAAGTCCGTGCCCAGAGAGCACGTAGGTTGAAAAAGTAGCCAAAGTTACCTTTATTTTAATAAATAAACTATAGTAGATATCTTTTATACTAAAGTTAATGCTTACAATAAATGGAGCACATGTCCATGTAAATGTTCCGAAGGCTGATAGATAAGAAAATTTCCTTAAAGTCTCCAATTCAAGATTTCTAATAACGTTAACTTTTTCTTTGAATGATAATTCCCATGCGTAGAGTTTCAATACCTAAATATTAATATGATAAGAAATATTATATAGATATAACTATAGAGATTTATATTACCTTCATTCCGTTCAAAACTTCATTCATTAGTTTGATTCTTTGATCTTTTTGTGTCATTTGCGATATTTGAAACTTTCTTTGAAATGAAGCAAGAACGGCATTAACTGGTATAAGAAGAATCATGACTCCTAAACCGGCCAATGTCGCATATCCAACAATATTCCATAACATATACATTGCAAGCGCAATTTGTACAGGGCAAGACCAAATCATCCAAAGATAGCCGGTGACATCTTGCATTCTTTGAGCATCAACAGACATAAGGTTTACAATTTCACCAACAGTCGATGTTTTACGGGCTTCGTTGCTCATTGTTAATGCTTTTTTATATACTGCCGCGATAAATGCCGATTTAATTCTCATACCCAGAGTCATACCAATGTGAAACAGTTGGTGAAAGAAAACTGAATAAACAATTGTATAAAGGAAAAATGATGCAGCAAAAACGTATCCTTTCCAATTTGGTGCTCCATCGTCCTTTGAAAATCCAATTAATTGCCTAGATTATTAAATAAACAAAAGACGGTGAAAACAGATTATTAGAGATTAGTAAAATATCAAAATTCAAAAAATTTACTTTTGTAGAATAGGACCCAAAAACAGTAGTAAATCGCATATAAATTTGCAAATATGGGCCTTAAATAATTGAAATCCGTATGTTTTAACCATAACTTTAAAGAGAGACGGTTCTTTTTTTGGTTTTTTAATATGCACTTCGGAAGTAGATCGAGATGGTAGTAATCGGGTTCGTTCGTTATCTTCGTCTCCTCCCGTAGTAAATGGTGAACTTTTGTCTGAGCGAATAGCTCCGTAACTACTATCGGTCATTCCAGTGTTTAGTCTATTACGAGCTTTTTCTCGAAGTTCTTCCGCCCAATTGCATCTTCGTAACTCAGAGGCCCAAGCTTTTTTAAATACTGGTGCAACATTTTTACTTTGATCACGAGGATGTAGCTCAAAGAGATCATCCTCTTCTAGTGTCTTCTTATAACCAGTTATAATGAGACGATTCATCCACCAAAAGGTTAGATAAGACGGGAACGAAGCTTCCGTTTCTGGGGATACTTTCTATTAAATGAAAAAGGGAGAGATGAAAATTATAAGAATCGAAAGGAAAAGTAAAAAATTGTCCTGACCTTTCCTGCTGGAATTATGGTGCGAGCCAAATCAGCAAGGGAGAATAGTATAAATTGAATAAAGAGAAATCCGAAGTAGACAAAAAATATTACAAATCGGAATTTATCTTGTACTTCCTAAGAATAAAATGTAAATCTATAGGACGATAAGTATATCACAAGCGTATACTTACATCATTGACAGCATGTTGAACTTTTGAAGCAAATATTACAACTCCCGCAATAAAAGACAAAAGGAAGAATATCCACTGTATGCCACTTTTAATAAAGCCTTTCCTTCGTTCAATTTGAACAAGAATCGTTGAGACAATCTAAAATAAATGTATTGTTAGCTGTACGCTTCCTATACGATTAATAACTTTTCAAACATTCTCATCAACTTATCGAATGTTAACTGTACAACTTAAATGTAACAATTTACGATAAAAAGTGTAATGTTAATAAATAAAATAAAAAAAGAAATTCAAAGGATAAATGAGAACGTAGTAGATAAGAAATCGTATCAGAATCAATGATTGTTATCTTCTTTTTTTTTTTAAATCCACGGTATTCTTTCTTTTAAAGATAGTGGTTGTACTATTTAGATAAAATTAAAATATAAAAATTCTGATAGAGAAAAATAAGGTTATTTCTCTTATCGTAAATACGATTGTTGTAAAAAAAAAACAAGGTTTTAAGACGAAATTAAACTCTCTCTCTCTCTCTCACTCACTCTCGATCTTAATGGCTGTACATAGTAAAAAAAAATTTTAAACTACTTACAAAAGTTACAGTTTGAATGAGTGGTGAAACTATAAAAATCTCTGCTTCGAGTTTCCCATTTGATTTGTCAACAATAGCTTTAAGAAAAGTAATGAAGCAAATAAAGGTTAAGATAATTCCATTTATCTGTTTAGTTAAGTAAAAATTGATTAAGCTTTAATAATTATTCGATAATAAAAAAAAGTTTACTTACAGTTTTTAAAGTGTTCAATTTATTTATAGGCGTTGGATTTGTTCTGTAGCGACGCAACGCCCTTATATAAAAAAGTAATGTTAGCCATAAAAAGCCGCAAGGTCCCCAAACAAGGGCACTCTGCTGAAAGCATTCCGTCAAATCTGGATTGCTTGTATACCATGTAAGGGATAGATTCTGTAGGATAGAAAATTAGATAATGCACGTGTATATGTATATATAAGACTACTAAAGTAAACGAGATAATAAAAAAATAAATAAATAAGTCGAAATCTTAGCCCCAATTATTGACATTGAGGTAAACGTAACAATTTAACTTACCCAAAATGGTTCGCCACCACAAAATTTAGTAAAGGATGTTGTGTTCGAGATCATCTTCCTCTTGTTCAACACATAAGCATGTGATAATTTGTCTGAGAAACTACGATACTTAAATCTTTACTTTCATTCGAGCTCATCGTGACGGAACATATTCTAGATTGAACCAGTTTCCCAATAACAGTTAGACTAAATAGCACACGGAATTGGCCTTACAGGCCACCACTCGTAACGAAAAAACCTACTCAATCATGTATTTAAGTGTAGATTTTATGTATAAATTTTAATTTCTAGATATTCGCAACTATTTATATAAATATAACAAATATTATATTCTAATTTTAGGCCTAAGAAAACATGATAAAGCCTTGTCTACACAAATAAAAAAATATTTTGTTTAAAAATCTCTAAAAGCTATCAATTTTCAACTAAAATAATTCAATTGTTTATAGTAAAAGAGTAGAATAATTCCATTAAAATAATAATAAATAGTATTTAAAAATGTAAAAAGACTATTATGTTTAAAATTTTAACAAGGTTAAATATCGTTATGAAATAATACGAGATGGGACAATGAATAGACAATTTACTTTATCATTTATTTTATATAGAATGTACTATTAGCTTATATATAGGACATTTAGAACGGGAAAATTGCTTTTGGCCTAAGTAGATATTTCAATGAAATTACGAAATATTTCCAAACATTCTACAGAACATTTCGCAATTTCTATATTTTCACCTACCTTTTTTCCAAGTTGATTTTTGCTATAAAGATGTTATTTAACCTAAATATAAATACAAAATATGTTTACATATATATTATTTATGTATTTAAATAAAAAATATTTGATCATAAAGTTCGCATAAAAAGGAGAGAGTTAAAAAAAGATATACGACACCTTCTCCTTCTCACCCTCTTTCTCAGTGACAGTGATCAGCGGATTTTAGTCACTTCTGATTACGTCTAGCAGACGACTTTTTTCAGAGCGCCAACTATATTGAAATTGTTTAGATTATTATATTTTTAACGAGATTATCCGAATATAAATAGGCCAAAATGGATAAACCAATATATGATATGAATCCTTGGGAAGATGATAGATCGGTTGGACAAGTTAGAAATCTTTTATTTCTCGCGAATAAGACTGGCCATTTGAAAAGTGTTCGTTATTTTGAGCGATAATACGAGAGTATATAAATAAACAATTTACTATTTAATTTAAACAGGCTCAATTTACAGAAGAAGATATATCGGATAGTTTGAAAAGATTACCATCTATAAAACTAATATCTATGTATAAAAAACTAGGTGAAAAACGAGAAACTAGTAGACAGGTTTGTAAACAAAATAAACAGAGTATATTTTTATTTGTAAATAAATAGGAGACACTTTAACTCATGAAGAAAATATATTTATTAATTTTATATTTTGCAATTTTCTGCAGAAAAGTTTAGAAAGCATTCGAATAGAAAATGAAAATTCAGTGAAAGATTTAATCTATTCATCTTCGCTAGGTGAGCGAAAAATAAGCATTATCTTATTATAGGTTTATCAATTAATTACCAACACATTTCAACTCGTTTCTTTATTGTTATTAATGAAGGAATTTATGTATTTATTATTGTCATAACTATTATAGTAATATTGACTAATATCAGTACTAGTATCGACTTTTAAATTGAATAATTTTGAACAAAATAAATTGTTTTTATACGTCTTTGCAGAGGAGAAAAGATATACAATTGCTCAAATTAATTCCTTATTTACATCGATTAATAACAATCAATCAAAAGTTATTGAACAATTAAAAAGACCATTTGTCGCAAATTCCATTAAGGTTGAATCTCAATATAGAAAGTAAGCTATTAATTTGTTTATTGAATATATATATATATAGTATATAATCAATTGTCATTATGATATAGCCAGTTTTATGAAATTGTCACAAGATTAACATTCCTGGTATCTGAATTAACTCAAATATTGGAATCTTTATTATGGTTGAGAAAGTTTACCGATTCGAATATTGATATTGAAGAAATATCTGAAAAAGTATGCAAAGCAGCCAACTATATAGAAAAGGAAATGCAATTGATAACATCAGTATCGAAAGCAATGGAAGAAAGACATAAAGGAGAAGAAGAAGATAATGTTTTATAATTATGAATAGAAAACATGTATTTCTTATTCGTTTATTATGATTTTATTATAATTATTTCATAATTACAACGGTTCTGTTTTTTTTTCATTTTTTCTCTCTTTTTAATTCTTTTTATTTATATATTTATTTATTAACATTGTGTTATTATTTGTTCGTTTTTTCTCTCTCTTTTTTCCATATAATATCTTTATAATAAAATTTTTTTATCTCATTTATAAGATTTTGTATGGTTTTTTTTTTTTTGGGTTTTTGCAAATATTAAAACAAATCGTGACCACAATGCGTTCATATATATAAAAAACAAAGATTTACATATACAAAGAACAGTATACGTAATTTTGAGTTACTAACACGGCTCGAGCATTAATAAAACAAGAAAAAAAATCATATAAAACAACTTTTCTTTTCTTTCTCGTTCTCTCTTAATGCTCTTCATCAACGCAAAAGTTACAACGTTACATTATTCATACAACGAATAAAAATAGCATTATCAATAAATTTATCAATAGTGTCTTCTCTTTTTGTCTTTTGTTTTTTTTTCATTTTTTTGTTTACTTTTTATTTTTAGTATTCTTTTTAAATAATTTTTTCGTTTCGTTATTCTCCGGTTCGTCTCTCCCTCACTTATCATCTTTTCCCATTTTTCGTTTAAGAAAAAAACAGAAGATATAAAGATAGATAAATTTAATGCATTGATTATTTAATTAATTAATTGACTGATTTATAAATAGCTAGATAGATGGGAAGTGAATGAAAAGATAATAATAATAAAAGAAAAAAACAGGTATAAACATCGTAACGCTTTGCATTCCACTTTAACTCTCGTCAAAAATAATCCTATTCATAGATGACAAAAAATATAATATTTTTTGAAAATAAATACAGTTATAACAATATTATATATACATATATAGAATATACAGTACGTACTGGAATATAAACTGTATATGTATATATATATATATATATATATAATGGTAATAATAAGAAAATCAGCTAAGTTAAAACTATATTGACAGTTTGTCTTAACTTGGACTTAGATGAAACTCAAATGCCTTTTCACTTCTGGGTTTCAGTGGAAACTCCGTCAACGGCCTCGAGTAAAGATTCCACAACAGTTTCAGAGGATGATTCCGATTGGCTATCGTTTGATGCTACTTCCTGCTTTTTAGCTTCGTGTAAATATTCATCAGCATTTTCAGGCGTCAGTGTAGAGCATTTTGAGAGTATTCCGTCAGTTTCATCCAAGCCAGAATCTGGCGTTTCACGGGACGGATACCTTGGGATGTCATCCATACCTTCGGGTGTCGATGGAATTGATGTCGTAAAACCAGAAGTACTAATGGCGCTTTCACTGGCAGAGTCGGGATTCTGGTTATGATCATGTAATGATGACGATAGAACCATTCTCTGAATCGTATTCTGTAAACAATATTAATATTTATTTATGTATATAAAGTATATACTCATAAATAAATAAACAAGTACATAAAGACTAAACTGCATATACTGTACATAATGCATTTGTTAATATGGACTCTGTTTATATTACAATCTCCAATGTCTTGTACTTATTTTAGTTTAAAAAACTGAAATACGACTAAAAACTAACCATTTGTTCGTGAAGTTTCTCTAGAACTTGTGGAATATCACAAACATTTGCTGGCGGTGGTAAGTTCAATTGTTCAAATTGTTCAAGCATTTCGGGTGAAATCTTAAACAATTGATTTTTTTTCAGGTGATTCTTTTTCTTCTTGATAGTAGCTTTTTGCGCAACGGCATAAAAGTCGTCCACTTCGCAATCGTCCTTCTTCCTGAAAAAGCTCAACTCCTCCGAAAGAGTTTTCGATCCGCACGAACCGTTTAAACTACAGGATGAAGAACCATTTGCCCCAGAAGACGGTCTTTGCGCTATACCTTGACTATGTTCGTATGCCTTAAATTGCCTGTTCAAGTATTGAATAAGAGTTCCGCATAGTGTGATTGGATCAAAAGTTGCTACACGAGCTGGTTGGGCTTCCTTTCTTTCTCTTTTAAATTCTTTACATCTCTTTTCTTCTTTTCTATTGAATTTTTTCTTTTGGTTGCCTTCCTTTTGACTATTTCTCCATAAGTTACTAGTCTTGTGAAATTCATCAGTTAACTTTTGTTTTTCAGCGTTTCTTAATTCTAATTTTTTCTTGTCAGCTTCTTCATGTTTGTTTATTTCTTTAATGTTTTCTTTCAGAGTTTCCTCCTCTTTTTTCAATTGCCCATATGCAGCGTAACAGTCATCCCTTTTTTTTTTCATCTCTTTTGATTCAGCTTGGAGTTTGTCTCTGCTGGCCTTAGCTGCTTTGAATTCCCTACAATAGAAAATAGATAAATTATAGAGAGAAGCGGTTTTTAAATATATTCAATACAATAATAAAAATACTTTTACAAGTTTAACAAGGTAAGAGATGTACTTACATTAAAACCTTTTTCGATCGCTTTAGCTTATCTATCTCCTCAACAATTCTTTTCTCTTCAGATAACGAAAATCTGGATATTCTTAATTTTCCCTCCAAATTTCTGTGTTAATTAAAGAATGAAGATAATAGTTAATTAATAAATATACTAAACATATTTTTGTTTATAACACTGTTTTTTGATTGCTAACGCCACCTGTTAAGAATTCTCTATACTAATAAGAGGGAAGGGCATGAGTCAGCTGATTAACATGTATTCTTGAATTGGGGTATGAATAACGATTCTAAAGGTGCTGACGCACCAAAATCTAGGGCTCGGAGAGAGAGGATTAGTAAACGGATAGCTTACCGAACTGTATCGTCTATATGGGATTCATTCTTGTAGGGAAGATTCTCCTGCAGTTGGCCAACTTTAGTACTTATCTTTAAGGCGTCGTCGTTCAATTTGTTTATTCGTTCTTGATACGCTTTTCGATCGCTTGAAATTCTTGTCTTTTCATTTCGTATATCTCTTAATCTTTCGTTGGTGTCTCTTACTATTTTCTGGTTCGATTTTAGAGTCTCTTCCAACTCTTGGATGTGTTTGTTAATCTGTCGCATTTCTTCTTCGTACTTTTTCTTTGTAAGCGGCTTCATGTCTGAAATAGGACGAAGACGAAACTATAAATCAAAGGGCAGAAAAAATATTTTGGTATTTCGTCTGCTAACTTCAATTGCCTAATAGCTTTTACTATATATGGTATGGTATGAAATGGTATGCGCACACAGTGGACACGAACACCAACAACTATATGTATTGTTGTACATACATATATTTATATATATATTTAACTATTCGAATATGTATATACCTTATTTAGAAATAGAAAAAAACGAAATATTTCACTCTGCAAAGCGTTCACAGATATTTTTCTAATTCCTTCTTTCATATAGGCCTATGACACGTGGAGCCACCGGCCTATGAATCATACTCTCCGCAACGTGTGCCAGGCACAGGTGCTCTCTATATATTGAATATCCCCAAATACGGGAACATTTTATATAATAACATCATATTTTTGGGCTTTTCGTTTCTATGATTAACAATAAACTAAGATGTCTACATTTTACAGGAATAACTATAGCGTTTACATTGTTGTCATAGAATTATCGTAAACATTCAAGGCCGTATGAGTTGCACTTTGTATTTTTTTTCACCGGGCAAAAACATGTCATTTTTTAAACAAATCCTTATATTATAGATTTACAACTATAAAATATCTTAACTATATATCGGTTGTTAGGGCATTGATCCTTGACAATCAGTAAACAACGTAATTGAACATTTCTAAGAAAAGAGACACCATATTCACTCGCTTACCCGCTTCATTTCTAGGCGAAACTCTGTCGTTTATCACAGCCTTCGAAGCCATGACTTTCTCCCTTTTATTAATCTCCAAAACTCTTTCACATTACAGGACAAGCGGTAATTAAGAACGATTATCCTAAAATTTCCTAGGAAATTCGCGAGTAGATCGCTTAGGTCGCCATTATCGTCGTCACGTGACCGATAGAAGCGACACCTGAAAAAGTTGGGCTCCAGCCGTACTACGTATCGTCATTGAGAAGTGAACAAAAGAAAAATAACAGAATTTTCAGTATATATACCGCCATTTTGAAATAAAAGAGGCCTATATATTCAACTTAATCTTTTATGTATCCATATAAGAGTAGATCAAGAATGGAATGTAATTGTATATATAGAAAAGGGAACAACAGGGCTAGTAAACTTTAAGCGGACGCAAACTGATGAATATTAATATATTTAGTTTAATAAAATATAACGATGTTTAATACAAAAGAAGAAACTTGTTGGGTGGTTCATTGAACTTTACCAAAATATAAAGGCAATACCTACTATCCTAAAAGCGGCTAAGAGAGTAAGAAAGGGAAACGCCCATATTTAGTAATGTATAGATAAATAGGCAGATAGATGTGACGATGGAAAGAAAGAAAAGGAAGAAAAAATCTATTAAAATTCATCTTGTACCTTTGAATATCATTCTTTCTATCAGCGTTATCATATTATCTATATATTTTAATCATTTTGGATAATTATCACCTTTTTAATATATTAAAAAGAATGAAAACTATAGATAAAGTTGAGGAATAGCTAATTCAGCGATCGCGAAGTAGTAAGTCTCATAAGAGAAACATGTATTATGTAAAGATGACGCAACCACTACAGGTAAATATAAATACCTCAAAATATTAAAATATACATGAAATATAAATATTTATAATACGAATACTTTCAACCTAATTAAGCAAACAGTTAAATATCTGTTTTGTTTAATAAAATAGAAGGAAAACCCAAGCGAAGAACACGTGTAACAAAAGCCTAAAAATGAATGTACAATCGTATAGATATAGTTAAAATTATATACAGATCATTCGTTTAATCCTATAACTCTATTTCTAATGAACTTATAGACGTATAATAATTTTTGATGGGCTAGCGAAAATTTATCCTTCTTTCCTTTCATTCAAACAATACGCTCACACAATTGGATTAAAAGCAACAAAAGCATATATAGAATTCTTGCAAAAAAATCTTACCTATATCATTATACAAAACTATGTATAATTTTAATGCTTCGACGAGTCTAGATATCTCAATTATACGTCTCCTACAACTATCGAAACTGACCGAAATGTTCCAAGTTTTTCTGATGTAGAGGGAGTTATGGTACTTTTTTTTAATCTCTGCTCTCCAAGTTTTAACCGGAAGTACTATAAGCGCCATCTGGCGTGAAATTAACAATTGCACCTGTATTCAATGGCGTCAATTTGATGTTTACTTTTTTACCTTATGAAGAGAAATAGGATAGAATGAGTGCTTTACAATTAAATAAATTTCTTTGCTGGAAATTAAAGATCGCCGTAGTAGCGATATGTTTTTACACTGTCGTAAGTTGACTTTAAATAAGGATAATTTATCATACCTTTATCATTACTGGTTTACCTGTAGTTTTTATATCTCAAAAAATTTTTTACATAGATTGCTGCCGGAGTTGCAACTCTTTTGGAAATATTTGATATTGCTGACCAATTTAGCGATAACTTTTATATTAGAGGAGGTTTTGAGGCGAGATGGAGAATGCATGTTTGGGAAGGATGGTTGGCTTGTAATATTGTTATGATTGTTCTTCATATTATAATGATTATAACCGCCGTAATTATGTTCTTTGGTGTGAGACGTTTCCCGACTTTTTACGAATTCACCCTAACCAAAGTCTATCTCGTCTTTATGATTTGCTATACATTGGCCGAACTTGGAGTTGCCTGTTACAAGTTCTCTTGGTACAGCAAGAATACATTTAGAATGGCTTATCTAGTTTTCACCTTCCTATTCTGGCTTCTTAGAACAATCTTTCAAATTATTTGCTGTGTAGTTCTCTATTCCAGGATAGAGGAACTTCGTTACGAAATTACCTATGGCGAGAAGAAACTACTAGCCGGTTCAAAGGATATGTTAGATACAGCAATGTCAAGAGCAAGATCTGGAATGTCAACGCCAAGATCGGGATTTGCAAGAGCTGGATCGCAGCAATTGTTAGGTGGACCAATGAGCCAGTCGCAGGCTTAGAACATCGATCAAACCAAAGACGTCTCTTTTTTTATATATACATATATATATCAATATCCATATATGTTTGTATTTGAATATATTAACCTTCTTTTTATTTGCTTTATTTATTAATGATTAATATTACTTTATACTGAGAATGAAAGAGAGAGAGAGAGAGAGAGTAAACAGAATGATAGATAGAAATAGAAGGAAAGAAGAAAATGATGATGCTCTTGTTTCTTCTCTTCCTTTTTCTTTTTAAAAACATTTGATTACCGTAAAAAGACAAAAAAACAAAAAAGAAAATAAATTAAATTCAATCAATTTCTTGAATTCTTGATACTGTTACAGATCTTTGAACGGAACTTGTTAATAATCCTTTGGATTTGCCAGAATTTACTCCGTCTTGAACCCATTTATGATTGATAATTCCGTCTAGAGATAATCTTTCTTGAGGTTTGACTATTAATAATTTCAATATAAGATCTCTTGCAAAGCTAGAGACTCTTGACGGAAAAAGTACGGTGCAATCTAAAATCTTTCGGTAGGTTGCCTCTGTCCCTTCGCTTTCGAACGGTGGTCGACCAACTAGAAATTCGTAACATAAAATTCCTAACGCCCACAGATCGACTGTTTCTGTATGATGATGACCTCTTATCATTTCTGGTGGTAGATAATCCAAAGTTCCGCACATTGTTCTCCGTTTCATTGATGGAGCGTGAACTGACCAACCAAAGTCAGATATTTTAACGTTACCTCCGTGGTCGAGAAGAAGATTTTCGGGTTTAATATCCCGATGTATAACTTTGTTTTCGTGGCAGTACTTTAAAGCGTCGGCAATTTGATACATATATTTACCACTTCTACTCTCCGTAAAATAGCGATTCTTCTTTAACTCTTTGTACAATTCACCTCTTGCGGCGTATTCTATAAACATGTAGATTTTCCTATCGTCATGTGTCCAATTATAAAGTTTTATAATGTTTGGATGGCTTAGATGGCATCCGATTTCTATTTCTCTTCGAATTTGCTTCTCTAAATGACTCTGCATGATCTCGCTCTTGAACATTATCTATAAGAAGAGAGATGAGTGTAATGGAATGATATCTCTTGTAGATTTACTTTTACTCTCACTTTCTTTTAACTTACTTTTATAGCGCAGATAAATTTTTCTTTCTTTGTTCTTGCTAAATAAACCCTACCAAATTTCCCACGACCCAAGGGTTTACCGATCTCAAAGTCTTCTATTTTGAACGGGCATCTAATAGTAAATTAGATTAGTGACCTTAATTGACGTTTTGCTCTACAAAACTTTAACCCAACTTACTCATCTGGAATTTCGTCATCATCCGAGAAATCATCCGGCCTTGAGTGTTTTTCTAAAGCGCCTGGAAGAAGATTTTCTTTATTCGAAGCCATAGTTTTGGTAAAGATTTGCCTTCTTATATTTAAACAATTGCAAAACCTCCGCCCGTTAAATTTGAAATGTGTTTTGAAAATGACGGCCGGATAACTTCCGGTTTGGAATCTTTTTCGAAAGTAGGTCCAATATGTCTAATGTGGTGTCCATTCTCCATGCTTAGTATTGCAAAAGAATTATATTATTTGTAAAATAATAGATTTTTCTTATAAAAAGCTATACAGTGTTTTATAAGTTTACTTAATTAAATAATATATTTTTGCGCTTTTGTCGAATTGGAAACATTTAAGATCGAAAATTAAAACCAACTTTTTAAAATATTTTCTGAGCGATAATTGATTAAGTATATGTTTCATTACTTCAAAGAATGTCTTCGAAAAGGTTAATCAGGAGATTGCCACCCCTTCCATCAGTTAGAGAATTGTTAAAACTTTATAAATTACGTGCAAGAAAGCAATTGTCACAAAATTTTCTGTTAGATAAGAATCTTTGTTCAAAAATTGTTAGAGCGGCTGGTAAAAGTTTAGAAGGTGGAGTAGTTTGTGAAATTGGTCCTGGACCTGGAGGAATAACGAGATGTATTTTAGAATCGGGAGTAAGAGAGTTACATGTTGTCGAAAAGGACGAAAGATTTCTTCATAGTTTAAATGTAAGTGTTGATTAAGACAAAGAGTTTGTATTTAAGATTACAAACTGATCAATAATCAATTAATAGATTTTAAATCAAGCCAGTGGAAATATTATGAAAATACATAACGAAGATATATTATATTTTCCCATGGCAACTATTTTCCCGGAAGATTTGAAACAGAAATGGGATGATCGACCTCCAAATATCCATCTAATAGGCAATTTACCATTTAATGTATCTACACCCCTTATTATCAGATGGCTGGAACAAATTGCCGACAGAACTGGAGCTTGGAAAAGCGGAAGAGTTCGTATGACTTTAACATTTCAGAAAGAGGTTGCTGAAAGATTAGTATCGGATATATTGGACGATCAAAGGAGTAGACTATCAGTTATGAGTCAAAATTATTGTAATGTTATTCACAAATTTAATATTCCTGGAAGAATATTTGAACCGCCACCTGATGTTGATGTAGGCGTTGTTCATTTCGTTCCGAAAAGGGAAGCAACAATACAAGTTCCATTTAAAGTATTAGAGAAAGTTGTTAGACATACATTTCATTTTAGGCAGAAGATGTGCAAAAGAGGAATTTCGTGAGTTGAATATTTCTTTTTTTATCATCTTTTATCACTTTCTCTATTTTAGAACCCTCTTTCCTTCGGATGAACCAAACTTGACGAAAAGAATTTTCTACGAAAGTGACGTCGATCCATCTACTAGACCATATTTATTAACTCTTGAAGAATTTAAACGCCTATGCAACGTTTACTATGACATTTGTAAGGAAAATCCAGGCTTGTTAGATTACGATTATCGCTCAAAAGAAGAAGCAAAAACTTGGCGACAAAACAAGATTAATTTAAATATATAAATTACATGAGTTAATTATTTTGTTAATAAATAAATGAATAAATTAATTAATTCAGTCATACAAGTACTTAATTTATAACAGAAAAGATATGATTTTTTGTTATAGGCCTCCTAATATATTATTATTTCACATTTAATCACGAAATATCGATCCTCAATCTTTACAATCTCTCTATCTCTCCATGTGTTACACACTAATTAGTTACATTTTTAACGTTAAACTCCCTATTTTGGATAGGCCTAAAAAATATAGTAAAAAAATATTATATATGTACACTTACGGAACAAATAAAACAGTTTAAACAGTTGTTAATAGGCGGATACAACTTACTTCTATAAATAAAAGGCATTATATATAAAAAGGGATGAAGAGAAATAATACAAAATACGATGATAAAGAACAATAGAGTTTTGTAACGCGCCTGAAGATGGCAGTACTGCTAATGTGGCATCCTAGCTATAACTATCGATCGGTCTAAAGGGACAAGTCTCAGCGGTTTGCCAGCTCGCTTAGTTTCCGTATTGTATTAAAATTCAAGACATAAAGAATGATTTTGAAAGTATTATTTATAATGGTAACGTTACTGATAGTGTACTCAACACAGCACATTCGACAAGGAGAGAATTTTCGGGAGGCTTCGCACGATTCTCAGTAAATATGCACATAAAAATAGTGTTTTTCTTAACTGAAAACGATGTATACATGTACTATACTATATGTGTTACGGGAAAAGGAGATAAACAAGGGGGAAAGGAATAGGATGGCTCTACATACGTTCAGTTTGTAATTAAACATTATTCATAGGCATATCAAAGAACATTACGAAGGTGTGGCGGATTTGGATGAAAGTAAAATGACAACTGAAGAATTAGAATTTCACTACTTCCAGTAAGAATATCTTATTATTTAAATATTCTTATGTTTTTAATATAAGACATTGTTTTCTTTTTATAGATTACATGATTTCGATAATAATACTAAATTGGATGGATTAGAATTATTCAAGGCAATGTCTCACGTGTTACCTTCGGAAATGATCGATGATAAGGCTAAAGATGAAATTGATACAGGTAAAACTCAAGCCCAAATCGACAAGGAGAAAGCCGATAGAATGTTCAAATACATTGAAGGTTAGAATAATTAACACTAAATAGGCCTCACTTAATTACAAACAAAAATTACATCTGCTTAATTTCTTTAAATAGATGTCGTTGATAAAATTCTAGAAGATGATGATTTGGATAATGATGGATTTTTAACTTATTGGGAGTTTGTTTATGCTAGAAAAAAGCAAGAAATCCAAGCAGCAGCTGAAAAGAATAAAAAGAAATTTAGCTAATTGTTTAAATGACAAAAAACGAAATACTAACAACATTGTATATAGAAACAAATGTTATAATAGGAGATGAAGGGAGGGGGTTGGGGGATAAAACAGGGTTGACGAAAGAGGTAGAGGAAAGGGAAGAAGGGTATTAGGAATTTCTGGGGAATGGGGTAAAAGGATAAAACGATCTTATATACATGTATGCACTTATAAACAGTATACAGATTAATTGATAAAACAGACAAAAATTAAGTCAACCTCATCGATCGTTATACTTTGACATAAATCAATATTTATTTAAATTATTAAAAAATTAAATTAAATTGTTAAAAAAAAAGAGATGTTTAATAAAAGAAAATGAGAAAATGCTATTTAAATTACTGTTTGCTTTCTTGCGTGATTATTTTTCTTTTAACTAAAAAAACAAGTAATTAATCAGGTGTACTTTAACGGCAATTAGTTAGGATGGAGAGGAAAACGAAGAGAAAGAGAAAGAAAACAATGTATATGCTACTATATATAAATATTTATGTACACGTTATATTCCAAAATGGAATCGGTTATTGAAGGAGCCATGAATATTCATAGAAGATGATTAATTACATATTAAAATTAAAAGGTAATTTCGTGAGCTGCAGAGTCAGCATTTCCCATAAGAAAAGAAACCATATAATCTGACTTTAATATATAGTCGGCTTCAACATTCTTTAAAATTCTTTTGCGAAATTTAAGTAACGAAGTATCGACAAAGCAATGGGTTACTCTTCCATTAGCTTTATTCATCCATGCTATTTGAGCGCCACCTGATGTTAATATTTTCCTAAATCCATCAACCTTGTCATTACTAATAAACAGGCCAACGTTCCATCCCTGATATGGTAAATTTTCGCCATTCTTTATTCTCGTTCTCCAATTTCTACTGGCAATTGATAATTTTGAAGTTACTGTTGAAATTTCTGCTAAATTTTCCGCCCATTCGTACGATTCTTCTTCTAGCCATTCATTACGATTGCAACTGTCGAGTATATAATCTAATCTAAGTATCCATTTGCCTGTTGAAATTGCTGAAAGAATCTTTTCGTTTCTAGTCATCGAAGCAACAATCATATGAGTGCAACTTGAATCGAAACCGTTACTTTGGATAACTTGAGCATTGTCCATACCCATAATTAAATCTATAATTTCCTTCTTTTTGCCATCAGTAAAACCTGATAAAATGAATCGCCTTTCTTCCGTTGTATCACCACTATCATCACTCCTCTCATAGCATATAGAATTGTCTTCCCAGCGAACATCTCCTTTTTGTGGCTGAGAGGCAATTTGTTGAGTTTGATGGAATGATGCTAATCCACAAAACGATTTCTTAAGTGGAATTTCGTGCTGTACGCGATTATCGTCCAACTCCATTAAGGCTTGAATATCAGACTCGATTTTTTCGTCTTCGGCACTGCTCTCTCTGATCATTTTTGGTAGAAAATCCTCTTCCTCCAAATGCCTATTCTCTTCCAAACAATTCTCTATCCATTTAGCACTGACAACTTTTCGTCCCATATTTATTGATTCTTCCAATTCACTTCTGGATAATCTGTCACTTATCAAGTGGGTTATGCTACCATCTTCCAAGTTCCAACGATATTCTGCGCCCAATCGTTCTGCTATTTCATTTAGTCTCCTCTGCTGATCGGCTAGTTTAGTCGACACGCCTATAACGACACCTCCTAAAGGGGTTATTCTTAAGCGTTTTACGGCCGGAGTTAGACCCCTCGGTGAGGCTCTGTCTTTCGAATTTTGTAAAGCCAATCCAACACTTTTAGAGCATTCATCAGCAAAGTTGAAATTAAATTTAGGCCTTTTACGTTCGATAGGTGTACTTTTAAGTAATTGACTATTTAGACGCAATCTAGGCTTAAATGGTTTATCGGGATTGAGAAAGACTGATGGCGAGTCGATATAATCTGGCCGAGGGGAAAATGTTTCAGATACTTCTTGTCGGCTTTCATCAAGTTTTCTACTAGTTTCAGTTTCGTCTACTGTCTCTTGTGTATCTTCAACAAGTTCTTCGGAGTGTCGTGTGCTTATCTGTTCCGTGTTTTGTTGTTGAGTTTCTTCTACAGTCTCCTCTTCTAACTCTTCTTCGGGCAATTCTACGTCATAATCCGTTTCGTCTACCTTTGATTGAGTCATCAGGCAAGCCCTAAGCCAGGTTGATCTGATCGCAAATTTCCTCCAACGACGAGCTGCTTCAAATTTATTACCGGAGGCTTCCTTGAGAATTAGATGAGTGGAAGCTTTTAGTTGTTTTTGATCTTTTCTGCATAACTGATCTTGAACAGTAGCGCCTAAAGATTTAGCTATTTCGATTAAAACTTCCCTTTCCACTCCCTGAAATCCAGAAAGACAGATAACGCAGTCTGTGAGAGGTTCTCCTTGAATAGCTGGTAATGGCCTACATATAAATGTCAATTTTACAATGTAATCCTTTTCTAGACATAACCAAATCCATGCGTCAGTGATGACTTCAGTTTTATTACGCGATAATATACACTCGTTTATGGGTACAACGTAGTAATCGGGCTTTTCCTCTTTTATAGTGGCTCCATTCTCCTCGAGAATAGTCTTTAAGGAGTCACAATCTTCGACATTTTTATGAATTCTAAAAGTGAGATTGGAAAATAATTTCCTGGCTGTTGACTCTTCTAAACCGTCAAAAGTAGTCGATTCTTCACTTGTTAATACTGTTAACGATTGACTATTTTCGCCGTTATTAGACGAGCGAGTTGTTAATATTGTTTCATTATTACCGTCTTTGGGGAGGGAAGAACGAGCAGTAACAGACGAAGGAGGATTAAGAGATGGCGATACTGATTGTGGAGATGGTGAAAATGCTGGTGTAATAGCTGATGTAGAAGTATTGATGGGGGGTGGATCAAATTGTTCTAATATTGCTGCAACCTTTTCTAATGTACTATTACCCATAAAACTAACTGGATGGTGATTTTGAGAACTAGGTCTATTAGACGTAGCTCCGCTTTGATTTATACTGTTATCATAAATAGTATTGATACGACTGTGACTATTAATTTCATAATTGGAGGTATCAAGCTTTTTCCTTTGCTTAGCACAATCGATTAACCATTTTTCAGAGACAATCGTTAGATTGTTTGTTTGTTGTATATCATCAATTCCCTCTTGTCGATGGTCGCTAACGACTACGTGAGTAACAGAATCATTTAAAGTGTTCGTATTTATAGCACCGCAAAGGCTTACAAGCTTTTTCAACTTGTTCAAATCATCTTGATTGAAACCCCTCAGTAGAACTTGACAGCCATCCATGTAATTACCAGAATCTAGTATTGTCTCCTCTAAATTTGACACATTTGACAGTAGACTGACTTCTGGAGGAGGTAGTCCTGCCATAGAAGCATTAGGAGTTGAAGTTTTTTGAACTGGGCTCGCTGTTGTTTTTATTTGATATTGGAATTCGTCTCTAGCCTCCTTCTTTTCATAGCAATCGTTTAACCATTGCAGACTAACGGTATGAATGCGCCATTTTTTAGCATATTCGTATTTCTGACCCTCTGGCTTATCGACTATTAGATGCGTACACGACATTTGATTCATAGAACCAGAAAAATTACCTCCCAACTCTTCTACTCGCTCTTTAACAACAGCTCGAGCCTGGGTGGACAATCCTGATACGCAAATAGTTAAACCTTTAAACAAGGGACAAGTATACATTTCGTAATCTTTTAAGGATAGCAAAGGTTTTGAACGACAATCTGTCCAGATATTGTCTAACCATTCAAATCTCACAATAGGCTTACGTAGATGAGAAGCGACAATAAACTTTCTCGAACCGGATTCTGCAGCAATAAGATGAGTGATATCTTCATGAAAATCATTACTGACTTGACCGTTCATCAAAGCAATTTTTTGCCTATAATTTTCTCTTTGTTTATGGGGAATGGACGTAAAAGCTATTACGCAATTTGTCATACAAGCCGATATTTTAACGGTTGGGCTTTCTATTTGTAGAGTCTTTTGCTCCGAACAAGTTTTTATGACGTAGCAAGGTCCAAGCATAGACGCCTTATGTATCTTTTGATGATAAGCGTTGGAAATTATTTCTTCAATTACGTAGACAGAATTGTTATCCTCAACGTCTTCAATCGTTATCCAAACGCATTCTATATCCGACTTAGTGGCCAAATCAAAGGCTTGCTTCATTAACGACGTCTTTTCACCCACGAACAGCAATTTTCTAACATTCTTTGTATTTGATTTATTCATATCAATATATCAATCTATTGTAAATAATTACTTGCACCAAATTGGACTATTTAAATTAAGTTTTCTGCCTTAAATTACAAGATTTCATGCGTTAAATTTTCTAGTCTTTAAGGTTTATAATAAACTTTCCATTGAGTTTTAGTCAAATTGTCAACTTAAAATTTTAAACAACAGATGTCGTAAGCTGTTTTTTTTTATGAATGTTTTTATTGCTTTTCAGCTTATTATGCCTCTTCCTTCTCTCTTTCATTCATCACCTTTACATATTTTAAATATGCTCCTATAAATTAGTCTCTCAATCGATAATTTTTTTCCTGTCGAATAACGTAACGTCGAAGAACTGAAAATCTATATTGAAACGTTTTAGTCAACAATTAAATCATTTTCAATCTCTTTGTTTTGCTATTCTACTTCGATTTTTATCTGCCATTTTCCCATACATTTATTATTTGACTTTATAAATTTATAATCTCAAATTTAACAACATTAGAAAAAAAATAGAATTTAATCTATCGTGACTATGAGCGATAATTTACGTATTTAACTTTTTTCCTCCCCATACTTATCGCTTCCAATCATTTAACGAGAATTTCAAGTTTGTTGAAAGGTGGAAAGACCATAAACCTTAACTGTTTATTTTCTTTCAAAGACTTGTAGAAGAACGAATGGAAAATCGTAATGTAGTTTTAACTTTTTTTATTCTTTTTAAGCGTTGCATAAAATGTTACTTCCCGCCCGAGCGCGACTTCTAACGTAAAACATTCTAGAACGTTCCTATTCTTTTCTTCTCTTAAAATATACATATATGTGTATCTTTAAAGCGAGTAATAATAAATAGAAAACGATGATATCTTCCTGTTTCATATTGCTTATTGTAATGTAATGATTAATATTATAAACTAAGCTTTCCTTTTCCGTAAACAGAAAAGCCTACTAATTAAAAATTTACTGAATCTATCGTGCACAAAGAAAAGATTAATTGAGAAATTTAAGACGAGTAGGTCGTATTTTTTATTCGTTACTATTTTGTTTATTAAAAATATACTTAATATCAACTATGCACCTTTAAATTCTTTTTTCTTCTCTTAAGAACAGGCTTAATCGACATATTTTCGTATAATAAAGATAAAGATTTCATCTCCTTAGATACTTTGTTCTATATTTGTCTCATTTCCGTTAAGAGGATTTCATTAAATAGGTAATGTTCGATTGATGAAAAGGTTAAACGCGTATAGACACTCTAAAAGCAATGTTTTTAAGTTTGCTTTTGAGCTTTTAAAGGCTATTATCTTATTCATGTTTATATAATTAGTACCTTTCGATTTTAGTGCCTTCCCGTTATCCCAAAGGCTTCTTTTTATTTGCTACTAAGATAATCCATTTAGTTGTAAAAGTCTGATAAAACATTTCCAATAAATATAAAACTCCTTAGAGAATTTTAGGGCATTCCATTGGAATGCTCTAAAACACTTTATATTCCCCAATTATCCTTAATAATGAAAGATTTTAAAGGATTATTCAATAAATATCTATCAAAATAAAAAAAAAGAATATACATAAATATTTAATTCAACAATAATATTTTTTTTTTTTAGCAAAATGTTAAAAGCAAAGAACCGTTTAAAAAAAAAGACAATTAAACAAAAAAATATAATCAAATTAAACAGCAGTATACAAAATACAGTATTACAGTATTAGACATTGTGGATGTATATACAAATACACACCGTACTTTAGACGGAAGAATATACGAAAGACAAATTAAAAATTAGTTATATGTAAAAAAAAAGAAAAATCTCTTTGAAAATGTCTGTTATACTAAAGTACTTGGATAGGGATCTGATTTATAAGTCGATTGAAGATTTATTGTACCAGTATCGTTTCTAATACTCGGTTGTCTTTTTCTCAGTTGTCGTGATGGTTTAACACGCCTTTTGTCAGTTTCGTTAAGCAGGGCCTCTTGGTTCTTGATTTAAATAGAAGAAAATTGGCCGTTATATATAGAAAATAAGAAAAAAATACATCTGATAACGAACCGTTGGATTTTGCCATTGCATAAACTCTTTATCTTCCAACTTTCTTTTCCTGTCCTTTAAAAACGATAAATAAGGAACGTAACGTTGAAAGGAGTTTAGAACAAAAACAAAACAAACAAAAGGGCGAGAGAAAAGTTAATTAAACCGTAATTACTTACAATGTAACTAACGGCGCATGAAGCCGGAATCCACAATATTAAAGTCAGAATTATTACAGTTCCAACAATATTTTCCCTCATAAACGCAGCTGCATTAAAAATATTTTTAATGAACAGTTATTGATTTTTCATGCATCATTAGCGAATGTAACTAACTACAAACCAATTCTACTTGGATGCAAATTATCTATAATATTCCAGAAACGTTCAAAATCTGATTCAGGTTTTTTGCAGACTCCTTGCCAACATAAACCAGTTAAGCAAGGTCTTCCGTCCCTTAAATGTCTTGTCTTATTTCCAGCAAAATAGTAGGGTTTACAAGGGGCACTTTTAGAGTCTTTACAACACCAGTTGCATACGTTTTCTGCCTCCTCGCATTGGCAAGAGACTTTATTTACAGTTTCGCAAAAAGCAATACACTCTCCATTACGACATTTAGACATTTCCTGTTCAGCACCACATGCCATATTGTTATTAGCCGGTCCTGGTTTAGGACATGTAGGTGCTATTCCATCACACTTTGAATTACCTTGGCAACGGGTTGGCTGTTCTTCTATGCAAATTTTTCCTTCGGCCTTAATTTTACAATCTTCTGTACAGCATCCATGATTAAGAGGGCTACATTTTGCGCCTTCTTTCAGCTTACAAGTCGCTGAGCAGCAGTTGTCCGTAGTGAGAAGTCCAGGATCGCATTCTTCGCCTTCTTCAACTAAACTATTTCCGCAATAAGCTTGAGAAGGCTCTATAAAATTTTAAAATAGTTTTTTAATCATAATATAAAAGTGATATAGTGGAATATAATATATTGTAAATATTGTAAATGAATATACCGGTAAAACATCTAGAATGTTTTTGAATGAGGACATTCTTTATTGATCTTTTAGAACAAGGTGAAAAAATCTGTTTGTCACATGTCGTTAAAGCATTTGTCTAATTAGGAATTCTTGTAGAAGCCTACTTGATTATTCTTTTCGTATCCTGACACAGCGTATGTATGCATAATATATTTTCCATAGTTTTTTGGAGAACATTCTGTATTATCTGGATCGTGTTCGCTACCCCAATTATGACCAAATTCTATTGGATTTTTAAATATGCAGATATTAATTTGAAAATTAATAGGTCTCTGTATACTGTATATACGGTATGTATATAAATTTATATATATAAATATCGAACCGTGAGCTGTGACGATGTCAGCCTCCTGGGCCAAAAGCTTTTTGCCGTATCTATTTACAGAACTACTCCAGCCGGTATTTAACCATGCACTACCGTAAGCTGTCGTACAAATACCCCCAGCTGAATAGCGTCTGGGAGAGGCAATGTAGGCGAGGCCAAGAACTCCAGTATCAAAAGAAGTATAAGTAAAAAGATGACCAAGGCAAAAATTTCGAAGTTTGTCTTGCCTGCTAAACGACTATAAAGGAGAAAGAAGGAAAAAAATTTTTCCATTAAATTACTTAAAGAGGGGGATCAGTTTACTAATTTAGCAAACCTTTAGTAAATCTTTAGTTTGCCATTTTGTTCTAGGGATAGAATTATAATGGGAAAATTCATTTGTAGGAGCAGTGTGAACGACAATTTCTTTAATAGAGAATCCCATACCATTATAACCATCTCCAAAATCTGTATTTCTGTAAATGTTATCAACCCGTTCTAGTAATCCAATCTGTTGTAAATAAATAAATATATATATATATATAAATAGTATATATATCATATTAAAACTAGTAGGTATTAGTAGTAACAAAAGTATTATTTTAATATCGTACCAAATACCAAGTTGTAATTTTAACATCATTATTTCCCATTTCTTTCGTAAATTTGTAATCAGCTACAAGATAAATAGAGCATCTTTTCTTCTTAATAATATTTGCATTCGATTTTTCATCTCTTTTTATTCTCTTTGTGTTTTGTTTCGTTTTATGGTATCCCGTCTTATCGTTCAATCCGTTTCCATCCTCCTTATAAGGGTTCACAAATGCGCAGAAATGTCTATTTTCATTGATCGAATTATATTGCTTATGTTTAACTGATTTCGAAAATACTAACTTTTCTTTTGGTAACTTGTCAATATCGGACGCTCGGTAAGTCAACATTGTACTATTAGGGGATGCTTCGTGTCTCCAAGAAGGCTAATTAGATGTATTTTTAATATATTAGATATCTTATCTTTGTGTAATTTTACTCATTCACTCAATTTCGTTTTCTTATTTTCTCTTGCTCTTACTCTTGCTCTTACTCTTACCTCTATTACAAAAGTGTCTTGCTTGGATCTTATGGAAGCCATTAGTTCCTTATCGCTTTCCCAATAAGCGGAAACGTGAGATGTATAGGGCTCACCTGTTAAAAAGTTAATCGATTTTTTTTACGATATAAAATATTTATCAATAGACTTTCTCAATTTACGTTCCTGTTGCTTTCTATCTATCTATTTATCTGTCTATCTGTTTGTTTGTCTATTTAATAAGAATGCTTTGTAGATTTTTTCTTTTCATTCTCTTTCTCTCTTCTTTTCTCTTCCTTGATGACTAATACTATTACTTTCCTTAATAATATTAAGAAAACAGAGAGAAAAAATAAAAATAAAAGCTGACCAACCTATTACATAACCCTCGTACATTACTGTATCCCTGAAAACATCTGCAGTCCTATGGTTATTTTGGGCGTCTACTTCGATTACTTTAAATTTTCTATCAAGAGGAAGCTGTTTGCGTCTTAAATGCAGCTGAAAATATCTACGAGAATAGAAAGCCATTTTAGTATTGACACAATGGATTCTCTGCCATTATTCTATTTTTCAAATTTCAAGTAGATATTTACCGGCGGAATGCTGTAAAACTAATGATTTTTGAATTACGATCCAAAGATCTTTTGGAAGGATGTGTATGAATTTCACTATGATGTAAATAATCGTAAATTTTCCTAGAAGTTGCGCAAGCTGTAAAAGAATTTACAAATACATATACATATAACGTAATCATTTTCCTTCTAAGTGATTAATTTCCTTAATATATCAATTTTTTACCGTGTAATTACACTTACTTAAAACCATAAATAACAACGGTATAATAAGGATTCTACACATTAAATTCATATTAAAAGTATATTGATTTTGATTTTTGATTAATGATTTCCTTGCTACTTTCAAGCCAACATATTCTTTTTTAACTTTCGTCTTCCTCGAGTGAACGATAATTGGTAAACCAGTAACCATTCACCAAACGGTCGGTCGATCGGTCGTTTGGTGAATCGGTCGGTTAGTAATTCTGGTATCGAACCGTACCAGCTTTAAAAGTAATCAAAATAAATATAAAAATAAAGAATACTAAAATCTATTTATCAAAAAATATCAATGTTAAGAATATCTTTTAATCGCTTATTTTTAATATGCAGTAAAATAAGTAGATAGCTTGCAGGAGTTTGGTAAAAATTACAAAAAAAAAGGAAAAATAAAATATTAAATAATATGTTTAAAAATTTTAGATAAAGGAGGAGAAAAAACTATGTGCAAGACGAAAAATACTAAAAAAAATGTTAAAACAAAGAAGGTAAATAGTTATTTTCTTGTTCAAAACTTCTTTGAGAGAGAGAGAAAGAGAGGGAGAGGGAGAGGAGAAACATCCGAAAAAAATCTAAATGAAAAACAAATGATCTACTCTACATTTCTGGAACGATTTCCTCTTCAAATGCAATTTTCCGTTCATTCTTATCATTTACAACAATTTGTTCGTTTCTTGATATGTCTATAGATTCTATATCGGCCGGTTTGGTCACTTGACTATTACCAGCAGTACGATTTTTTTTATCAGCCAAAAGCTGACGAAGCAATGGAGATTTAAATGTCTCGGCGAGTTTCGGTGAGGATTTCATGTCGTAATTATCCTTTTTGAAATTGTTTTCGGTTGCAGATTGAACTTTAACTCTTTTCATTATACTTTCTAATTTCTTTTTCCTTTCCAGTCTTTCCTCTTCTTCCTTTTGCTGTCTTTCTTTTCTTTCTCTCTCTCTCTTTAAAGCCTCCATACGAGATTTTTGTAGTAATTCGTAATTAGCTTTACGAATCCTGTCAATTTTCTCAAATTCGTTTCTTAACCTGTTTTCATTATTAAAAAACAAAATTTTCATTTCTTTATTCCCAATTTGCTTAGCATAAACAAAATTACAATTTTTAAAATGACCTTAATTAACCCTTTCATCTTACCTTTCAGATTTAATAACAGGCGTTACTTTATCTTCTGTTTCCATTTGGTTGTCAGTTTCGTCTCTGTCTTCCGTTCTGTTATCTTCTCTCATGTTATCGTCCTTTACCATATGCACCTGTATCTGATTCTGAACTTCTGATTTAGCCGAAGCTACGGCAAGTTTTTCACTTTCTGCTTTCTTGTCCTCTTTTTCTACTTTTTCTTGTTGCGTCTCATTTTCTCCTACCTTCTCGTCCTTATCGAAATAGTTCCCCTCATCCATAGGCTCTTCTTTATTCTCTTCTTTCAAGTTGGTAGTATCTTTCATTTCAAGTTTACCTTTGACTGCCTCTCTCTTTGATTGCAAGAATTTTGAAGGAAGGGGTGAAGATGATGAGGAATTTATCGGAGGAGGTGGTGGACGCTTTACAAGAGTGGTCACGTCCGTTCTCTTATCATCTTTAGGCAATTCTCTAATAATCCTTTTCTTCCTGTCTGGAGACGGTGGTGACGTCCTAATAGGTGAATCTTTGGCATCCAAGAATTTTCGTTTAATATTCTCTCTGGGCTTCTCTTTGTTTTCGGCGAATTGAACAGTCCTTCTTTTCTTCGTGTCACCAACAGTAAAAGTCTGATTTCCCTGCTTAGTTTTGTTTCTATCTTGCTTTTCTAGATAAAACGAAAAAATACATGAGTAATACTGATAAGAAATATTAATTGTTTAATTGATAATGTACCGTTAATTAAAAGATTATTAGTCGTTGTTGCAATATTCTTGATTGGAGTGTTCACTCTTGAATTTTTTTGTACAATTGATTTTTTAGAATTTGCTCGAGATGGAGCAGAGGATGGATGAGCAGGCGGACGTAGGGAATTATTAGAAAGACGTGAAGAAGGAGGGGAAGTAGCAGGATTAAGGGAAGCATGATGGGTATGATGATGATTATGGCTATTATGGTTGTATTGTTGATGTTGCTGTTGCTGGTGGGGTTGACGATGATGATGATGCTGATGATGATTAGAGGAAGGAGGTAGAGAATGGGACGATGAGGTAATATGAGGCGGAATGTTTTCTTTTCGTGCGTTCTCTGGTGTCCTATTTAATGACGAAGACTGGGCAGAGACACGTGATCCAAATGCGTATTTTTTCTGATGATCTCTCGCATCGTTTGGCTGAACCGTTTTTTGTAGAGTTTTATTCATCTGGCTTAGGATTTTTTTCTGTTTGAAAAAGAAACAGTGATAAGAAGAAAGGAAGAAACAGAATAGTAAACTTAATGAAAGAATCTTGCTCTATTTTTCTTTTTTTTTAAAAAAAAAAAATAATAGTAATAACAGTAAATAAAAATATAGTATTTATACATACTTTACTCTCTTCCTCCATTTTCTTTCGTCTATTCAAAACTGCCTGCTGCCTTGCTGATTCTTTCATCTTTTGTTCAGTTATTTTTTTCTTTCTCTCCTCTAATTGCTTCTTTCGAAATTCTTCGGCTTTCTGTTCAGCAGCTATAACTCCTAGCCTCTTTCGTTCTAGTTCCTCTTCTCTCTTCTGTTTAGCTATTCTCATTCTTTCCTCGAATAGTTGCCTTTTAGTCAAAATAGTTGATCTACTTTCAATGCTCTCCTTGGGGTGAAGAGGTCGCGTCTTTTGACTCTTGGAACGAGACACATGAGAATCCATTGAACGATCGCTTACAGAATCGCTTTTTGGGCTATTTCTAAGTTGATTCCTTCTCCCATCCATATCACCTTCCACGATCACCTCGGTAACGTAGGCTATCATAATTTTTTAATATTACATTGTAGCAAAAAACGACTAGAATTAATTTTATCCCAGTTTCCGTGGCATCTGTGAAGTATCACGTGATTACAGGTAGGCCAACACACACCTACATAATTAGATCGATGGCGCTGGTTTAGAGTGAAACGGTTTATCGATTTTTACTCGCAATACAATTTTTATTTAAACCTAAATACATTATTTTTGTATTATATGAAAATATACAAGCATATACTGTATATATTTTTTTACCCTACCAATACCAAACAAAACATTATATTTTCATTATGAATCGTGTATACAATGGAAGCAAAGGGAGGAGGGAAATGTGGCGATAGAGAGACGGAGCTGATAAACAGTTCTAAATAGCTATAATAATCTTTTACTATAACATACTTTTCATTCTTTTATATTCTGTAAAAGTGTAGAATAACTAACGTTCGCTCTCTCTCTCTCTTTTTACCGAATAGATTAAATTGTACCAAATACTTACTACGTCACCAACTCTTTAGCAAGCGCATAATAACCGGTAGAATAAAAAAAAAACATGTTTGTATATGGCCGATTCATCAATAAAAAGCATTACAAACAACCTTTCGACCTGTAAAACGTTCTTTCGCTTTCCTGAAGCGAAAAAGGATTAAACCTTACATCAATTAATTGGAAGGTGGGGAGAGAAAAGGCATACTCAATTTTTTCTGTAGCATTAGGACAAAAAAGGATTTAGATTCTCATTTAAAGTAAGGGGTCAATGACAGAGAGAGAGAGAGAAGAAAGAAGGAAGCAGGTAGAGAGGAGTAGACAGAGCAGAAACAGAAGTGAAGAATAGATAAAAATAAGGAGGGATAAAGTGGTTAGAAACAGAGGAATGGCTAGCTGTCTTGACTATTCTATTATTGTAGATAATAAATTAATTGCCATCTGCTCGTACAATTATAGCTTTTCCATTCTGAACAAGAGAGAAAAATTGTACAAAAGTATTTGATATTGACAATTTAAACCGTCTCTCTTCCTTTTCTCTTTCTCTTTCCTTCCTTACTCCCTCCTATTCCCCCACTCCCCCCTCTCTCTCTCTCTCTCTCTTTCGCCCTTATTCGTGTTCTTCTATTTTATTTCTCTCTTCCCACTTAAGCTTCAATTTACATAAGAAAAAAAACATGAACACAATAATTAATTCAATTTCTTTAATAAAATTAGGTTTGTTACTTCCTTAAAACATACTGACTCTCAATCCTGTTCCCTTACCTACAATGGATAGAATACACACACATATATATATATATATATATATATATGTACATTTCTTCACAGCATACGTACATTCTTAAACACCGTATATAGTTTCAGTATGACGCAAAGTGCAATATATAGTTGAGTATGGCAATGCAGTACGTTGCAGAATATACAAATTACTTTTCAACCAGGAGGGAACAATTTGCAGAATGACAGATTTTAAATTAAGCTCCTATAGAATTTTTATTAACTTTACTTATTTTTCTTTCTTCCTTTTATTATATACTATTAATAATTTATATTATCTTCTGCATCTTCTGCAGTAATTTTAGTCGTTAAATTCCTTCCATATCTAAAATACCGACAGTTATGAAATGTACAAGTAATAATAGTATATATATATATATATACTGTATATACGGTATATTGAAAGCTATCAAACTATATATCCTCTTATTTTAGTCTCTTTTTCTCTCGCCGTCCCTTTACGCCTTTTCCAAGTATTCATTACAAAAGTAACTGACACCTGATAAAGAGGAAATCCAAAAAAAAGGATAAGAAGTTAATTATGAATACCATCTGCCTTCGCGCCTTAGCAAACAAAGGGACGCTCTAAATTGACAAGGCATTTTGTTACAGGAACTTGTTCTTATTTTTGCGTACACTTTCACGTACAACAAATTGGAAATGAATTGACGGAACGGAAAGGGAGAGAGAGAGAGAGAGAGAGAGAGAAAGAAAATGAGTAGGAAAAACTCGAGAGATTTCCTGCATCAGGAAAAAATTGCCGTGTAAAAAGCTATCGAATTGATAGGACGGTGAGTGTACTGCAATTTTTGCTTAACCTAATTTTTAAGTTGACGTTGAAATGGAGTGAATTTTGCAATATATATATATATATGTATACTGTATATATATTTCCTTTTACTCTGACAGATGCTAGAGGAATAGAGACTATATCGAATGAACAATTTTAAATACTCTTTACCCTTTCTTTTCTCCGTTCGTCTATCTTTCTATAATTTTATTCCGTCGACATAAATATGTAGACGAGAGAAAGAGGGAGGGGAAAGGGGAAGCATATGATATTGGGACGCAAATGTCAACAAATGCGCAAATAATCAACCACACCAAAACACATGACTTGTTCGTGACACAAAAAGTATGAAAATGAAAACAAAAAGAGAAACAAGAATAAAAAGAGGTATAAAGAAAAAATAGCAATATATAAATAAGAGAGAGAGAGAGAGAAAAAAAAGAATCTTTAATTTCAAATTAACTTTTATCTTTCAATTTTTATTTCATGCAAATATAATAAATAATAAAAGATAAAATAAAGTCTTCTCTTTCTATTTACAAAAGAAGAAGTAAAGGATATTCTTTACTAATTATATTTTCATTAAAAGACTTTATAAAAATATTGTTTGTATCATTTTGCAACTTTTGCGTATTTTTTCTACCTAAAAATATTCTTTTTTTTTTTATCATAGGCCTGGAGGTAAGATGGAGAGATAGGGAGAGAGAGAGAGAGAGAGAAAATGTAAGGCAAGATACTTTTTTGTATCGTAATAGATAACGGACAGCCCCTACAGCTATATTACACACCAATTAATTAGAATATATATAAAGAAAGAAAAGTTGAATATAATAAAGGCAGACTTTCAATGACCAAGGGGGATTTAAAAAAAAAAGAAAGGAAAGTAAAGATGAAAAGTGCCTAAACTCGTAATTAAATGAGTAATATAGAAAAGAATAGAAAATAAGGAAGAAAAAGAAAATAAAAAGACGAAAGGAAATAGGGTTGACACTACCAGTTATCAAACAAACGTTTACAATTTTCTCCAATTTTCTCTTGATAAAGGAAAAAAATAAGGTTCCTTTGATAGATAATATTAACAATATTTATGCAATGCCCATGTAGCTTATATAAAAATATTTCTATTACGTTCCATACTGCGGTATAGTCTACTATATCAATTTATGTTTCTCATTTTACCTTAGTTTCACACATAGAAAGTATGCTAATTTTCCGTATAATCCTTAATATAAACTGTATATAAATGTATTTATATATATATATATCTGTATATAAGCTGTACATACTACTAACATACAGTGTATGAGGTGAATTTAATACTCTTAATATAATGGACACAAATGCAAATTATACAAATATTGATAAAAAAAAATTCCTTAAATACCTTTAATTAATAATTACGAGTTAATTGGCAGTAATTCCAAAATCTAGATTGCAAAGGTAAAAATGGAATAATCAGTTCTTCAAGTAAATTATATATCTATATATATATATATATATATATAAAAGCAGTAGCTCGTATTAAGTTTGTTTATGGCTCACTGCTCGTCTCAGTCATACTCATAAAAAACACACCTCTGATACTACTACAAATTTATTACTAAACAATATGCTTTTGTTAGTGAAAATGACAAAAAATAACAGCAAAACTTGACAGATCCGACATTACGCTGTAGAAAAAAAATTCTGGCTGTCAGTAATGACAAAGTGGGAGGGTCGAGGGGCGTCTAAAAACCATACAATAACATCTTCCAGGAAGTCTTATATTCTTTTTCTTCTTACATATAGGAATTTAGTAAATGCGTCTTAATCCCTTATCTTTATCAGTTGAGTGAATAAGAAAAATGGGTAGAGAAAGAGAGATAGATAGGGAAAGTATAAGAAAAAGAGATAGCTAGAGAAAGAAATAAGATGGAGAAGGAAAACATTTTTGCGGCCTTAACTACCAAATTAGATCTGCCATATAAATTAAGATTTTCGCGATATCCCTCAAGATAAAACTAGAAAAGATGGTAAGAGCTTAAGAAACAAAGGCTTCTTTTAAAAATTCTTCTCGAAAAGTTACTTTAGCCATAATCTTCTCACTATAGTTAAATTCTTGATGACATAATCAATACTAGCAGTCTTTGCTGGTGAGTCTTGACGTAGAAAAAAAAGAGGAGGGAGGGACACAGGAATGAGGGCGGGCAGTGAAGAGAGAGAGAGAGAGAGAGAGAGAGAGAGAGAGAGAGAGAATAGTATAGCAAATGCAACTTAAAGCATTCAAAAGGCCAAGAGGCTTGGCAAAGAGATTCCTATAAGAGAAATAAACAGTATATGTCTTAATTGGAAAAGATAATTATTCACCTTCTCCTTTTAGATTAGCATGCGTCTCTTCTAGAAAATGCCAATATTCTATTCAATATGGTCGTCCTAATTTAAAGGGGACGATAAGATATCGAAAACTGTTTATTCCTTATATATTACTATTTAATTAGGAGAAAGAGAGACGTAATTAAGAAATTTTTTCAATTTAGCATTTCTGTTCTTTCTCTTTTTGTGTTTTGTTTTTTTTTTGACACAAATTATTAGAAAAGCGAAAGAATAACAACTATTGTAATTATTTTATGAATTTTTAAAACGGTATAAGCTACTTTTTCCACGTTAGAATTAATAAATGGGGAAAGCTGGTATATTAGAATAAGTGGAACAGAGAGAGAGAGAGAGAGAGAGAGAGAGAGAGAGAAGGAATGAGAGAATGAATAAAAACGAATAAAAGTTGTTTCTGTGTGAATTATACATCTCGGTTAACCGTTGCATAGATTATACAGTAAAATATATAATACATTATAGGTGTTGCGTCTTTACACAAAACAAATTTTTACTTTGATGTTATTCGTTTCGCTTTTCATTATGATTAATAACCTTAAAAAAAGAAATATTCACATTTATACATACTTGTTGTAAATGCATACAATATATAGTTTTTTTTTAACTATTCTATTGCTGACGCTCTGGTTTTATATACTATATATATTTATGTCTTAGTATTGAAGCACACACACACACACACACATACACACACACATGCACACGCACGCACACACTCACACTATGATCTCTAAATAAAATGATTATAAAAAAATAGGATATGTAAAATTGCGTATGATATTGGTACTTAATTAGTTTCTGTACAAGGCAAATATATCTATTGTAGACTAAGAGTAGATACTTTTTTACCTCACGCAACTAATGCTTTACCTCATCTCTCTGTCTCTCTCTCTCTCTCATAACATAAACATATTTCTGATAAATGTTATATCAATTTATGAAGATAATAATAAAACTTTACAACGTACAGTACGTGAATATAGTAAATAGCATTTGAAACCGTTAACCGGCGTCTAAATACATATATACTCATATATACATTCTGTATATCTGTACATATAATAAAGACGCATAGTTAATTACAAGTATCTCCCGATAAACACCTTACGCAAAAGCAATGCTTTTCTTTCTTTTTTTGCATTGATCCCTTTGTACTTGTTTCTATTGTTGTTGTGTTTGGCGGTGTCGTTGTTGTTGAAGTTGCCGGAAGCGAATGCCCGGATAAAAGTCGACAGCAATAGGGAGTGGACGATGTTTTATAAATAGTTGATAGTAATTTTTTTCTCTGAGCTTCTTCTATCATCCGCTTAGTCTCCTCAATCGATCGAGTTAAAGCCAGTATATAACTCCTGGCCGTAATTAGCGTCGCCATCTTGGATAATTTTTTAATAGTACCGCTTTGGGATGTTGTTGGTTGAGGAAGAATTTGCCGTAAACTTTCCAAAGCCATGTTGAGATCGTGCATCCTTTCTCTTTCGCGGAAGTTTACTCGTAGTCGAGTCAATTCTTTATCTTTATCTCTAAGTAGGAAAATAATAGGTTAATAAAAATTTAGGTCGATTAGACCTAAAATCTTTTCATTCTCTCTTCCCCAGCCCCACACACACACACACACTCTCTCTCTCTTTGCTTACTTTGTAAAAGTTTTTTGCGTTTTTAATTTCCTGGGCTTATTCTCTTCTTCCATTACTCCACTTGACTTGTGGGGGTATTGAGATCGGTGTTTGAACATCTTTCGGCCCCGCCTATGATTCGTCCATTGGTTGTTGCGTTGAACATGAGGGTGGAGCGTATAATTGTTCTTGAACCCCCTTCCTTTGATGACAGAAGGCGAGCTGTTATTCGATACCATCGCCCGATAACTTGTCAGAAGGGACTAAGCCTCAATAGATTCAAATGGGAGGTTGATCGTTTCAAAATCCATTAAGAAGCGACTTTCATCCGTTCAGATACGAACGAGAAATCAAGTTGCATTTTCCGCCTAAACGACTTTCATAAAGTACAAGTCTGTTTATTGGTAAATTACATGACAAAGATTTATGGCAATCTATTTCAGGTTGGTTTAGGGTTATAACCGTATAAATAAAGTATATATACTGCATATAGTGTATAGTAAATAGTATATTGAACATGCTATATTTCTATATTCCATACAAATAGGGCTACGATGAGGTTAGGGAAAAGAAAATAACGTATATTATAATTAATTACATCGACCGCCTAGGAATTCTTTTAAAACCATTGCACAATTCAGCGGCATCTGCGTTCATCAGTCATCTTCTCCTTTTGAAAAAATTCCATTAAACCAGTTGCTAAAAAGCTATGTGTGGCCCCCGTATACCCGCACCAGAAGGCGCCAGAAGTCCTGATTCTCTTAATTGAACCAAAACATATAGCGCTCGCTTGAACTGTACCGTAGATCGTATGGGCGAGATACCACAAATTGCGTCATTTAACAGCTTCTTATAGCAGAGATAAGCAGCGAGATTCATAACTATCAAGTTTCATTCAACAGATGCGTCCCTAACAATCGAACAAGGAAAATAGATAGATGACATTTGCTAGAGGCGACATTTGCCTGTTTTCCGACAATACTGAGCCGTTGACCACCGTCCGCGATCGAATATTTCCAACTGTAGGGTGTCCCAATGCGATATTGAAGTGATTGATTATGTTACAGTTTTTTTTCTTTTTCTTTCTCAAAAAGATAAACTTTTTTTCCCCTTTTCCCCTTTTCCTTTTCCCTCTACTATTCTCTTATCTATACCACTAGGGGGAGCCTTGATAAACCCGTTAATGCATTTTCCAAAATCAATTTTCCGGTGGGAAAAGTTTGGCATTTAAAAAGGATTGTGCCTACGACAAATTCTCTTACAAACACCTGCTATAGACTCTCCATAGCAGTTGTTTTTTACTATATATTGTATATACAAGTATTAGTACACGGCGCAGTTAATATATTGACTGCGTTACAAAGAGGGTTAGTTGAAACTTCTTGCCCGAGAAGAGGTCTCCTTCCCAGACGCTGTTTTCCTCTTCCACTAGTCGGGGTACCTCCCTCCCTCCCTCCACTAATAGAGCACATACAAGAAAAGTTAAATATGTATAAATAAATCTATATATAGAAAATTTTATGTATAAACTTATGTACATTGTATATATACAAGTTATAAGGAAAGGGAAATCGTTTGTAGCGTCTGTAACTATATAGGCCTTCTTTCTATTTCCTTTACCGCTCTTTTTTGTATCGAACCGGGATGAAAAATTACAAGCTATATAAGCTCTATAAATATATTCCGTTTCATATAACTAGTGTTTTTTCTTTCTTTCTCTCTTACCTATCCACTTGGATGTTTATGTTATATTACATGTATAGTCTATAGTATATAAACATATACAGTATATATATATATATATAGACTGTATAAACGCTATAAATAGATGGATTTTTTACATTATCTACTTTTTCACACACTTATACGTATTGTATATATAAATTTATATATATATATATATATATCCATATTCAATGAGAAACAATAGAATTAGAAATGAAAAGATAGACGGCGCTGGCGTCAGGCGTTTCTCGGGGCCTTTTGCAATTCGATGACTCGCAACGTGCGCGTTAGAAAGCTTTACTATTTTTCGCGTCCATTTCTCTTACCTTTCTACTATTTGTATCTCTTCGATTTGTGTTTCTTTTACCTTTATCGAATTTTATTAAGAAGAATGAATAAAAGAAGAGAACAAACAACTTTTAGTCAATTCTTGGCATACTTTTCCTCTTTTCCTATATCCCCTCTCCACCATTACGGAGAGAGGGAGAGGCAGAGGCAGGAGTTGAGAGAGGAAAATGAAGATAAGAAGGCATTTATTCAAGCTGATTATAAGCCAACAGCTATTAAGTTGTGGCGAAACCTTAGGTAAGTGTCTACGACTTTATTAATATATTCTTGTATATATATTATATATGAACACAGTGCGTATTTATATATTCAGATATATACAGAACAGAAATATGTATATTACATATAGTTAGGGAAGAGAAGGTCGCATATATTTGATATATTTATACACGGTATATGCTATTAATATAGAATATACTGCAAACTTGGTTGATACTTGTATATTTACTTAAGCTATACTCTAAACAATATACATAGAACACAAATGTATTATAACTCTTCTTTTTTTTATCTATTATTACCGGTAGAGAATATTTATTAAACAACATTCTTTAAATATACATTCTGTAAGATTGGTTTTATATGACTCTATCATTCGCTCTCTCAACTTGATGATCCCTTATCGTTCATTTCATTATTCTATTCTTTTTCTCTTCTTCTGCTTCTTCTTCTTCGAAGAACGGATAAAGAAAGAATCTCGGCTGCGGTAAGACTTAATTGCCTAATTTCGAGTTTATTCTACCGAGCCGGAAATCGGTAGAGAAAACGTTAAATAGATAAAGGTAGTCGGTGTATAGAAAGGAATGACGGCAGTAGTGAAAAGAAAGAACGGTAATTGCGGAAAAGTATAAGGATAGTTTGCGGGGAGATTAGGAAGGAAGGGATACAGGGAGGGAGAAACATTTAGACAGAGTAGATAATAAAGAAAAGGGGAGAAAAAACCACATAGAAGTTTTAATAGGAAGTCGTATTGGAACGTATATACGTAATTAAGATCAACCTACAGCAAACAGGTAAAGAAGGTGCTTTTCTCCCCTCTCCCCTCCCCCCTCCCCTCCCCCCGCTAATCAGGTAGAACGGATGAGCGGAAATGACAAAGTTTGCAATGACATAGAACAAGCTCAAGTACCTGACTGTAGTATATGAATTAACTGTACATATGTTTTATTTATATGTTTATAAATACAGTATATATATCCTGTATATATGCTATATACAGTATTTTGATATATAAATGTATATTTATAAACATATGTACATATAGAAGAGTGTTGTTAGGATATTTAAGAGCAGAAATGCTTATACAAGCACGTATTAGATACTGTAATATCCTAATAAATTTATTTATCCTTATGCAGTAAATTAATACATTGCATATTATATAAAGTAATACAATACAATTTGTATCTGTGCACATTGCTTGATTAGTATATTCGTTATTCATGATTCCCTGAAATGGAGATTTCTATTATTTCTTCTTCTTCTTCGTCTCATTCTGGGTTTTAATAACTATTTACACTTATTTACGCTATAGTAGTTTATCATCGCTCAAAGCATAGACTCTTTCAATTCTTTTCTTGTATTTTTATGAAAAAGAATGATGAACGAAGAAATATGAATATTCATACTCCTTTTCTCCCTTTTTTCATTTATATGGAACATATACAGTATATAGTGTATGTTAGAGAGATAATTACTTTCAGTCAACAATTAACATCCTTTCGTAAACAGTCTTTGACGAGAAGGAAAATATATGGCACTGTATACACAGACGAATTTAATAATATAGGAAGGAATTGACCCTCTCTAATTTGCATAAAAATGTAATGAATATACATAAGTTGAATATACATACGACAAGTGAACATTTTTTCTTAATTTTAAGAATTCGTTATCATAATCGGTTTGCTAAAAGTGAGTATTGAGAGATTTCATTGTGAACAATAAGCAAAAAGAGAGCAATAGGCAAAAGTAAGAGAGCAAAGGAAGGAGTGAGAGAGAGAGAGAGAGAGAAATGTTGCCATTTGCTATATTTTTACTAATAGGAACGTGGTTGTTCTCTTTTAAGGGTCGCTCGGGGAAATCACGTAAAAAGCATCAGCTGAATGGCGAGCAGGATAAAAGATATTGCAAACTTTGGCGCCGAATTACATCCGTCGTAGTCGTCGCAAGTCAGTATACAGCCCGTAGCCGATTTATCGTCGTATTCAATCGTATTGAGGAAACCGCAATGATCTATCCGACCTATTTCCGTTTCAGAGTTTACACCTCCATTATCAACGACGCAGGCGCGAACTAGAATCTTTCTTCCGCTATCTGCAAAAGAGAAAAAAACAAATGATGAAATAAAAGAGAAATGAAAAAAAAAAACTGTGGAAGAAGAAGACGAAGAAGAGAAGGAAATGATTAAAAAAGAGAACAAGAGGGGGAAAAAAGGAAAAAAAAACAAGTCTTTTATAGGTATATATACCAGTTGTAAATAATTGATTTATAACGGAATAAAGTTATTGCAGGTGGAAAAAGCCGTATGGGTCTACCAGGAAGCCAAAGAAACGGCGATATTCTCGTGTTTACTTTTACTCCTTGAACAAATAAAAAAATCTTTTCGTTTGCGTTGCAAGTTAATCGGCACGGACTATAATTATAACGATTAAATTATTCATGACTATGAGCCGTGCTGTTCTCTACGTATAAAAACAGGGGTAAGGGAATGTGAGAGTAGGAAGGGATGTATGGATTGATGGCTAGGCTAGGCTTGGGCGGATGAAGCTTGAAAAAAAAAGGGAGAAAAGAGCTGCCGTATTAATCTCTCGATGGTTTAGTAAAAAACTTTTGTCTTATCAGATTGGTCGACGACGGCACCGAGTAAGAGATTTAGAGGAGGGTGGAGTCGGCTAATTAATCAAATTTCATATGAACATTTAGACGGGTAATGAGGGACTAGAGGATCTATGAGTGAGCCAATAAGTGAGAGAGGGAGATGTAAAGACCGAGCGAGCATACTAATGAACGATCCAAAGAACGAACTAGGAGCAGGATAGTTAGAGGGAGTCTGGAGAGATATAAAGTAGCGTAGGATTTGTGTCAGTTTCGAGTGCCAAGATTCCTGATGGAGAATTTATCGATTCCATCAAAGAAATAAACCGACCGCATACTTTAGTAATAGTATACCTTTTCAATATGATTAAAACGTAGAAAGAAATCATTTTCTATTTATCATACATCTCTTAATTTTTTCCCTAACCAGCGCAATTTATATTTTCCTTCTTCCTTTCACTCTCTCTTCCCTAATATCAACTGTTTTTCCCTTTATAATATAATATAATAATACCAGTTGTATATAAACTATAGGAAAATTTTTTCTCTTTACATATTGATAAAAAATAATTGAGAAAAAAATAAATATCGATTAACTTGTGTGCTTATTAATTATTCAACTATACGAATCTAGAGCTTTTGGTAATATACGCACAATCAGCATTACTAAAGTGCAATATACATTAGTAAATTCAACTATATACTGCTATGCTTTGTATAGATTTTATGATGATTTTTAACTATAAACAGTTTACATTTATATACAATACACTATAACGCATATAAAAATTGATTAAAGTAATATTTTAATAGGTATATCCCTCTCTCTCTCTCTTTATCCACATTCTTCTAATTCGTTTTCATATGTTCACCCTCATGTAAACTGTATATACCCTCATACATATAATAATTTCTATCTATTTTATATCACTGTTCTCCCCCACCCCATTCCCCTCCTTCTGTAACTTTCCTTTTTCCTCCACTTGCACATTCACACATTCGTCTATCTCCTCATATAACCTATACATATTGTATATACCCTGTCCCTGCAGTTAACCTACCTCTCTCTATCATCTTTTGTCTAAAAATATTAGGCCTAATAAACAAGTTGAAAATTTATAATCGATAATATTCTTGATTATTCATAATTCTTAATTGTTTTGACGCATATAGAGGTTATTGTTGATATAACGATAATTATTGTTATAATTATTATTATTAATGAATATAATTATTGTTATTTGAAATATTTCTTATCTGTAGAGTGACAACATCAGTGAAAGAGGAAGAGGAGCAAGAGAAAAGTGAACGGCACAATCAAACGGAAAACTTGGTGATTAAGAAAAGAATAATCTGAGCCATTACACCCATCAACATTTCTACAAGATAAACTGCAACCGTTCATAAGTTTGTTGTTGAACTTGACCATCTCAACTCCGGAGCAATGTGATTCGCGACCTATTTCGGTTTCGCTATTTATATCGCCGTCGTCCACGGAACAAGTTCGAATCATAATCGTTTCTCCGTCTAAGTGTTTTTTTAATTGGGATTATTTTTGGTAAACTTTCTTTCTTTCTTGTTATTTTTTTATGTAAATTTAAGCTTTTTTTTTGTTTTTTTCTCGTTTCTTTTTGGCTTAATAAATATTAATTAACTAATTATAATATTGTTATCATTATACAAATTTATACTGGACGTTTTTTTCCTTTTGTCCAAAGGGACTGTTTTAATCCCTTCTTGTCCTCTTTTTTATGTTTTTCATTTAACCCAAAGGTTACCTCTACTTACCAAGTTCTGCTTTCATCTTTATACAATCAGTTGCGGGAAAGAGGCCAGCTCGATCCTTGCGACCAGCTTTGCAGACTGGACGGTAGAATTTTCCAGTGTTGTTAAATGTGTCCTCGCAATCCGGCTCCGAATTATTAATTGATGTGCAGACGAAGCATCCGATTCCCCATGCTAAATAATACGTAAATAAGCTTTATAAGAGAAATTATAGAAAAACACAAGCCACGTGCTATCCATAGCTGATAGCATTTTTTTTTATCAAATAATAAAGACTTTCCACTTACCAGACTGGACCAAAGCGTAAAGCAGAATTGCCAACGCAGTACAAAAATAAGTTATCGATAGCATTATTGCAGTGCTTTGTAGAGCGTATATATGTATATATTTATATATTTAAATTATTTAATTTATATATATAAATATATATATATATATAATATATATATATTTATATATATATATATATATGTGTGTGTGTATCTTTTGTCTGTTTTTTTTCCTTTCTTTTTTTCTTTCTTTCTTTCTTTCTTTCTTTCTATCTGCAAAAAAGAATTCTTTATGTATACAGTATATACTACAATATACAGTAAAAATTTACATATATATATATAGATACATATATGTATACACACAATATATAAATAAATTTATATATAGGCACGCGATTTACAACGACATGTTAGGAGTGATTTCTCTCTGATTTAATGCTAGTTTGCCGTATCGCAGCTTGTCGAAATTGCCTTAATTTGTTCCTAAATTACTTTCCATCCGGAAGATGGTCGTTTAAATGAAATTCTTGCCTAATTGAATAAAGTGAAGAAGAATTGTTGCACTTAACAGTCCTCCAGAAATTGGCAGAAGGCTACGTGCTGATTTTCTTTAAAAATTACAATAAAGAATGGGGAGAAGAGAGGAGAGGGGGAAAAAACGGGAGAGACATAAAATTTCTCAAGGAAAAGAAAAAAAAGATTAAAAGAAATTGAGCCGAGAGAGGACGATCTTAATTAAAACGGGCGTCTCTTTCGCAATCAATTATTATGCTTTTTTCTATTTTCCTTTAAAAATATCCTTGGCTTCTCTATTGAGAAGCACTTTGCTCCTGTTACCCTCAACTTTAACTAAATTTTAGTGGAATTAATGAATAGTCTACTGTTACACACCTTAATAAAATGCGTTACATAAAGAAGGCATTGAATTTATTAATTCTCACCTCAACACGTTCTTCTAGGCCTTTTGTGATTGATGTATCAAATAGATGAACAAGCTGACTTCCTTCGGGTTGTCAGTTTAGTTAGAGAATTCACTTTAAAACTTGAACGGGCTTAATATATATATTTTTCAATTGGTTTCATCATAGAACTACCCTATATTATTAATTCAAAATGAAGGCCTGAAAGTTTGTAAAGAGCATGCGCATCACCGTTGCTACGAAACAGTAAAAATTATCGACGTTAACACTCGCGCCACGTAACTACATAGTTATAACTTTTTATAAAGAAGTATTATAACAAGTATGTCTTTATTGATTTTGACCATGGAGATTATAAGTATGAGAGTTATTCAATAATAAAACAGGTGTTGTTGTTGAACATAAAAGAAAAGGAAAAACAAACAAAACAAGAAAATGACCTTTTGTAGGCATAAAAATAAAAAAAAAGTGTCACTACCAGCTCCATCTTTCTCCTCTTTTATATATTGCACAAGAGGGAAGAATAAAAAACAAGAAAAAACACTTTACATCGTTTTATAGATTAGAATTGATACGAAGATAAAGGAGAACTATTAGCACATACATTTAAGTACACTTTTTAGAGAGAAGAGAAACAATCGTATTCTTTGCTTTTTTATCCAATTTTATCGCTCTTTTGTTTTTTCTCATTTTCTCTTTCCATTTGTTGTAATTTTTATCCCTATTCCTATATCTTCTTTTCTCACCCCTCCTCCTCCTCTTCGTCATCTAAGAGAAGTAGCAAGAATAGTCATCTTCCAATTCGACTCTTTCTTTCAAATGAGTGGTCGGATATTGTACGTTCGGCATGTAGTTGTTCGGCTGATTAAACTGGTTCCAAAAGCCACTTTCATAAGGATTATAAGAGGATGCGTTGGACTGTACTTGTTGTGACATTTGAGATTGTCCGTATAAATTCTCAGAATAATAATTAATGGCAGTTTGTATCATGTTATATGTTTGCCCATTGTAAAATCCAGCGCTATTATTAATATTTGCCGCGCTGCTACCGTAGTTGTAATCCTTCCAAGACCGCTTTCTCTTCTCAGACTGGGCACACTGACTAGCATTATGAGAATTATCTATTGAACCCTTAACGAACCCATAAGAATTACAATTCTTTCGAGTACTTTTTTTCCTATCTTGTTGTTCTTTAGCTTCTTTCCAAGTTGTAGCTATTTGTTTATTTTTCCTAAAGTTGGGTGGATAATCAGCAGGACCAATAGGTCGATCTGATGATAAATAGTTAGAGCCGACAGTGTGTAAGTGTTCAATATCTTCTTTATTGTTCTTTTCGCTATGCCTCTTCTTATGAAACTCGGATGAGAGGTGAACTCTTAAGGTCATAGGACTAATAACGCTGATATCGCACACTGAACAATAGTACATATCCTATAATATGTAAAGAAAAAGAGAAAACAGTCTTTTACTAAGGAGATAAATTCATCAAAGTTATTAAAAGAATAGATCTTTTACTTTCACACGGCCAGGCATTTCTTCAGCTGCCTTGGAAGCTGTCGAACCAGCACCGGCTAATTTGGCTTTAATATTGATACATCTTCTATGTTTAGCACCTAAAAAGGTTGTTTTTTAAAAGTTTAACATTTCTTTTCAAAGTATCTTTTTCACTCTTCAAGTAAGTAATTAAAAAATTGAACGTAAATAATACCTCGTCTATGATCTTCTAAATTACCGCTAGATGACGTAAAAATTCCACATACAGTACACTCGAACCTCTCAAAACCTAATTTAGAAAGAAATATAATAGTTTTTAAACATATTATACATAGTTTCACATGCAAACACGGCATAAATATAACAAAAGAATACAATTAATTAAGTATGTTTTTCTTTGGATGTATGTGTAGTTATAGTATTAAAAACTGATAGATTACCGGCGGGTACTTTGGCAATTTTTTCGGGCGGTTCTGACGAATATCTTTTCAATCTTTTTAGATGTTTTTGTCCTTTAAAATGAGTTTCAGCAGTGGCCTGTTTTTTGGTGAAAATAAGCAATTGTAATTATTAAAAGGAGAAGATAATAGCGATAGTGTTAGAAGAAGACGAAGAAAGAGATGACAATGACGATGACGTAAAAGTAGAAAGCAAAAAGATATATAATCAAATAGGTTATAAGTAGAAGGTGAGGGAAGAGTTTAAAGGGAGGAAAAGGATAAAAATGAATTGAACCTTTGAGTCTAATATCAGATTACAGATTTCGCATGGTATTTCGATCTTTTTCTTAGTTGACAGCTCTCCCCTCAGATTCTTAATTAGTGCATCATTAACAGGATTTGAGCTGACTGTCTCATTATTTTTTGACCCTAGTGTCGAGATGACGCTGGGTATTTGGTTTTCATTATCCTCGTTAGAACTGTTTTTTCTGCCGTTATCAAATTTATTATCAGCTTTTTCTGCTTCAGTATTCGAATTTTGGGGTTTAGTTTTGTTATTTCCTCCGTGTAGAGCTTCGATTTCTGGCGGTATTGGCAGAGATAACTTTTTGAGATTTCTATAATGCTTAGATCCAATATTATGTTGATAAGCTTGGTCTTTGGAATTTAAAAATATTCCACAAACGTCGCATTTGATCAATGACACATTTGACATAGCCTGTAAATAGAAATTTTCAAGTATTAACGTAAATGAATATTCGAATCATATTGAACGAAAATAAAGAACTTGTTTAAATGAGACTGTTTGCATAGTTTTATGGAATCAAAACAAACGTTGGTTGTTATGCATACAAGATACTTTGTAATATATATATATATATATTTATATATATTTATATATATATGAATCTTATATAATAAAGCCATATTACGTTTGGAGAGAAGTAGGTTACTTGCACATTATTCTCTATTAGCATCTACTTTACGTTAATTTTTTGGTAGGCAGAGAGTAGAGTAAACGCCATCTTTCGTCTTCTATCCGGAAATGAAGTATGTTGTGCTTCCGGTCATTCGTGTTAGCTGAACTTTTATAAAGAAAAAAGTTGTCAGGTACGTTAATATGGCATTTAACTATCGCTTTTTCGGCTAATTTTTACACCATACTTATAACGATTCGGATTATAATAGTGTCCTAATTGATCGGTTAGTATACATTATAAAAATGAACGCTTATTTACTACTAGAAGCTAGTTATGGGTATGGAAACAAACATCAAAGTATATTTTTATCTGTTATCTATTTAAAAAAAAGAGAATTCCTCTTGATTTCTTTGGTCAATAAGCCTTTTTATATATCATGTCTATTCTAAAGCAAAACAAACAGGACAGTGGATGAATAATTTATGCGTTTTTAAGACTCTATGTATACAATAGTCTACTGTCGAATATCAGTAAGAAAGAGCGCGTGTGAAGAAATCTAGTAATATTCCCTTCTATTTTGACAGCGGTATTTAGAAAGTAGATAAACAAAGTATATTCGGAAAGGCAATAGGAGTATTGCAAGAAAACAAAAAAGAAATAATATTATATAGAAATCATTAAAGTCTTCATAAATGACATTATATTCATATTTTTCTTATATAATATTAACAATATTCTCTTTTCTTGTCCCTTTACTCTTCTCTTTTCTCTCTTACTCTTAGTCTTACAAAGTCTGTAAATGTATCTTTCTTTCTTATTGATAACATATGCGTTGCATCTTTTAGCTAGACCAATTTAATTTCCAGTCGCTTTTCTCTCTCTCTCTCTCTCTCTCACTCTCTCTCTCCTTATCTATATATGTATATCTACTTTATTAACTTTAGTATAGCATTACAAATTGTTAGATCACTTTTTTTTTTAAATGAATTCCAACTTCGTGCTCAGCATTGAAGTCACCGTCTTTTCGCCGCATTGAGAACGCAAATATAGTCTTGAACAAGTAGGTTAGTGATAAAAAAATTCGCATTGCGTTTCAATAGAAATCCTTTAGGCTGCCAACCGAAAAATAAAGCATATCATAGTTTATTTATATCGGGAAACAGAAGAGGAGAAGAAGAAGAAGAAGAAGAAGAGAAAGTAGCAGAAGGTATCTAACACAAGTGACCAGCAGTAGAACGTTATCATTTTTTCGACCTTCTTTTCGAAACTACCATGTACTCACCACTAAATGGACGAAGGAGTGCTCCTCCAGTTGCCCCAAAACCTCGTAAGTATATTTTAAATTCTTACCTTATTTCTCCCTTTTTCCTATCTCTTTTTCTGTACCCCCTCCTCTTGGCCCTTCACCTAATATCTTTCCCATTTTCATCCCCTAAATCTTACATCGCCCGACGTAGAAGCGAATGTTTTTGTAATAAACATTTTGTAGAGATTGAAGATAACGTATTCGCTTGCCTGTTTCTACGTCGTTGAACGAAACTGTTTAATTAAACGGTTTCAAAAATGAATTATTTGGTTTATCACGTACAGTAAATAGGCGTGAGAGCAATCGTAAAGTATTAGGCCTATGAATCACCAATTGATTAAACTATTTTTCAAAGGTTCTAAAATAAAATATATACTCTACAAATATAGGCCTAATAATTGGCTATATCTCTGGCTCGCTCTTTTTTTTTCTCTCTTTCTGGGCCAACTTGCTCGATTTTCTTTCTACTCTTCTGCTCATTCAGTACTTAAATATACGTGTATACGTGTATATATATATATATATATATACGCGCACATATGCACGCATCTCATATTAAATCATTAATAAACACATCCCTCGTGAACTTTTTTCAGTTTACTTAGTCAATTAGCGGCGTATAAAGCCAAATAAAGAGGAATGGATTACGTGATAATCTATTGATGTAAACAATAATAAAACTGAAAAAAAAAAGTTCAAGGTGGTCGACTAGATATGATTAATAGGTAATAAGTCAGATTAAATTGTTAGGATTTAATAGGCCAAGAAATGTAATAAATATGGTATTTTTCGTTTATTTAAACGATTGAAACGCTGTTTTAATCGCTTCTTCTTTTCTCTACAAATTTGTTTTGCCGAATTTGAGAAGCGTTGTTCACTTTTTCTAATAATAAAGTATTATTAGGTCCGCCCCTTTCCGCCTACTTTTTTTTAAAAGAAAAAAAACTTTGAGCAGGTTAAAACCGTGTCTATCGTTCTCTACCGTCTGTTTTACTTATTTTTTGCTGTCCTCTCTTTAACTCTATTCTTATCGATAATAGAAACGCCTAAGAAGAAGAAAGGATTGAATTTGCTTTTTGGCACGTTCAATAGTTGCATTATTTTGATTTTTATAAATGATAGCTTAAGTATAAGGAAATGGCAAATAATTAAATGATACAAAGAATGTAACTACAATATAAATAAATGGTTAAGGCCTGCTGCTACACTCCTTTACCTAACGTCAAGGTGGCTTTGTCCTCTAAGTAAGAAATACCTTTACAATAACCATAATTACTCTTTAAAAGATAAAAATCGTCTGCCTCTAGCTTTCAACGGCCTGTTTTTCTTGTATTTATTCCAAAGAGCGGTAAAATACGCACCGAAAAATAAATCTCACCAAAAGATCTTTATGTAAGATCACAAGTAGGAGAGTTCTCGCGCGTGTAGTTGTGTATGTATTTGCATGTGTCCAATTAGTAGGAAAAAGGAAAGTGAGAGAGAGAGAGGGAGGGTAAAGAGGAAGGAAGGAAGCAAATAAGCAGGAAAGTAGTATAGCTAACGAAATAATGATAGGAGTGATGAAGATAGGAGAGAATTATAAAATAGAAGGAAAGGAGAAGAGAGCAGAGAGAGAGAGAGAGAGAGAGAAGAAAATAACAAAAAAAGTTATCTAAATCAGTTCAACAAACGTATTTTATTCGAGATATCTGTTTCTCTAAACCTGGTATAAGTAAGCAGATAAGAAAATTACCGTTTTTCTTTTTTAAACTTATCCTTTCCCATTGATATTAATAGGAATATCCATTTATTTTAATCATAACGGAATGCCTCGTTAGCAGACTATATATCGCCATTTCTGACGTTTTTTCTATCGTGAGTGTTCGTGTGATATTTACGGCGGATATATATTTCTTTCTCTCTCTCTCTCTCTCTCTCTCTCTCTCTCTCTCTGCTCCTTCCTTCATCCTGCATTCTCTCTCTCTCTTTTTTTTGCTCGCTCTCTGTCTATCTTACTCTCTCTGTTTCGCGTGCGCTACGGTATAGCAGTATATTATTATTTCCAAACGATATATTACAGATGCTATGAATGCGAGAAGAAGTGAAACTATGCAAGCCAAGTGTTCGTGCTGTCCTTACGGATTTCATGTTGCCCGTGATTTTATTAATTTCAGCGACTCTCTCTATTCATCTGATTCCTTAAATAACCTGCATAAAATTAATAGAGATGCTAAACCTAGACGCCAAAGTTTTGACAAGCACTTCAGCGAACCGCCGTCACTTGACAGTAGCCGGGAACATACTACCTCACCTCAACTTATTCCTAGGGTTCCAGCTCGAAGGGGTAGATATAAAACGGAAACGGAAGTTTACCTACATGTTCCCCAAGTAAACGGTATACCGGTTGCGGATAACGCATCTATTTCCAACTCTCATCCGATTCTAATAAGAGAGGAAGAAAGTAATGATGAGCTTACGGCCGATAAGTTGATCTTATTATGGTCTAATTTCCTACCTTCAAACGACTTGAATACTAGTGAAAGTCACAACCCAGCTTTACGGCGATTAAAACAACAAATGGCTGCCGCAATCAGCCGTATGAAGCAATTAGAGCAAGATTCCAACTCTTTATCAACTCTCAGACAAAAGTGTCAAATGCTTCAGGAGGAAAATCGCCAATTATCATCTCAACCCCGTAGAAAAGCTTTACATTCTCGTTCTATTGGCGTGGGTAGCGATCAACCCGAATGGAATCTTAGTCTAAACGATCGATTCAATAATAGTACAAATCAAAGGAGAACAATTGAAACGGAAAGTCATTCGGACGAAAGGGTTCGCGTAAAAGAGAAGGAAATCCATACGATTTTAACTGGTAAGTGTTATACAATGCCAGAGACTAAGGATAGAATACCCAAAACTACCCGGTCGGTTGCGGTTGAAACGGATCGTACTGATGATGATTCGCAAATTCGGATACACGAGAAAGAGTTGAGAACGGTGTTGATTGGTGAGAAACTAGGTGGTGGTGGCCAAACTGTACAGCGTAGAAATGTTGGTGTGCTCTGTAAATCTGCAATGCGAGATGTAGGTGTTAGTTACATGTGCGATTGGAAAGCTGATACGCGTACCGTGGGCGTCGGAGTAGGTGAACAACTGGGTCAGATATTAGAAGGGAAATTAGATTTAAGCGAATTAACTATGCCAGACGACCATTTAGGGACTTCTACATCTTATACAACTATACAACAAACTAATCTTGCAGCCTTCTACAGCAAAGTTGTTAATATCAATTACGATGCATTTAGAAATATGCTAGAAGAAAAGTTCAAGAAGAACGTTCGAACGGTAGCTATTCAAGTAAAAGCTGTAGAGACATGCGATAGGGGAATAAATCATAAAAGTTCGGGAAATTGCGTTTCAACAGGGGTAGGAAACGATTCGATTCAGGTTAGGGTGCAACCAATTGTGAAAACTAGATCTGTTGGCCTCTCAATTTGCCCTTCAACTAGAAATTCGGTTGTACAAACTGGTACCAGATTCCTACTAGATTCCTCAACAAATACCCCAAGAGCATTGGGGGTCGACAAGGGCACGAATCCGTTTCCTCCCGAATCTTATCCTGCATCAACCAATACGGATATTATCCGACATTTATCTGCCTCAGTTCAAACGGAAGTAAAATCCGCTAAAAATTCCAGTCTTTTTAGACATTCGTCGTGCAATACAGACAGGCGTTACCTAGTTAATAAATCATCGAATACCGATAAGAATTACGAAAGCGACAAATCAAAATCAGGCCCATCACCCCTCTCTTCCTTATTAAAACCACCTCCTTCTCAGCCATTAAGAAAGAAAAGCATGCTGGACAAAGCAATTATTACGGATAAAGTAAGAATGTATAACGCAGCAACTGCAACAATTATGCCTACAACTTCTCGAGGCTGTTCTACAGATCGTAAAGTATTTCACAATAGCAGTACGAACACTATCCGAATTCATACTTACGATAAACATTCGAGCGTATTGCCTGAAAATTTCGATAAAAAACAAAAAAGCTTACCGACTAAAGTTAGAGAGCAAGCCGTTCAAGTAAACTTTATAGAAGTAGAAGAAGAGGAAGAGGACGAAGATGAGGAAGAGGATGATGATGAAGAGATTGAGGAGGACGAGGAAGAGTTGGAAGAAGATGCGGAGGACGATGATGAACAAGAAGAGGATGAAGAAGAAGTATACGAAGAGGACGAGTTAGAAGTAGGGGAAGAAGTATACTCAAATATGGCACCAGATGTTCAGTATGGCGAAGAAGAGAGTTCATTACAGAACCTAATGGACGATTTTGAGGAATTGGAAAAAAAGACGGAAGATGTTTTCTTGTCAAACTTGACAACGAGAAACGTCAACAGGGGAAATAACAAGACTAGACTTGAAAAGGCTGATGAGAATACAGAAGATGAAGAAGAAAGACAAATAAAAGTACGACAACGAGTTGATAGATTGGACGTGTATTCTGGTACACCGGATGATACTGGTGATGAGTTTACTGTACAACAAGAACACCAACCATCATCTTCTTCATCATCAGCTGCTCTGAGAAATTCAGCACTAAAGTCGATAATGAAAAATGCCGGTTTAAGGTCGGAACCACGCAATAAAGCCATAAAATTCGCTGAAAAGTAAAAAAAAAACAACTTTCTATTCTTTTATTATAATATATAGATATAAATTTTATATATATATATATATATATATATATATACAGTATATATATATATATATTTTAAAACTTATTGCAAGAGTAGCATTATAATAAGAAGCGGTGTCTGGAAAGTAATATTCAATCGCTTAGTAGTTTTTTGTATGTGCTTTTAGTAGATGATTTTTTAGTTGATTATTATAATAATATTAATTATATTTGATCCCTTTTTTTTACTAATATATGTATATATATATATATATATACTGTATATACTGTACATATATATATATATATATATATATATTGCATATAGATTAACTTTTAACATATTTTGATTTTGTTATTAATGATTTTTTTAACCCTCCAACCCTGAAGGAAAACAAAACAAAAACATGTTTAAATCCAATCGGTAAAGATTTAATATCTTGTTAACAGACCAATCCTCCCTTTTCCACACCTCTACCCCGGCTCTCTCTCTCTCTCTCTCCCACACACCGCTCCCACCCACCTTCGTTTTTTTAACATAAACTTTACAAAATCTACCATTTCCCTCTTGTATTTTTGTTACAAAATAATCCATAGTAGTAATAATAATAAATGTAATTAAAATCTCTCTCTCTCTTTCCTCTTGTTCACCTATCACTGTATATAATATATTTGTACTTATTTCCTACAAAAGTATAATTAGACGATAACCCCGCTTGATTTTTGATCTATTGATTTTTGATATTTAACATCTAGAATTAAAAATTAATTACACTACTAATAATTAAATGAAGAGCAGAAAACGAGGAACGGAAACAAAGAGGAGAAAAATGATCATCATTTATCCTTTTGTCGTTGCATTTAATTAATAATAAGATTATCTATTTTGATGCGTTTTGAACGTTTTTTTTTCTATCTTTTTATTGTATTAAAAAAGAAGATAGAAGAATTGAATCATTCTTCTCTCTCTCTCTCTCTCTCTTTTTATATTATTTACTATAAATATCCTCTTGTTTGTTTTTTTACTATTATTGTTATTATTATTATTATAGGACGACTAGATTTTATGTGTAGCTTAGTTCTATTTATAACACTGTATATTTACCTTTTATTTAGCAAATTAGTCTTACTTTCCTTTATTTATTTATCTCTTTTTCTTCTATAGATTGATTGAACAAGAGGATAAGAATTGCTCGTCAAAGGATGACAACCAGGATCATTTCTCCGATTCAGATTCTTCCTATGCCAGTCAAACTTCCACCAGTTACGACGAAGCTTCGTACGACGGCCGTATGGGAAAGGTTGAATACGTTAGAAAAATTGATACAACTGATATAACGGACGAAGACTCTTCGGCACATATAACTGATCAAAATTTTAGGGACGTCTACGAATTATCTAAAGCGGCTAAAGACGCCTGCGATACCTACTCAATTTGGTTAGCCGATCCTACGGAGGTTACTACAAAAGATAAGAGCGAAGCAACTTCGAAATTGCAAAAAGAATGGTTTAGTATCTCTTCGCATAAAACTTCGGAAGTGACTCAAGTAGAGGATTTATTAAATTCTGTTGCTGAAATATCAAAAGACCTTTTAAAGATCGTTGTCAATCTAACGGACGATAACGGCAATACAGCTCTCCACTATTCAATATCTCACGGAAATGTCGATATCGTAAGCCTACTCTTGGACACGGATCTCTGCGACGTTGATAAACCGAATAGAGCCGGTTATACGCCACTTATGTTGGCCGCTTTAGCTCAGCTACAAACTCCCAAACATAAAGATGTTGTCAGTAAATTAATGGAAGTGGGTGATGTCAATGCAAAGTCAACTCAAGCTGGTCAAACAGCCTTGATGCTAGCTGTCTCTCACGATAGAATAGATACAGTAAAATTATTATTAGACGCCGGTGCTAATATAAACGAACAAGACGATGACGGTTCTACCGCTTTAATGTGCGCAAGCGAGCACGGTTATATAGATATCGTGAAATTACTTTTGAATCAACGAAATTGCGATATACTAGCAACCGATAACGACGGATCGTCAGCCCTATCCATAGCAATGGAAGCCGATCATAAGGATGTCGGCGTACTACTCTACGCTCATATGCAGTCAAAGCCACTATCTTCTCAGGTAGGCCATTTCATAAATCAATCATTTATATAAAAGAAATGGTTGAAAGCAAACTATTTTAAATTATTTCTATATTATTAATAAGTCGAGTCATGTGACTTATCAGAAACAAGCGGAAGATTAGGCGTCGTTTAAAAAATACAAACAAAATATGTACACTTGATGTAGGTAAAAAACGAAATGTTTTTAATACCTGTTTTTGCATGGAAAAGAAACGCTTTTATAATATTTGTATAAAAGCGTTTCCGTATTAACAGTATGTTGCATAACACGACAATTCAACAGAGTTTTCTTTTATTCTCTTTTTTGGAGTTGATAATTTAGTTGAACTATTCATAGTGTTTTTTCTCTCTCTCTCTCTCTCTCTCTCTCTCTCTCTTTCCCCCTCTCTTATTCAATCACCACTCCACTTACTCATTTACTTACTTTACCCAGTTTTTGTTGTTGTCATTCATAGTGCAATCCCTTATTCAATTATTTGCTTGGAATTATTAAAAACCTTATATCTATTTATATATATATTTATATTTATCTTTTAAAATTAAATTCTTCAACAGTTAAGCGGAAGCGGAAAGAAAATTTCGAGAAGTTCCAGCCTAGTTAGTTCCTTTTTGGCACCGAATACCTCAAATCTTTCGAAAAATTCGGCCAGAAGCGTTGACAACGTACCTTTGACTGATACAATTACAACAACAACAACACATATAAGAAGTCCATTTATATCTGCAAAGAAGACTTCTCGCCAAGTACATAATATAAGCGGCGGCTTACATCCTCGGCAAACAAAAACCTTTTTAAGACGTTAAGCAATAATGAAACAAATAAGAACAACAGTAACGGCATAAAGCGTCTTTTGTGTATATATACTGTATGTATATATATATATATGTATATATATATATATATATATATATATATATATATATATTGTATATCCTTGTTTGTTTGTTTGTTTTTTTGAAGCATTTACAGATTCTAAAAAATGAGAAAAAAAAAAAGGGGGATTTTAATACCTTTGTACATTTAATAGATTTTTTATTACTATTTCTTTTTTATGAGAGGACAAAGCAAACATAAAGAAATTATCTATCTATATCTCTCTGTCTCGAAATGAAGACATAGAGATTATATAATATTATATTTATTAAAAAATTTTATTATCTTTTATGTTTTTGTGACTTTTTATTTATTTATTGTTTTTTTTTCAATGTCTATATCTATCTCTCTTTCTCCGTCTCATTCTCTTCCTGTCTCTCTCTCTCTCTCTCTCTCTTTCTCGAAATTGAAAACTATTAATTTATTCGTTATAACAACTATGATGATTTAACTGCTTGCCTGCAGATGGCGTTTATAAAAAATTTTCTTTTTTGGTACAAAAACACATGAGCTTAGAATACAAAGAATAATACTTTTAGCTTATATATTAGATATACTGATTTTTTTTACTTGAAGGTCAAGGTCGAAGCGGTACACGCTTAAAAGTTAAAATATTAATAAAAGTAGGGAATAGAAAACGTTGATTCAACTAAAAATACAAATAAAAGGGACTAAGAATATTCTAAAAAATATTAAAGAGATTTGATTATAATGACTGTATTTAATATTCTAAATAATCACCCTACACGCTGGGTAGGTAGAAATTGGTGTAAAAGACGATTAACTAGCTTAAAGATTTGTAAAGATAAGCAATCGCCCCAGTGGAAATTATTATTCTTCGGCACGGATTCCTTTTCATTGGAGCATGTGAAAGCTTTAAAAAATAATATGGACAAGAATATAAATGGAAGGAGAATAGTAGAACGTTTAGAAGTAGTTATACCGTCCCAAAGAGTAGGTGTATTATTATATAGAATATATATTGTATATACAAATAAATACGTCAAATAGACTTGTGAAGTAAAGAGTTACGCGGAAAGGGAAAACATAAAATATCACGTATGGCCCGTCTCAAATGAGGTTTTGGAGAAGTTCGACCTAGGTGTACTAGCCTCTTTTGGGCATATGATACCTAAGAAAGTACTTACAACTCTCCCAAGGCAGTATTTCTTGTTTTATATTTGTTGTTTTTCGTCCTCCTCCATTCATAATTAGAGGCTGCCTATAATAAAATTCCATTAAACGAAAAACAGGGGAATAATCAATATCCATCCTAGTCTACTTCCCAACCTAAGGGGTCCAGCACCCATACCCCATACAATACTAAGAGGCGATAGAATAACTGGTGTTACAATCATTCAACTTCTTCCACCATCCAACGGAGTTGATACCGGACCAATCCTAAGCCAAAAGAAATTTCAGGTGGACGAGAATGCATTTACATTGGATCTAATGAAACTACTAGCGAAGAATGGTTCCAAAATGGTTTGTTAATTATTATTTTTACATAAATAAATAAATAAACAAACAAACAAAATACAACAACCTAGCTATTGGAAGTTTTAAAGGAATACAAGAAAAGCACAGCTGAAAATCAGGCGACGGAAATCTCTTCGGACTATTACGGTATATAAGCAATTTCAGATGTCAATTTTTAATGAAAAGTAACTTTTATTGCTTTAAAGCCTTCAAATTTAAGACGCTACACTCTTATATTAATTGGAATCATTTGGCCGAAAATATTTATAAACAGTATAAGGCTTTAGGTTATTCGGTAGGTGAATTTCTTAGTAAAATCAACTCTACCTGTCAGTCACCATTAATCTTTATACTCTTCTTCTAGATGGAATTAAGGAGTAGTTTCAAAGGTAATCGGGTTCGTCTTCACGAGATGCATAAACCAGATTATCGGATACCGTCCCTGTTCAAATCGGAAGGAAAATTATCGAATCGTTTAAACGTATTAGGAAGTGAAAGTAACCAAGATTCATTTAATCAAATAAAGAATGGTAGAGTATTTTACTCTAAAGAGAAGAATAGCTTGGCGATAAAATGCTCCGATTCTTTCATCTATTTCAATAAAATAACTCTTCACAAGAGAATGTCTGCATTAGATTTTTATAATGGATATTTGACAAAGACAAAGGAATTTGTATTAGAAGTAAAAGATAACGAACTCGATAAATGTTTCCTAATTAGAGACTGACGATGTTTGGTTGGTGCTATCGTTTATTAATATAAAATATTATAGAAAAACAGAGAAAATGACTAAAAATATCCTATTCAGACCATTCCAGAGAACACTAAGAGAAAAGATACCCTTTTTTATTAAAAGTAACCGTAGTTAAGTCTTTTCACTTATGCACGCAAGAAATGTCAATTCCACTTGATCGTAATCTTTTCATTTGGGGATTTTTTTTAAGAATTTTCGTCTCAGTCAAAGAGAGATAATGGTAATAATGTTAATAAGGTGACAAACTCCGTACTTGTTAACTCTATCTATATACAGTATAAATTTATATATACTGTATATGTTAAAGAGACATTTCATTATTGTTTGTAAATATAGTTTTTTGACCTTTCAATGTCAATTTAAAGTAATTGGGCGATAAAAAAATAAATTACCTAGGAGACTTGCCGTAGCATTTAGCTGTACATATTTCCGGTTGAAACAATAACTGTTGATGATTTCGCTTCGTATAGTTTCATTAGACATTGTTGTTCTTTACACTTGATTTATTTATCGTAAAATCTTATATACAGTATTACTATATTGTTATAAATATATACATATATCTAAGTATAGACAGACTTGTCTAATTGACTAATTCTCGTCTCTCGACTGATGACACAACCTCTTGTACTAAACTCTTGTATTGCAGTCTATATTAAAAGAACTCTCTCTCTCTCTCTCTCTCTCTTTCTCTCTTTATAAATCGTTTTTTCTTACCTTCTTTTATTGGAATGCTAAAAGGTCTCCCAATAACCTCCCTGTCGGTCATTGTGGGCCATAAATAGACAACCAATAGGGCTCTCTTCCCTCACCTTTTTTCTCTTTATCAATAATAACCCATTTTTCCTTTCCAGATTTATTCGGTTCCATAGATACTTAGTGAATATAGCTTAGAATAAAGACTAATTAACCTTGATCTCTTTTAAATAGAAGCTTCTTTTATCCCGTCCTCTCACAGTCTTTCCTTATTCTCCAAGACAGTATTCATTGCCTTTTTATATTCTCCACAGTTTAAATTATAGAAAGATAGAGAAGAGACGTGAAAAAATAGATACAACTTTTAAAGGAATTTATTAGGAGTAAAGCAGTCAATAAAAGAAACAATGTTCGCTTTCTTCAACAGACAAAAATATACATTAGTTCTTCTATTAATCTGTCATCATATAGACAGTGTTTTAGAAGGATAGATACATAGGCAGATAGGTAAGCAGATGGGGAGGAGCAGAACAGAGAGAAATACACATTTATGATAAGTGTCCCAAAGAGAGAAACTTAATTTCGACCCACGTTTCTTTCGTGAACGATTAAGCGAGTGGGTGGAAGGACATATTTACTAACGAGACGAATCACATTCACAGAAGCAATTTAATAAACTAAAAGAAGTACATGCAATGAATAATGAGATGATTGTGTTTGAGTGCAAATCTCTATAAAAACATAAATATAATCATATTAACAATATACTGTATATAAATATATATTTATTCATGTAAAAGCCAGAGGGAGGAGAAGAGAAAGATCAAGAAATATCAACTTGAATAATTGACAATTCAAAGTAATAGAATTTTGAATAAATTAATAAAATGAATTGTAAACTTAAAATAATAATAATGTTCAACTAAGATTATTGATTGAACAATTGTTCTTGAAAAGGGAAAGGATATTTAATGATTCTGTCTGTCTCTCTCTTTCTCTCTCTCCGTAATAAACTGAAATACTATTATAACGTATTCTTTCTTAATTTTTAAACTTGGTCGTGATTTCTTTTTTCTTTATGATAAACTCTCTTATCGCTTCTTATCTTCTAGCGTCTTTTAATTATCCATCTATCTTTTTTTTTTAGAGACGCCCATACGTTTATATATTTCATTTTATCAAAGTGAAACGAATAGAGATGCGTAGAGTTTTCCTTCCAGTTCCCTTAGATGACATTTGAGAGAGACGAAAAGAGAAGAAAAGAAAGTAGAATAATGGTTCATTGGCTGTTCTACCATAGTGTAGAAAGTCTAATCTGATTGATCAGCAGCACGTCATATATAATTACCAGAAGGTGTATCTTTATTTGATTTTATGGTTTCAAAATACTCTTAGCTTCATGACTTAACACGAACCAGTTAAATAAACTTATTAGGTAGAATGTGACGGCTTTTTAGCTGCCACCTAGTGAGAGAATTATTGAAAGTGCTTTGATAATCGTAGAGACGTCTAAGCCGTCGACAAGGCTGATAGTCAAGCATGGAAAGTAATAATTCTTCGAACTATACTGATATGGAACATCCACTAAGTGATAATTTAACAAAGATAACAATTATTTTTTGCTATTCTATAGTATGCTGTTGTTGTTTTTTCGGTAAGTTCTTACTAAATTTTCTCTACGACGATCATTCCTTTTTTCTCTCTTTCTCTCTTCCCTTTTCTTTATCTCTCTCTCTCTCTCTCCTTCTCTTTTTCCTTTTCATTCTTAAGTAGTTTAAAAATATATTCAGTGAATCCCAATTAAAAGCGAAATGTGTTTAGACTTCAAAAAAGAGTTAGAAACCTTTTACTGTTTTAATATATTCTTTGTCTATTTAATCTCGGATTTTCCGTTTCTTTAAATTCATTATACGTTAGAGGAGATGAGAAGAGAAGAAAGCTTGTCCTCTGATAAAAAAAAGTTAAAAGATGAACACCACCCAAGACCATTCGTTAATTATATTTTTACTGCATCGTGGAGAGATAGATGGCTGAATAGCTGCATATATATAGTATATACCGTATATATATATTTATATATAGCGTGTAATAAACTGTATATATAACATATATTGTTTATAGTAACTAGAAGGTGGAAGAGAAGCAGGGTTATAATTATTTATTTGTTAAAGCTGAAAGAAAGATACTTTAGTCGGTATTTTATTACATCCCTCTCTTTCCCTCCCTTCCTCTTCCTCCTCCCATATTTACCTCTTTCTATCTAACCACCCACCTCTCCGCTCCTTTTAAACCGAATTCATATCACGAGTATATACTACTCGTTCTATTTAAGATTTAATGGAATCACCATATTTTTCCGGCTATGGCTTAGGGTGTGGTTTTTACTTAGAATCAGGCAATAGATAGCATTTCGTCTCAATTCCCACCGGCGGGATTTATGGATATTTTTCCAAGTAAGAGACAATGATACAATTAGTAGGATGCAGTGATGAAACTCGTAGAGTAACGTCAACAATTATCATTCTCCGGTCCAGAAGACTTTCAATATTTATACGCCATTACGCCTTGATCACGTCACGAACGATAAACGAGCATATAGCCAATTTCGATTATTAATTTACAAAACGTTTAAATACTACGGCTAAAAGTTGGATAAATCTTTTGTTCCAAGTTAATTAACTATTGTTAGGATGGAAGAATGAGAGTAACAATGTGCATTTAAGGGGATATGGAAAAGGGAGGAAAGAGAAGAAGAGGGACTGATGTATGATTGGTTGATTTGAAGAGGTTATATACTAATATAGACTGAATAAAGGATAAATAAGAAATATAGAAATTCTATATCCATGTACAGTATATACACGCACACACTTACTTAGCTATCAAAGAGAGAGAGAGAGAGAGAGAGAGAGAGAGAGAGAGAGAAAGAAATGAAGAAAATGAAAGGAGAGAAAGAAAAAGAGAAAGAGCATAATGTAATATTTATATTATAAATGCGCATATTACAGTATACTAAAAATAACGAACAGTTATAATAAAAACGTAAAAGAATGAAGAAAAAGGAAAGAAGAGAGAATTGTGAACAATATATAAAAACTAATTTATATTTAAATAGAAAGGTTGATTGCTGAAGTAGCGTTTAGAAATTTCATTCCATCTAAATCGTTTTATACACTTAATAAATATACTGTAAATAGTATACTTTGTATAAATATATTCTTTTTGAATAAATCTACTAAACAGGAAACCTCTTAGTGTTGTTCGTCGTATTGAGATGGAAGAAAATGCGCACCATCACCAATTTCTTTCTGGCTAATTTAGCTGTCGCTGACTTCTGCGTGTCGATTTTCTGCATTATTCCCAATCTTCTTCACATTCTGTACATGGGATGGTATTTGGGAGAGGTAGGCCTACTCTTGTTCATTTATTCCTCTATAAAGTAGATTAGCTTATAGAGAAAAAGTGGAATATATTATTTGTTTATACTAAAAACAGGTTTGGTGTAAATTAAACCATTTTATTCAACAAATGTCTTATACGGCTTCCGTTACTATTCTAACTGTTATATCTGCCGAAAGATATTTCGCTATTATATATCCGATGAAGAGTAAACAGGTTGGAAAGAAAACTACCTACTTAACGGTATAGTTAAGTGTACATTAAGATTTCTTTTATTTTCAGATTATGACGTTACCCCTATTACGAGTTGTTATTATAATTGTATGGATTATATCGGCCTGTGCCTCCTGTCCAACCCTATTCTTTTTTAGTTTTATAAGCGTTGGCGATAGCCAATTCTGCTATATGGAGAAATACCATAAAACTATCTCCATTATTAACTTTTCACTCTATTACCTTATACCGCTTTTACTTATGTCGTTCGCCTACTGTCACATTTCTCTAGTCTTGTGGCGGACTAGTAGAAACAATGCCGTCTCTCTAAACTATTCTAGACATAGCCAATCGAAAAGGTTCTGGCGGAAACTTTGGAAAAAGAAACCGAAGAAAGGTGATAGTTCTGTTCTTCCGTCTCAGCATCCGGAACATACAGACGATTCGGCAGACGAAACTCTAATGATTGAATTAAAGGCGTTTCAACCTTCGCCCAACAGAACGGCGAAAAAGCCCGAAGAATACGTGAATAAGCATAGGAAGCCTGACAAAGCAGTGATGGCGAGAAGAAAAGTAATCAGGCTTCTAGTTGTTGTTGTTTTGTCATTTGCCTTTTGCGTGCTCCCTTACCATCTCAGGATCCTTCGAACAATCATATATCCTGATCTTGAAGTCAAATCGACTATATTTTTGCCTATAAGCTTCATCTTTTACTATTTG